TTTTTTCCGAGTAAAACAAATCACATCACATAATCAAACACATTTTTGACACTTCAAATGAGTTTCAGTGCATGTTATTTATGCTACATAACAACTCAAATAGACTACTCGGTCTTCTCATTGTATTTATATTGGTAGGGCGGCCCATCAAGACAGCTCGGATAAGATAGCTTGCGTCAACACAAATACCAGCATGATAAAGGGATTTTTGTGCATTTATCTAGACATTTTTTCTACTCCATATTACAGGTCCTCTCTAATAGCTTCATATGTTGCACTTTCCTCACTAGGATGAGATGTGCTCCACTTTAGCACAGATGTACAGGAAACTCTACTACAGTATAGTTCCTCCTATTAACAGAGCTAAATGCTTTTTCTACAGACTGCTGATATTAATGCCCGCAGCATTACCTCACACTGTTTTTTTCTGAACATCAGTAAAGATTTGATTTCATTCGATTACTACAAACAATAGAAGGTGAACTAAAGTAACAAAAACAAACTGACTACAGAATATAAAGAATAAGAAACATAAGAGTCCACAGAACATGATGCAATTGCCTGTAAGAACACATGTGCCTCCTGTCTTCTTCCTAAAATGGATAATTAATGGCTTGTACAGACAGTGGGAGGAAGGCTGCTTCCTTAGGTACTCAAGGGATATCTCTGCCCAGTCATTCAAGAAGCATGAGGTAGTGGCGCTCTACTGATGTTCAGATTGCTAAGGTAAGAAGCAAAAGGCTTTCTCCTCACCACCGTTTTGCTCTAACACGTTATCTGCTGAATTTCAGCTAATGACACTTCATCCCATTTAAAATGGAGGGAAAAGCCAAGCACTTCAGCCCAGCAGAAACATAATCAGCCAAACTAGTTCTATTAGTCTCTTTTAAAAATGTTGTTCTGATCCCAAAGATGTGTGTTATAGTTCAGTGAATTTCCCCTTCTGTTGTTATGGTTGTCCTGTTTAAACAGTTACAGGATGGATAAAACTAAAGCTGTGATGATGATAAAGCACTTAGGTAAACGTCGATAAGTCGGTACAACTCAGCATTCAAACGTACTTCCATTGTGTCAGCCAGAATGATAACAATTCACCTTGTTTCTACTAAAATGTCAATAGAAATACATCTGCCAATAATGCTACCATGAATTAACATCATGCCTTTGTGCAAATTTTTGTGAAGACTATTAGGCCATAATAAAACCAATAATGTATCTAGTAAAACCTAGCTCCTTACTAGCACATCTGTGTTCCCAGTTACAAAGCAGGTGGATGACCCTGGAAATTCCACTTGCTGTGAAGAAATGTATACTATTAGTGGTGCCTGATCTAAAGACAGGCTCACACTGTACAGGAGTACCAAGCAGGCTTCATCGCTAAGTTAGGTGGTTGTTAAGGATTCTCTTCTTGCATGGCATGCTTTAAACATGTGATGAACCACTTACAAAACAGCAAGTAGCAAACTCTCCTTTACTACTCTTCAGGAAGCTGGTAGGACAATAAGGGCCTTTGTGCTTTGGAGTGACTCTAGGACTGAGTCCTATCATCACAGTGATTCAAAATTCTCTAAATGGCTTCTCAGAACAATGGTATAAAAGCAATTGAGGTTTAAGGAGAAGTACAAAGTACCACACGTTGCAGACAGCTTTCAACACTGTGGGTAACAAAATCAAATAAGATAAATCCACCTGGATGCAATCCTGTGCAATGAGCTCTAGGTGATCCTGCTTGGCAGAGGGGTTGGACTAGATGATCTGCAGAGGTCCCTTCCAACCTCAGCCATTCTGTGATTCTGCTAAGTGAGGATCATCTCATTTACTATCCAGCCACTTGGGCCTGTCTGCTTTAAAGCTAGTTCCTTCCACTTTCTATAAGGACAAAGCTGCAGGCTTACAGGTACAACCTGTGAAACTGACAGGTCTCTGAGTTCCCCCATGCACACAGAGGTCTTGCATCAAAGACTCAGGTTTCATCTCAACATTTTAACTTGCATTTTCTAGTCATCTAAACTCAAAGATGGTTTGGCAGAATCAGACATGGAAGTTCTAGGATGCTTACATTTTGAGTAGAATGGTCATACTGAAGTGGTATCAGTTATTTTTATAGCAATCGAGGTGTAGAGGATGCTTCACATAAGAAATAATACCCTCTCAAAGATCTTTCTTATGGAATTCAACACAACAAATCCCTTCCAAGTACCAAAAATTTGTATTCACTTCTGATGTTACCAAGTTACTTCACGTGTACAAGGCAGTCAGACATATTGACATGGCTGCTTGAACTAAAGCTTTTCCTCAAACAATCTTTTGCAACAGGAGCAGGATTAGCTTAAAATCCCATAAGAATCTATGATAAAGCAAAGCTTGAACTTTTTGGTTAGTTTGTTTTGTTTTTCAAACTAGAACAGGGCCTCTATATGTGCGAGAACCACTGAGTTTAGAGCTTCGTGAACTGTTCTGCTCAGAGAACTGTTCTCCCTGCAAGATGACCTTTCCTCACGTGGCTGTTTTCAGCATGGAGCAGAGCAGGTCCTGGCAGCCCCCTGCATCTCATGCTAGAGGGACTTGGTGACTGAAGAAATACTGTGGGTTGCAACCTTCCAGCAGAACAAAACCATGGGAATCCAACCACCAGGCTGCAACTGAGGCAAAGAACAGCTATCAAAGGCAGTGAAGAAATACAGTGCAAGCTCAAAGGTTAAAATCAATCCTTATTCTTCCAAAGACGATGATGCAAAGGAGTACAGCTTTAGGCTGTTGTTTTAGTACTGTATATGAAGAATATTTACTGTACCCCATTTTATATACAAAGGAAGCATTTTTAGCCACAGCAGCGCTGCTATTACTGCAAGCAATACAAAGGCCTAACATGGGAAAACGCTAAACAAGCTCAACAACTGTATTTCACAAGGTGCTCGGTGTGGGTGCCAAAATAAGATTTCAAAGATATATGGGAAGCAGCAGCCAGAGGAAATATGTCCACAACAGAAGACTGCAGAGGACCAGGCAAAAAGAGAAAAATGGTATCTGAAGCCAAAAGGGAGGAAGGGAATAAGATCAGACAGTAACAGAACAAAGAAGCGAGAGATAAATACATCTGTGTTTGAAGTAACAAAACGTACTTTTATTCTTGTTGTGGAAACATTTTGAGCTGCAATTCCAGTTGAATTTTTCTAGTTTCTTAAGTCTAATGATACTATAGGAGATGTGATACAGAAATGTTTGACTTCCTTCCAGAATCCTAGTCTGCTGCAAAATTAGTGTATTCCCCAAACTTTTGAAACTTCAAAACAATGTCTCAGCTCTTTTCCATTCCCAATATTTTATACAACTAAAATGTCAGTGAGCTCCCTAAAGCAGCTCTCACCAGGGTAAGTTGGGAAAGGATTCTAGTTTATTGTGGTTTTGTTTGTTTTTTTTTTATAAAGAAAGTGATAAAGCTTGTTTGATTTCCACCGGCTGAAGCCAATGCCTCTCTTCATTTGCCTGAACACTGATATTGAGTCAGAAAACTTCCACCCCATTCCATCTCTCTTCTGTCATTCAGTGTTTGTCATTTGTCTCAGTATGCTTTGGGTAAATAATTGATCTAATGCATTTATTTATTTTAAGCTTAATGGATGTTTGCTTCAGGACTGATATTCATTGCAAATTTTTGTGCATTTTATAGATTGTGAAACTTTGATGCCTTAATAAGAGAATTCCATACAACTTCTGAACATAAGAAATATAAGGTTGCAGGTAGAAAAAGATGACACTTCATTTACAGCAAAACAGGAATGCCAACAGTGGCATGCTAGCCTCACTAACAGATTCAGAAGTTTCCACACCGTTAATATGAAATGAAAAATCAATAATTATTGTTCAGTCATTACCTCCCATGAACTGATGTACAAGTGCCAAACATGGCAGTAAGTTAATGGTAACCCAAGTTACAGCAGTTATTTTTCAGGAACAGGCTTCAGCTGCCCATTTTACATATCCAGACCTTCTCTAACCTCTCACCCAGAGAGGTTCTCTCCCCACCTTCCAGGTGAAAGCAAGCAGCTAAAAAGGCTCACATTGCAACCAGCTGGTGCAAGCTTTTCACAAGAAGGATCTTGAGAAGGTCAGTGGGATTCTGTCCAGATGCCACAGAAGGAAAAGTGTGTGTTCTTAACTACCATTCACCACAAGCTATGAGAGCAAAAGTGGCTTTTTAATTTTACTACAAGGGAAGCAAAATTGTACATCAAAAGGCAGAATCCCAAGAGAGACCATCTGATTGCTATTTGAAAAGCCTTCACATTTCAAGTGAAAAGCACACACAAGTCCCACCAAGCTCTAATAAAGCACAATTCCATGTGTTTCGTTACAGGCAGTTATACGTGTATATGTTATATGTCCACTCCACAAAGGGATGAGGAGGGCTCCTACAAAAGATCTGTGGCAGGAAGAACAGAATGCAGAATAATGAATGCAATCACTGCTGACTTCATTCACAACTTATCTGACTGATGTAAAAAAATATATATATATAAATATACGTATATATATATTAAAGGCCTCTCCAATATGTCAGAGAACTCCATCTGCTGCATAAAAGTAAGATCAATCCTCAGGATGAAGAATGGCTGCACTGATATGATAAAGTTGATAGATAATCTAGAAATTCAAGAAGATACATTTATCTAATATATAGCACTTGCTTCACTGACTTAAGTTCAGCCCTAAACACCGAACCTTTCCCTGAGGGTTTGTGGCTTTTTTTTGTTTGGTTGGTTGTTTTCTCCTTCCTTTCTAAACCAGAACTCCTATATGGCATTACAAGGAAAGAACAGTAGGGTAGACATTTCTTGCATAAACCGCTATGTTTTTCAACTGGTGAATCTTAGATGAACTTGAGACAGTAGTTTCATGGTACAAAAGCTATCAGGGAGCAACAAAGGACAGCTGCACCCTAAGCAACAGCAAACTAAGAGCCAAAGGCAGGCACAATATAGACTGGGTAGAGAACTCACCAACAGAGCACAGTCCCACAGCACAGGAGCTGGTTGAGCAGAGCAGTGGCAAGTCCTACAGGGTCTCCAGCAGTCATCAGATCAAAGCAGAATAGAATAAGACTAGGTCTGCAGTCAAAACAGAAAAATACAAATAACTCAAGAACAGGTCCACATCCAGCACAGCTCAGGAAAGATCCTGAGGCCCCAGGCAAGGGCTTAATGGACCTATGGCCCACGAGTGGGGGCCCAGGTGAGGCTCATCACAATCTAGGTGAGGGTCATTATAGCCTACTAGTGCACTCCAGGCTCTGACAAAATCTTCTTTTTAATCGTCCTTCCACTATTATGCTACTATTTTTTTCCTACTGTGTATATATGTATATATATTTGTTTGTAATACAGTATTTTTCAGAGGTCATGATCAGGTCTCCAACTTATTGTGCACACTGTTGTCTGCACCACAGGAAAATACTTCAGTCTAGACGGAGGATATGCAATGGTGACTAAAGGAAAGCATGAACAACAGTGGTAGCATGAGATTAATGTGAATTTACAGTTATTAAGGGTGTGGTAGAAGTACCAAGAAGCCCCGGTTTAAGATGAAGAATTTGGTCTGAGCATTGTGCAATCAGAGTGACTGAAGAGATTTACACGTATCGTGGCAGCTGCACTAATGGCCTGAGTTAGAGCTGCTCCCTGAAAGGCAGGGCTCCTCAGAAATCCCACCTGCTCCTGTTCTCCCCAGAAATGTAGACACCTACATTCCAGAGTCATTTGCATTTTGTATTGTCATCTAAGCTTCTAAAATAAAATAAGTATAATGTCTAACAAACTCTGGGCACCTTCTATAAAAAGATATAAAAGTATGAATTAATACGTTATACTAATCTATTCTTCAAGTAATTGCACTTGGCCGACTATGTCCTTGAAGGAATGAAGTATTTCTCAGATCCTAAGTCTATTTGTTATGTTTTTCAGGAACCGCTGTATTTATCAAAGTGGTACCTAGATGACTTGGAAGACAATGAAAAAGCTGTGTTTCTGCAGTGCTATATATGCTTGTGAAATATATCTGCTGGATGGAATAGATAGGGTATTTTACTATGAAGCTTACATCTGAAGTAGTTACTGGTGCTCACATTTCAGCATATGCCTCCAGAAAACAACTACCTTAAATTTTCAATTGTCAAGAGAAAGACTAGTGTGCTGTTTAATTATTAGTGCCATAAACCAGAGCAATATTTACCTGGCTATAACAGGGCTTAGGAAAATCCACTTATCTCTCTTGCCAGGTGCTACATTTCTCATAGTTATTAATAAAATGATCAGAAATCGTTACTTCTCAATGGCCTTTGCCCCAGTTTGTTTCTCCTGTCCAGCATACTTCACAATGAAAGTCAGCTTTGAAAATGGAACAACTTCTGCACTTGCTTGTTGGGAAGATAGAACGAAGTGAGAGCTCTCATCTGCACCCGATCCACACCATCATGCCAGCACCAAGCCCTGATTCCTCCTCCCTCCAGAGCGAGGCTGGCACATCCAGCGTGCGTTGCCATCAGCCCCCAGAGATCCTCCAGCTCCTGGTTTCGGCAGGAGACCACCCTCTGCTTAGGCACAAAATGCCACTGACCGGCTTGCTTTTGTTGTCTTTCACTTTCCATTTGCATTCAGCTCAGGCGTACTCCACGGCCCCAAGCAATCCAGTCAGTGTGAGGTGTAGCACACGTGCAGCTCCCTTCAGAGGTAGAAACCAGTGAGATGCATCAGAGCATTCAGGGTCTCTCGGGATGTAGTCACCTGAAGCAAGACTTAAAACTCCCATCCTGCCTCAAGTGAAGATGTTGGGGGTTGTTTTTTTCTGGGGGGGTGGGTTTTGTTTGTTTGTTTGGGGGAAGGGAACTGTGTCATCCCCGCACATATGTACATTATCTTGAAAAAACAGAGAATTTAGCTACCAAATTCAAAAGGTTTTAAGTACCACTTGACATCCAGTTTAAGACTTTTCCTCCTCTCCTCCTTCCAAAATAACGTATTCCTGATATGTTATTAAAAATGCTCTAAAGACAAACTGCGTTCTGCTCCTGATTGCTGTGATGGATGTGTTCACAACACCTGTTACTGGTCAGTACATGGAAGTCATTTCCCCCTGCCTGTTTCACAGAAATCTGTTCTTTTCTCACAAAGTCAAATACTCTGCTCCTATTTCTAGTAAATATCTCCTAGATAAGCTTTGAAAAGGTTCTGTAACTAATTAATATCTTTTTTCTTTGTATGCCAATAAGTTAGATTACTGAAGAAAAGGAGGTGGGCAAGAAATTAAAATTGAAGCTACTTAGATAGACAGGCAGACAGACAGACAGATAAAACTTGTCTGGATAGCTCTTCTCACACTAAGTAAAAGTTTGATTTTCTCCAATGCAGAGAGCCAGAACTAAATCTGTGCCCCACTGAAACACTAGTCCTTCAGTTAAGGCCAAAGGAGGACTGCTGTGACCCACAACTGTATGGTTCCTTCTGCACAGAACAGAGTTTTCTTCCCAAGCACTCCTGAAGGCTTCTGGATTGCTCATTTGCACTAAGAAAGTACTTTAAAATGTCTGCATTTACCTCCTCCTCTGGATATTATTTTATTAGCAGAAATATTCACTGAAATAACTTGCTGGAAGTAATTTTATAATTTCTACAGTTTATTATTCCTCTCTAAATACGGTTTCTATTGCATTGTGTTCATCCAAGCAGAGAACAGAAGCATATAAGAGACTAAAACGTTCAAAGAGATTGATGTAATCAAGGAAAACCCACAAAGAACTTACCATGCTTCTGTTCACCAGAGTTGAATGTGAATATGCTGAAAATCACGCATAAGGTGTAGCACATAGCAAAATGTATTTTAATGCCATTCCATTCTGTTATTGAGGTGATAAGCATAACAGCATTTATATAGAGAGAATAGTATAAGAAATATACTATATTTATATACTACATATAAGAAATGTATATTTATAGTATAGTATAGGAAAAGAAGCAAGACATTGAATAGTGTAGTCATACCATACAACCAAAGAGTAACTGAGAATCAGTTGGTGGAAATGATTTAATAAATGAGAAATTTTACATTTCAGTACTATAATTACTTCACTGAAAACCCCAGAAGGTGAAGAACAACAGATAGATCAGATTCTCTTAATTTCTTTTACAGAACTACTGGGGAAAAGACATAAGACTATTTTCAATGCCACAGTTTTGCACATGTAAAATAAAATTCATGAAGGTGAAGAAAATACACTGAAGCATCCAAAATAACTTGGAATGTGATGGATGAGGAAGACTATCAGAATGACTGAAAAGAAGAAAAGTTTTTGAAGAGCAATAGAATAGAGTTTGTAAATCCCTTTCCACCTAACCAAAGCTCCAGCTGAAACCAACTGGCCTACTCTCAGGAGCAGATAATGGCCGGGGCCTGTAGGCGCCGCGCCAGGGTCAATGCCACGTTTTCCCTGGACTTTCACAAGGATTCTGTCCCTCGTTTGATGTGTGCTGTGCTGAAAGTTTAGCTTTGCTGAAAAGTACTGATAATAAAGTTGACAATACTTTGAGGTGCCATAGAAAGGCAAAGAGGAACATACTGGATTCAGAAAAGCTACATCCAAAATGCCAAGGAAAACTGACAGACCTCACCAAACTGACACCAACATGGACAACCCAGGGATTAATGCTCTTTGAAAAGGTCTCTGTTCATTTGTCAAACCACTTCCAGAGCTTGTTTCTCACCATCCTCGCATGCCCAGATTAAATGCTATTTATGAAAATGTCCATGAGAGGAGAAATTCCTTCTAATTCCATTTTTGTTGTAAATGGTTGCAAAACAATTTGATGTGCAAGAGTCAAAGGAGGGATTGTTGCCAAGCTTTTGAAATCAGGTACATTTTCTTTGAGGGACATTTGTCTGAGGGACAAACAAGGGACAATTTCGTCATACAAGAACTGGCAAAAAAAAAAAAAAAAAAAAAAAAAAAAAGGCAGTAAATGGTTTTCAATTACCTATCTTCATTAAAAAAAAAACAGAGACAGGAAAGCACATGTGAAATAATAACACTACCTTCCAAAAGCCTTGTTTCATCCTTTCCAGATGAAAATAAAAATAGAATAGAATAATTAAAAGTAAGTAATTAAAATGAAATAATTAAAACTAAATACCTGAAAAACACAGATATAAAACGAGTTCATGATGTTGCAGCCCCAGTTAGGAAAAGCTGATCCCAGTAAGACCAGTGGCTTTTTACCAGAGACTTCCACATGAAAAGGCTACAGTTCTCGATTACTGAGCAAGCAAAGTATTCAGCCATAAGCACAAGTACTTTATTTCAGTGCAACAAATATACCTCATTACATGCATCCTTTTTCAGCTGGAGCCCAAACATATCACTGCTAAATATACAGAGGTGCTGGATCAGGGGCTGATACAGATTGTCCTGGAGTTTTCCTATGAGTTTATTTTCCACCACTGGACTAGGTACACAGAGAGGCAAAGAAAGTCTGCCTGGTTGTGCACCTGGCATACACATTCTTCTGTCCATGGAGACAAAGTATCAGAAAGGAAAAAAGGAACGTTTTTAAGTGACCCTGACATTTGATACTGATGCAAGAAAGGAAAGGAATGACAGAATTTGAAGCCAAAAGCATGAAGTTTCTTTATATTTCCTATGATTTAGTATCTCTCTCCCCCACATACGGCAGATTCCTTTATAGAAGCCCTTGTACATGGGCCAGCAGTGCTCCAGCAATGTCTCCGATGCCACAGTAGAAAGTTTCTAGCCTCAGTATCACTTGCAGCGCTGCCTTCCTATTTTATCTCCCATCCTGAAAGAGACATGGTTTTGGTTGTTTGTTTCTGATGGAATAAATCATTGTTCGTGTTTTTTATGAATAGGATTTAAAACCTATTTGATGATCAAATGAAATAGAATAGACAGAGAGACAAATTCCTTAGGTTTGTATCAAAGCTGTTGTAAAAACTGGCTTCCAGCTTTCAGTCAATCTAATTAGATAAAATTATCAGTGACCCTGAAAAAACACTCATAGTATCTGTTTCACCTGATTTGCAATTTATTTTTTCCTGTAATAAATAGGAAGATACACGAGCATTGCATGCTGCTTTTAAAGCATTTCATAAACATTACAAGTCAATAATTCACAGCATTGTTGAGAGGCAGGTGGGTACAGTTTGCTCACTTTACAACTGTAAAAAGGAGGAAGAGAAACCTGACTTCTGGAAGTTTTTGGTGCATAGGTCTGAATGATTTCACTTGCTGCATGTACCATAAACAGTGAATATTTATGACTGGCACTCATTTGAGTGAGCAAGTAACTGTGTGAGTAGTACACTCTGGCATGGTAAATAAAGCATACGAAACTCAGGTGCAGTTGTTCAGTAAGAATTTGGAAAATGAGGCCTTCCCTCCACAGCCTGCCACCCTCACTGGGGGGCTGTAGAGAGGGCCAGCACTGCACGGACAGACTGCTGGTACTTCAGGGCTCCAGGCCATAATGCCCGAGCTCCGGGGTTTGCCACTTCAACCCCGTTATGAGGCCTGCTCAGGCCTGACGGGGAGAAGCCTGAGAAGGTGCTCAGTGTGAGCGCTCAGTAACCCGCCTGCCACTTTATCATCACAGCGTAACCATCGCGAGAAAGTATATAAAAGAGCATATGCGGCTTTACAGCCCTCCACAAGTTTCAAGAGAGAAACCCCTGCAGACTTCAAGAGGCTTCAGATCCAGCCCATGGTGGGATAACTTCTCTCTTTTTCAAGAGACCTGAAATATCCGATATCGTCTGAGCACTCAGGCACACGCCTGCTCTCAGGAAGCGCCCACAGACTGCAGACTCCAGGCTGCAGCGACCGCTGCGGGCACCGCAATGCGCCCAAGAGGGGCCCCGTGGCCGCAGGGAGCCCCGGAGGGTTGGGGTGCCCCCACAGATCCCCTTCCCCTGTGGCCAGGCATGCCCGCAGCCAAGCTGAGAACCCAGCGCAGCCGCTCGCTGCTCGCAGAGCAGCCCTGGGCAGCCCTCTGACGTGCTGGGAGTGCGCTTCGTACCTCAGCAGCCTCAGAGGTGAGCACAGTGCTGTCTGCGTATCTTAATCCTGGGGTCTCGGTGTTTAGCCACGCCGTAAAGCTCCTGCTTCGCTGAGAGAACAGCGCACGCCTTCAGCTGAACGGCCACAACCTGGGGCTTGTCCCCAGCCCGAGGCCGGGGGCAATAAAGTGATTGTGTCTGACAAAGCCGCCAGCAGAGGCTCGCGCCTGCTGTCAGTCAGGGCGCTGAATCCCAGGCACATTCTCAAGCCTCCTTTAAGGAATTAATGCTTGCTTGCTTTGCCATCCAAAGAGTGTTTACAGAAGCCAAACCGACCGTGCTTGCTGTCCACTGTGCAAAGAGGTGATGACATCAGGAAGACGGGTCACAAGTCTGAGTTTATAGTCATTACACTTACATTGGTATGGCTTTTCATCCACTCAGTATGATCTTATGACCCTACAACTTTACAACCTTCCACTCTCTGGGCTTCATAGCACCTCTCCATTCCAGGTTAATCATTTCTCTGCCATTATCTGCCAAGAGTTCTTATCTCTTTTGCTGTCACTTTATAACAGGGTCCTCTTATCAAGCTGTACAAAATCACGTGACGGGGCCAAACCTATCACAAGTTCCAATTCTTCTGATTAGAGACTATCATGAAATGGGATACATGGTTTACAGCAGGTCACTAATGCTGGAAAAAGTACAGAGTCCACCGAAAGACACGCTTGTTACTTTCTGAATTCTTGGATAATTTTTTTGTTGTTGTTCATCACGCCGACTTTCACTGAAGGTTATTATAGCCTGGGTCTCAAGGCCAGAAAAGTTTACAGGCTGCACCTCTTCCGTACTCAATGCTGTACACCTTGCACCCAAGGGTACCGTATATTTACACTTAATAATGTCTTCTAGTTCTCACACGGCCATCATACAGGAATCTATAAAACATGGACTTACATCAGTCGGTAAGTAACAGTTTTCTGTTTTGATGACTCTGCGTACATATATTAAACTTGAGGCTGCCCAAACTGAAAAAAAAATCATTATGATTGGGCAAGGAAACAAAACCGACTAATTTACACGTGGTTTTAGGCTAATGAGAACTTTATGATGCAATGTAAAAACGTAAGAAAGCAGCTGATGACTGGGTGATTGATTTTTTTCTCAAAGATGTGATTATCAAATATATCATTGGATAATGGGTAGCATTTTTAATATATTACAATTGTCAATAACTATGAAATCGTGCGTGTGTGTAAACAGTTCGTGAAAAGCACAAATTTATCAACAGATTTAAACTGCTCCTGTCCTGACTGTTCTTGTTGAATAAAACCTCAGGAATGCTTTCATGCTTTTTTCTGTAAGCAATACAGATGTTAAATGCAGATGCCTTTTAATATCTAAACCCGCAGGTATATATTCATGCAGTGGGGGTGGGCTGGATAGTGAAAGCTGGTTAATGCTTTAGTGCAGAGAAGAAGCCAATGCTTTCAGCAGCACATGGAAGGGCACCCGCTCTCCGTTGGGAAAGCAGGCGGGCGCGGGTTGCTCCGGTTGCCGGCACGAGGAGCGTTGCACCCCAGGCTGCCAGGGCTGCAGCGGCTGCAGCTGAGCCCCAGCAGTGCCGGAGGTGGCGTGCCAAAGGAGACTGCTCCTGCACGGAGCAGGGGGCTCCTCAGCCTGTACAAGCCCGCCCAGCCACGCTGCAGGTCCCACCGCCCGTGGTTTTGCAAGGCTGTGCCTGGCACAGTGGTTTATGGCAAGGATGAAAGAAGGGAGCTTTGGCCCGGGTGTGGGCACCTGGGCTCGCTCTCCTCCTCTTACCCCCGTAGTGCGTCATTGCATGCAGGCGAGGCACTTGCCCTGATGCTGGGTGTGATATGGGCACCTCGCCATCAAGGGAGGCTCTGGGGCTGTGGGGATGGAGGGTGCAGCAACAGCTGCAGGAAATAGCCTCAAAGCTAGCTGGAACCAGGTCTTGATCTCCTGGGTGGAGCTGCTGCTTATCCCAAGGAAGGGGAGGGTGTCTGTGGAAGGGCTCCCACCTGGGATCTGGCTGTGTCCCAGACAGACAGACCCCAGGACCTCCCTTCTCATTCCCTCCTCCTGCCCCACACCTCCTGCACAAGGATCATGCCCAACGCCACAGCGAGCTTTGCTGGGCTGCAACTGAATGGCAGGAGAATAACACCCCATGGACTGCACCACCAGGCCCACAGCCACCCACCCTCTGGCTGGCAGTGTGCTGGGGTGGGATCCCGGTGCCTCTCCTCGTAGGGAGCCACATGGTCCCGCTGGCAGTGCCCTCAGGTATCCCATCCACAACACCTGGAGAGGGGAAAATAGGACACACCTGGAGAGGGGAAATTAGGACACTCCTCTCCATCATATTTGACCAGCTAAATGTCATCTTCATAGTCTCCAAAAGACCGGCAGGCCTGGGTTCTCTAAACCACGTGGATGTGAGGGACAGATTGGTAGAAGATATAAATTATCAGAGCACTGTTGTCATCATACCTCCAAAACACGCTCACACGTGTGCTGTATTGCAGAAATACCGGATCAGGTTCATTAAGCGTGGCTCAGGAAAAGCAGGTCTAAATCCTGTGAAACTCTGCAATTGTGTGTCCTGGGCCTGGGGAGGGTTCTGCTCGTGTGTGTCACCGCACAGCCAGAGGTCATGGTGGCATCCCTGAAATCACCCAACTCGGCATGTGTAACCTGGCCACCACGTACTGCTCAGGGTTAAATGTGACGGGCACCACTCTGTGGGCTTCTGCTTGAGGGTAGGGGGAACAGGTAGGAAGGAGCTGGATCCTACTCTTACTTGCTCTTAGAGAGTAAGAAGAAGCTGTCCTCCCAGGGTGTAAGCACAACCTGCACCAGGGCCAGGTGTTCTTAAGGGTAAATCCCACCTCAGGCTTTCACTTTTGTCCAGTCCTTCCCAACTCCTCCCTTGTTTTTTCCCCTCCAAGCTGAGGCAGCTCAGGAGGGGCCCTGGCAAGACCTCCATGGCCCCAGCCCCTTGTGCCCAGGCTGGAAGGTGCCTTGGTGGGGGCACTCGCAACACCAGCGTGGGGCCAGGGGGTGCACCCAGCTGGCATGGCTTGGTGTGCAGTATGAATGAGTGAATGAATGAATCCAGCCCCTGTGAATGCAAACAGGGCTCCTCCACTGAGTAAAACGGGGCTGGAGCTGCCCCTCAGAGAGCAAACACAGCCAGCCCAGAGCTGGAGTGTGAGTGGGCACTAAGCTTTGCCCACACTTGCTTGTAGATTTATGGTCAAATAGCCAAAAAGGCATCTGGAATCCACACTATCTTAGCAGTACATCCTATCTGCCAGATGTTGATCATCATAGGGACTTCTGAAAATGTTGATGGAAGTGCCATGGTTTTTTCCACTACCAGTTTCCTAGGCAATACAAAGCTACTCGGCTAGTTTTATTTCTCCTCTAATCAGCCTGTTCTTTCAGTGGCTTTAGGGATACTATGCAACTTTTATAAGCACTAGCTATGATTATTTAACAGAAATAACTGTTTTGTTAACTTGAAAAATAAAATAGTTATAGAGCAGGAAAAATAATCTACTTGCAGTTTCTTACTGTGAGGCTTTTCATCTTGTATAATACTTACTGCCATCTTAATTTTAATGTATGTCCTCAGGCAGTTTACAGTATTATGATATAATTAATGCTCTTGAGTTTGGCAAGGTTTATTTTTCTGTATTATTATTACTAGAGTGCATATATAATGCAGTTTCTTATGACTAACAAAGACAGCAAAGATTTCCTTTAAAAGTTTGGATGAGGATTTTGGCCAGCAATGGTGTGGGCAAAGCTTCCCCAGGAGTGATCAGTATGGGGCTGCCCATGTGAGGGCTGCAAGACCCAGGTCACAGGCAGTTTATGACAGGGACATTTTGATGCTAGTTTTGACTTTTAGGCAATTTTCTTCTCCTTAAATACTTCTCCCGTTGTTATACTGCAAACGAGCGATTTACAGAATTGGCAGTATTTACACCCAATTTTTTCCAGTTAGTCTAAATACCCAAATGCATGAGGCATAATATCAAGGATGATGCCTGTGGTCTCCAGAGGAAAACCTCCAATGCTGCCAAAACGCCTCCAGCCACTCGTCCGTGCGGGTAATTTAAAGGTCAGCTCTCAGGCTGCCTTTATATAGGGTGAAAGGGAAGAATTATCTGCAGCAAGAGTTGTGCTCGGCTGCAGTGTGGAGAAAAACATTACGGCTTCCCATGCCACGTGATTATTAATGCACAGAGTTTACTCATATACTATCTGAGTACATGATAGATATTGCATAGTTAATGTATGCAGCATTAGATATTAATATATATTAATAGATTCTTATACATACTGAACAGGCATGCTTACATGCACAATCCTTATCAAGATTCTCAGTATAAACTATGCTATTTTATCTTTCCATGGTTTGTTTCATGGTTATACACTCATGAGTGGAGAAATCGTGTGATACGTATACATATGAGCTTAGATACGTTGTGTGATACATATATATATGAGCTGAGATATGTTCGTGATGATCAGCCACTAAATTACTTTTTTTAAATAAAGTTTTCCAAGTTTCAAACCACAATTAATATTTGTGAGAGCGGGGGAAGAAGCCTAAACATTTTTTATTTTTTTTTTCCCACCGGCAGATCAAGGTCAGTTGCCTGAGCAAAAAAAAAAAAAAACAAAAAAAAAAAAAAAAAAAAAAAAAAAATTCATTTTTAAGCCTGCCTGCGCAGGACAGAAATCAATTCTCTCTCCAGGCAGCGGCTGGTGGGGACGCAGCGCAGCGCAGGGGCCGCTCGGGAGGGCAGCGCTGCTCCTCCACCGCCCCGCACCGGGGCTGCGGCTCGGCTCCGGGCGGGTGGGACCCGGCGTGGGTCCCCTGCGAGGTTTTCCCCTCCGCACCGCCAGCGGCAACAGGTCCAGGCAGCGCTGCGCTAGGACGCGCCTTGCCTACGGTGGCAGGCGTGCGGTGGTCGTTAAAAAACAGCGAAAATCCGGCAGGCTGCGAATCCCGGGGTGCTTCCTGCCCAAAGGCCGCCGCGTGGCGAAGGCTGCCGGGGCTGCCGGCCCGGGGAAGCCTCCGGCCTCCCTCCGCTGCCCCCCGGCCCCGGGGCAGGCTCCGGGCAGGAGCAAGCAGCGGGGCAGCGGCGGCAGGACGCGGGGAGGGCTCACGCCACCTTCCACCACCTCGGCGGTGACTCACTGAGCAATAAAAGCAGGGCAATCACGGAGATGCTTTACCACCCACTTGGCCCGACACGCTCCTCGCTCTGGAGTATCCCCGAGCTTTGCATCACCCCTCGGTGCCAGGTGTTTATAAGGCAGCGGCGCATTCCAGCGGGCGGCGGTAAGCTCGGCCGGGCTTTAAAAATAGCTGCTCAGTCAATAATTGACTGTTTGGAAATGTTCTCTGCTCCGGACCAGGGAGGATCGACTTCTCCGTAAGGCAGCAGAGAATGATTCGCAGCAGAAAAAAATTGCAACAGGCTTTGGAAAGTGATCCTCTGTGGTGTGCGTTTTACTACAGAAAGTATTTCAGCCCGAAGCACCCACTCCGTTTCGCTGACAGCGGATCAAAAACATTGCAGAAAAATAAAGTATGTTTTTGTGGGTTGTTTTTTCCAGTTCTCTAGAAGGGACAGATTATTTTCTAAAGCCTGAGTCGGAGGCACTAACAACCTCCACCCAAATGAATCCCTAGGAATTAAACACAACATTTCCTCGGCAAAGTCAGGAGGAGAGCCCGTTGGCTATGCGATTTGGAAAGGTTCAAGGAACCCTCCCCTTTGTAGCACAGGGGTGATCTGTTTGTGACAAGGAAGCAAGGGAGGGGTGAAGACACGGGGAGAGAGAGGAAGAGAGAAGAGAAATAGAGTAAAGATAAGAGAAGAGTAATATAAGAGAAGAGAAGAGAAGAGAAGAGAATATCTAAGAGAAGAGAAGAAGAGAGAGAAGACTAAGCAGAAAGAAGCTCCTCGACGAGCAGAGACGACGCAGAGAGAAGGAAAACTCCTCTCCTCCCCTCCCCCCTCCCACCTCACCATCCCCTCACCCCCCCACCCCGAAAAGAAAAGAAAAGAAAAGAAAAGAAAAGAAAAGAAAAGAAAAGAAAAGAAAAGAAAAGAAAAGAAAAGAAAAGAAAAGAAAAGTTTGTGATAAATGCATATTCCCTGGTACAAACAGTCTCGTGAAGTTGTGCGGAGGGGTGTGTGAGATGCTGCCGCACACGCATTACAAACGCCGCAGCTGCAGAGGGCTCCTGCGCACGCCGCCCGCTGTCCCCCGCTGCCTGCTCCGGGGCATATCCCCGGGGCTGGGGCGGTGTTTGGGGCGGTGTGTGGGGCCGTGTGTGGGGCGGGCGGTGTGCCGGGACAGGTTGGCTGAAGCCACTGGTTTCAGGGAGCGATTGCGCAGCTTGACTCTGGGGCTGCACATGTGAGCGCTCAGTGGGAGAGGACGGGGGAGAGGATGCGGATTTCTCTCCTTAAAGACTTCCCTGTGAGTCTTGTTGATTGGCGTCGCATTTAGACTTCCCAGCAGAAACTTTCCAGTCTTTCATTAATTTCTCTCATTTGTTTCTGCGAAGTTTGTCTTGAACACTCCCGCCAAAAAGCTCTCGCTGGAGTTTGCTTGCTGGGAAGGTAAATGAAACCTTCGGGGCACTTCCCTGCGCGGAGGTAGAAGGGAGCGTGCTGTTTGGTGCTCCTCGAGCAGATCCTCAGAGATGGAAATGTCCCCGCTTAGGGGAAAATTTGCCCGGGTTCTGTGGCCTCTTTGAAGCTGTAAGAAATGGGAGCCTGCCTTCAAATAGCATCACACAGAACCCTCCGCCTTGAAAACAGAGAGGTGGAAGAAGCTTCAGATTATTTAAAATTAGACGGCGTTTTTTTAATGTAAATGTACATACATTTAAATAGGGAAGTATAAAATATTCCAGGTCTTGATCCTTGTACTAATCAAGGCTGCTGGAGGCTCCCCGAGCCATCATCTTTTATAATTATAATTACACGCGTCAATCAAGACCTTCAGGCAAAGTCAGAACAAGGCAGGCAAACTCAGGAGAGAAATCACATTTAAAAAAAAAAAAAAAAGTTTGGAGAACTTAGTAAGGAATGGAGAAGAGATTAGAAGAAAGGGTAATTAAGGTTGCTCAAGGCAATCGTGAGAGCTGGAACTCCATGTTAAATTAAATGTAGCCACAAGGGACCAGGTATCATTTATAATGTGTACTGCCCTAAACTGTTACTTCGAAGAAACGTGGATGTGTAATAACCACTCCAAAGTATTTTCATCTATGGCGATAGCTCGCGGAGCAGCTTTGCGATGTACACTTTGAACGGGCTCCAAAGCCTTCCCGGAGGAATGACACTGAGCCCACGGGGGGGAGCGAAGCGCTCGGGGACGGGGGCTAGGGCCAGGACCCGAGGGGGTGGCCGGGGAGAGCCCCTCCGCCGGGGCACAGGCGGCCGTCCCGTCCCGTCCCACTCCCGGCGGCTCCCTCCTGCCCTGTCCGGGCTCGGGGTTTTCTTCTCCCCCGGCTTTCTCCCGAAACGCGGGTGCCGTTCCCGGAGCAGAAGTCCCGGGGCGCCTCCCCGCAGCGGGGCCGGCAGGGAAAGCAGCACCTGGTTCCCCGACGGCGCCCCACCGCTGCGCGGCACCCAGGCGTGCCGAGGCCTGCCGGCGAGCCCGCGGGGCCGTGCTCCGACGGCTGCTCTCCCGCGGGGACCCTCAGCCCTCCGGGCTGCCGGGAGCGGGCGCGGGCGGTGCGGTGAGAGCGGGGGTCGCAGCCCGCACAGCCAGGGCCCAGGCGGGGGCTCAGCCCCACCTGCTTTCGGCCCGGAGGCGCGGGCATCCCCGCTCTCCCTGCGGGCGGCTTGCGGCCTCAGCCTTCAGCCGGCCGGGCCCGCAGCTCGCCACGTCCCCCCGCTAAAACTCGTTGGAGGCGAACCGCTAGGATGTGAAATTGTAAGCGGAGGAACAGCCTCGGTACAGAGCGAGGCTGCCCGGCACCGAGGGGAACGGGAGAAGGGAAGGAGCCCGAGAGGTCCCAGCCTCTCTGCGCGTTGGGTCCGTCCCCGAACTGCCAAACCCTGCGCGGAGAGGGAAAGGAATGAGAGAAAATCGATTTCAGCGCTGCCGGGGCAGGGCTGGCTCGGGATGTGCGCTGCTTTAGACGAAGAGCTCTTCTCCCGCTCGGTGGCTGCGGGAGGTTCAAAGCTTGAGGACCGCGGCGCGCCCGGGCCCGTGGCCGCAGGTGGCCGGTCCCCCCCCGCGCCCCATCTTTCGATCGCCCCCGGAGCTCAGCAAGTCCGCACCGGGGGCAGCTTTTACCCAATCCGCCCCAATCGATAGGAAACGAGGCACCCGCGCTGCGGGCAGTGCCGCGCCTCGCCTTGGGTCGGAAGCACCTCTCACCGCCAAAGGTTTTCACCTCGGAGCGCGCACAACGGCGCTGAGCGCACGGAAGCAGCGCGGGCGGCAGAAGGGGCAGGAGCCGCTCAGCCCGCCCCGGTGGGCCCCGGCGGGGTGGGCGGGGGTCCGGCCGGGGTCACCGGGCAGCCCGGACCCCCGGCCCCCGCCGTGCCAGCGGGGCCTCCCCGGCTCTCACCGCCCAGGCACGAAACGAGCGGTTCGGGACAGCTCTGCAGGCAGTGCCGGCCGGGGAAGGGAGGCACGGCTCCGCCAGGGCACTGGTTTTTGCGCAAACGGTGCAGCGGCACGTTTCGCAAGAAGTTTTAGGGAAGGGAGCCCCGAAAAGCCAGACTAGGTAGGGTGAGCTCAAGCGCGGCTCCTGCCCGCTTATTCCAGGTTCCCGCTGCCCCCCGCCCGCAGGGAAGGCGAGCGCCGGGGGTCCCGCAGCCGCCGCCGGCCCCGGGGAGCTGCCGAGGGGCTGCCCGGGGCAGGGAGGCGCAGCCGGGCTGGTGCCCGGGGGGGCTCCGCTGGGGCTGGGTGGGGGGGTGACCGCAGCTCCCGGCCCCCGACCCAACCAGCGGGCGGGGGGCGAGTGGGTTCTGCTCGTGTGTGTGTGTGTGAGGGTGTTGCTCATCGCGGCCCTGCCTTCCTGGCTGCGAGGGCGGTGTCAGTGCCCCCCTCCGCCGGAGCCCCCCGCAGCCCCCGGGCTCCGGGAGCGCCTCCCCGCGGGCCAGGGGCTGGAGGTCCTGACTCGGCACCTCCGCACTTGTGGCGGGGGAAAAGGGGGGGGGGAAGAAGGAGGAGGAGGAGGAGGAGGGAGGAAGGGAGGAGGGGGACGGGGGTGGGAACCCTGTCCAGCAGCACCAGCGGCGGCAGAGCGCTCCCGTGCACTGTGCCGCTCCGCATGGATCGGGGCGCCGGGCTGCCGCCGCGCTGAGCCCCGGGCGGAGCCGCTGCGGGCTCCCGGGGTCGCCCCTTCCTCTCCTGCGCCCCCCGACCTTCCTCCTCCTCCTCCTCCTCTCCGCCCCCGCCGCCTGCAGCCCGACCACCGCAGCCGCGGGCACCCGGCGGCGCTTCCCGGCGGCCGGGGCCGCTCGGTGCTCCCGCGGCAGCAGGGCAAGGGCTGGCGTGGAGCAGAGGGAGGAAAGAGGAGGAGGAGGAAGAGGAGGAGGAAGAGGCAGCGGCCGCCGAGCGCCCCTTGGTCCAGCTAAATCTGTGCTGCCGTGTCCAGGTGCTGGTGTCGCGGACGGTCACGGAGCCCCCAGCCCGGCCCGCAGCCGCCTTGTCATGCTGCCCAAAGTGGAGACGGAGGCCCTGGGACTCGCCCGGTCGAATGGGGAACAGGGGCAGATGCCGGAAAACATGCAAGGTAAGGGGGGACGGGCACGGCGCTCCCCCTCCGCTCACGCTCGGCTCCTACCCCTCTGGCGAGGCGCCCCTTCGTCCTGCCAAAAAGTTTGGGGCCGCCGGCTCCCGGCGCTGGCCGGGGGGAGCCTTCCCCGGGACGCCGTGCTCGGGTCCGCCCGGCCAGCGGGGGCTCAGCCCCGGGCCGCCCCAAAAACTCTCGCCAAGTTGGCGGCGGCGGAGCTGCGGGGGGGTCCTGCAGAGGACACCCCGTGAGCCGCCCCCGGGGCCCCGAGCGGCACCGGGCTGTCCCCCGGGCGCAGCGCAGGTGGCGGCGGTGCGAAACTTCGGGGGTGGCAGCGGGATGCCCGGGCTGGGAATGCCACCGGGGGGCAGCGGAGCCCCCGTCCGAGGGCTGCCCCGGGAGGGGGCGGCTGCCCGGTGCTCGGACCCTGCCCGCTCCGCCCTCCCCCGCGGTGGAAACTCCGGTCCCGGCCGCTCTTTCGAAATTCTGCCCTCTCCTTCCCGGGACCTGCTGGGAAGCCGGGGCGGGGTGGGCCGGGGGCCGCGGAGGTGCTGGGGGCGGCCAGCCCAGCCCAGCCCTCTCCTCCTCCCCTTCTCTCGCCCTCGGAGGAGGCTCGGTGCCAGGGCGCGGCGCTCGGAAACCCCCTGCTTTCCCACTCGGGTTTTCCTGCGAGGAGGGGAACTCGCTCCCAGCGGCCGGGAGCAGAGGGGGGGACCGTGCCGGGCCCTCCTCCGAGTCCCCCCAGGCTCTGGCAGGCGGCGGGTCGGGCCGGACTGCGGCCGCTCCCCTGCCCCGAGCCGCGCCGTGCCGGAGGCAGCAGCCCGGGGGTGCCGCTCGCCTCGCTCGGGAGCCCCCCGCCGCCGCCGTCCTTGCCCAGCAGGACCCCGCCGGCCGCCCCCAGAGCCCCAGGGGCGAGCTGCCCCCAGCCCAGCTCGCCCCGAGCTCGCCGCTTCGGCGAGTGGGTACCCGGCGGGGCTGCGGGACGCGCTGGGGCTCAGCAAATATTTGCGGGCTGGCGCTGCAAGAAAAGTCGAAAGGAAACGAACGCGGTTACTGTCCGCCGGCGGCACTTCCAGCTTCGCGTCCCGCCTTTTTAAAGCCCGTCCTCGGCTACTTTCGGATTTGGATGAATTCAGGCAGTTGGGGATGCCGCAAACACGGCGCTGGGTCGCGGGCGCTCGGGCAGCTGTTCATATTTAGAGCAGGAAGGCGAGGAGCCGGCGGGGTTGTGTCCCACCTGCCAAGTATCACGCGGCTTTGCAGTTGGGGAAAAGTTACGCGTTCCCGTGCAAGCTCCGCTTTTAAAAATAAAACTTTTTGCAGTTCGCAGCGGCGTGCTTAAAGAACTTTCCCTCTAGACGAAAACAGTTGCAGAAAAAGTGAGCTATTCACGTAACTCTAATTGAATGTGCTATCTCTCCTTTTCCCAGTGTCTCAGTTTAAAATGGTGAATTACTCTTATGATGAAGACCTTGAGGAACTGTGTCCAGTCTGTGGAGACAAAGTGTCTGGGTACCATTACGGACTTCTCACCTGTGAAAGCTGCAAGGTTCTGTACCAATTTCTTCATACAAACAGAAGTACAGCCCCAAAAAGTTCCAAACAATCAGGAAAAAACAGATAATTGAAAAATATAGATGTGTAATAATTTGGCTTACTTCTGATGTGTTTCTTGTTAGTCACATGAAAAATTAACCACCAAAGCATTTGAGATCTCACCAAGCATATTTGTACAGATGGAAAAAAACAACTTGGACTGGTTTGGATTGGAGTTTTATCACTGCTTTTAAGTGTTTTGCTGTTGTAAAGTGATGTAGCTAAAGAACACCTTTCCTTCCTAACTGTCCTAAATATTGATTTTAGTTGATTTATATACATTTATAGCATTGCTGTTCCCAGAGGATAAAGTGAAAAAGTATCCTCAATACAGAGCAGTTTTGCAAAGTCTAATGCAGCTTTCTTAAGATTTTCCATCCTTCAACATTATCATGTAAATTTCTGGGATTATGATGACCTTGCACTTTTTTATACAAACTATATACTCTCAGAGCTCACTTGACACAGAGTCGAGTAGCTATTGTATAATTAAATTACTAATTCTGAGAATAAAATATTTGTTAATTTATCTTCAAACATGAGTTGCATATATCTGAATGATTCTATTATACAAAAGAGTTTAAACAGTTTCAAATTTATAGCATGTCAAATTTGTCATGTAAAAATGTTTTAAGTTCTTTGCAATTTTTTAAGTAATGCCCTGTAAAGGAACCTCCTTTGCCAGAACAATGCAATTTAAGATATTTAGTGGCATGGGAAAATTAACTTAGCACATTATATTTTCATTAAAAAAAAAAAAAATCAATGAGAAGTGAATAACAAGCACTTATGCCTTTAGCATGCACCATTGGGATGTACATTAGCAGGAGGTATTCTGTATTTCTGTTATCTTTGCCATAGAGTTCCTACTTATTTCATATAGAATTACTTTCCAGGGAACACTTCAGTCATTTTACAATCATTGAGAAATACAAAAAGAGCTGGTCAACCTCTCTACTGCTGCTACCACTGCTAGGGGCACAGGAGAGTATAGCCAGTCTTGTTAAGCTTTGACGTAAGTGTATAAAACATAGCCCTAATACAGGAAAACCTCTAGACTCTGGTGGTTTTCTCCTGGGTACGGCTCTCTGTAATTTAAAGTAAACCATATAACTTCAGAAGTTCTCAAGTGGTGTATGAAAAATACACTACAGTGATTTCTGTAAAATAAAATGCTGAAACACTGTTCAAGCAACAGAAGCTAACTTTTGTGTCTATCATGCAGGGATTCTTTAAGCGAACAGTCCAGAATAACAAAAGGTACACATGTATAGAAAATCAGAATTGCCAGATTGACAAAACACAGAGAAAACGATGTCCTTACTGTCGATTTCAAAAATGCCTAAGCGTTGGAATGAAATTAGAAGGTAAGCCCTATAAGTTTTGCTCGTATTGTCAACTATAGATTAATTCCTGAAAAATAAGGACTACATATGATACATACTGGTTTATAAAAAATATGCTATGTATTTATCATGTTTTTGAAGTTACAGTAAAAGGTAACTTTGTGAGTTCAATGAAATTGTTGCTCTCTAAAGGAAATCTAATGAGTAAATGGAAAGTCACTAAAGCCTAGTCAAAACCATAAACTCAAATTTCATATACATATGTTTTGATATTTCAGTACTTTTGAGCTTTTGAATGAAGGGATCTAGATAGTATGGAAATTAGTTTTGCAGCTTTATTTAATGTTTAACCTAAATTAAGTCTTTTTATAAGAAGAGTCCAGATTTTAAAAAGTCATTGTTACAGACAGTGATCCAATTTTATTTCTATTTTGTCTGGTTGTTGTTTTGTTTGTTTTTAAATAATATCTTCTAATAATGTAGCATAGGTGAGAGAGAAAATGTGTACTTCTCACACTGACCTGCTTTGGGATTAAAGAACAAAATCTCTTAAATTACATCCTATATTTTTTGTGATGCTACACCTGAGATGTTAGTACTAATGAAAGAGTAAGAATTTTGAAGTATATTTTTTGACTTCATTTGGCTCTCTCAGGTAGAGAAGAATGAGAAGTGTACAATACCCTTTGAGATAATGCAATGCGCAATAATCATTCTGATTAAAATGTGAGACTCATACACAACTTTAACTTTGATATATAGAATACTAAAATTCAGATTTCACAGCAAATGAATGGAATTTCTGCTTGACCAAGGACAAGCTTATAAAATCCTTATTTTAAAAATCATACTGAAATCACATTCACCTGACACTTATAGGAAGAATCAGACCAGTAAGGGATACAATAAACCTTTAAAAGAACCATATAGCATAAGCCCCTGTCACCTGAGTTTGGCAACGGAAATCTGTTGATATAACTGAAGATCAACAGAATACTCAGCCTCCTGCAGTCTGATGAATTCAGCACTACTCTTAATCGCCCACGAGACTCAGCTAGCACTGACACTGCACTAAACATTCTGAATCGCACAGTCTTCCAAATTCAAACAGTAATATAATAGGACATTTGGAATCCTTTTCTCATTGTTGACATAAAGAATGAGGACAAAATACCTGTAACTACTGCTACTTCTAACACCTCTCAATTGCTGGCAATGATATGGGACCAAATTTTGTGCTTCCGCAATTACAAGCAATATACCCTAGTATCTGTAGGACTTACATGAGAGTATGTGCTAATAGAATTTGGCTTACAGTTGTTAATTCTAGAATACTTGGAAGGATACTGTATATACATGTTTAAAGTTAATTACATTTAGCAGCATGGTGATTTAATTATTTTAAATTCCTGCATTTCATTCAATATCAACATTCAGCAGCAATAGTAGAAGCAATTTTACTACAAATGTAAGTAAAGTACATGTATTTTTAAAGATACTTTTAAAATGTACTTTAACTTCCTTAGCTGTACACACACAACTTTTCCTCTATTTAGAAAATCAGAAGAATGCGTACTTCCATAATTGTAAATGTTTGTGATATTTATGTGTATTTCCCTGATAGTGATATATATAGCCTTAAAGTCTAGTTCATAAATTACCATGGACCAAAAAAAATCATTAAACGTTAAAGTCCTTATGATAATGTACAGTATTATGCGTATCTAGCATTCATAATAAATTTTTAATGTTCTACTAATCCCTAAGATAAAAAGCTCAAGAACTTAACCTCCAGCAATCTCAGCAGTCTCAACATGTCACCAGGTTGTCAAAGGTTCCTCTTTCAATCTAATTGCCGCTGGGCAAGGTGGGCTTGGTGGGAGCTCCTCGCTAGACCATTACATATATACCATGGTGACAGACACTGCTGTGACAGAGACCACCAGTATGATTCCCAAGGCAGCTGTTGAAGTGGATTTGTTTTAATTATTCCTAATTCCGGAGATATTACAAGCCAGAACAGCGCCAATAGTTTCCGTGTCACTTCCACCTTCCACATGGAAGGCAGTGAGCTGACAGTTTTCTCTCTGCACGTTCCAACTGCAGCTAAACATTTCTGTAAAGCTGTTCAGATATCTAGATTTTTTTTCCAAGTTCTACACCAATTTGAACAGAATCCTCAAAAGAAAATATTTCCTTTTTTGCCAAGAAAAACATATTCCCCTTTGTGACTACTAAACATTTCACAATTTACGTTTCAGATGTTTTGCTGCCGTGGAAGGCAGTAATAGAATGATTATAATGAGACAGTGGGGTCCACTGAATACATCTCAAATTTTGGACATCAGCCCTTGTTTCTTAATGACATAGTAGCTTGACGAAATCAAACATACATTGAAATCTCCACATGATCCTATAGCAGGTGTGAAATTCCTGCAGCCAACCATTGTGTTTGTCCCTGTCTCCTAATCAATGTAAAGAGCAGTTCTTTCATGTTAGCGACATGCATGGTATATTTAAATTACCTGAAAAAAGGGACATTTAATAATTTTTTTTCTTCAGGAATAAAAGTGCTACTTTGAAATTGAAAAAAAAAAATCATGCAGTTACATTTTTACATTTCTGCTCTGTCTTACTATGTTTCTTTAAAGAATGTTGATTTCAAGTTTTCGTTATGATGTACTTCTCTCCCCTGACAGCTGTGCGAGCTGACCGAATGCGTGGCGGTAGAAACAAGTTTGGACCAATGTACAAGAGAGACAGGGCACTGAAGCAGCAGAAGAAAGCTCTTATCCGAGCAAATGGACTTAAACTGGAAGCCATGACTCAGGTGATCCAAGCAATGCCAACTGACCTGACAATATCCTCTGCGATCCAGAACATCCATTCTGCCTCCAAAGGCCTACCTCTGAACCACACTGCCTTGCCTCCTACAGACTATGACAGAAGTCCCTTTGTAACCTCTCCGATTAGTATGACAATGCCACCCCACGGCAGCTTGCAAGGTTACCAAACATATGGCCATTTTCCAAGCCGTGCTATCAAGTCTGAGTACCCTGACCCTTACACTAGCTCACCAGAGTCAATAATGGGATACTCATACATGGATAGTTACCAAACAAGCTCACCAGCAAGTATTCCACATCTGATATTGGAACTCCTCAAATGTGAGCCAGATGAGCCACAAGTCCAAGCTAAGATCATGGCATATCTGCAGCAGGAGCAAGCCAACAGAAGCAAACACGAGAAGCTCAACACATTTGGGCTTATGTGTAAAATGGCTGACCAAACCCTCTTCTCCATTGTCGAGTGGGCTAGGAGTAGCATCTTTTTTAGAGAACTTAAGGTAGGTAACAATCTTACATTATATTCAATTCAGAACAAAAGATAATTTTTACAATGTTGTACTTTGAGCAAGAGAGTATGGTTTGTCTTCTTTTTTCCCCCCAAGCATCTCTAATTTATTTGGCTTTAAGTAGACAGATAATTATGAGGAGAAATTTGTACCCGTCTTCCACCTGAGCCTGTAATAAGCTGTATCAAGGAATTTCACATTTCAGTTCCTCTCTTCTGTATTTTACTACTTATCACAACTGTTATTAACCTCCATAGGGACTAGCATGAATTTTACTCCTTGTCATCCTTTCTCTCTGACTTGTATTCCGAGCTGTAAGCATACCTGTTACACCATTCTACACTTGTTTACAAACTTACCATCTCATTTAACACAGAATGGAACCCTATTTCTGCCATCTGCGTGGACTCTATGTGTATGACCATATTGGAATATTAACTTTCTCACTGGGATATTAGTGTGCATGTGTGTGTGTAGTTAGCCATGAAGGCTAAGTCCTAAGCAGGGTACACACAGAACAGAAAGCAAGGAGGAAGAAAATTACCTTAAGGACTTCTTTTGGTTCTCGTCACTACTGATACATCGGGGATTCCTGTAATCTACACTAGCTGCAATGACCTTTAGGCTCTTATTTTTATTGGTGCACTAGGAAGTGGGACTACCCAATAAATGCTTATGCACAGCTCTCTGGTGGACAGAAATTCCCCCATATACATTCAAGGTTATTCATTAAGGCAATTTTGTGGTTTGTTGTGGTCAGCTCTGACACTGAAATATTAAGCCAAAAATTTGGAATCAGACAATAGAGATAAACTAGTTTTTAACCACTCTCTCAATGTAGAAGTTAGCTCTAGAATGAATAAAAGATCCACCTAAAAAAAAAAAAATCACCGCATATGTAAATTACATCTGAATTTCCCTATTGCATTGCCAGTCACTGAATATCCTCCTGCAACAGGGAGATGTTTTTTGCCACAACTATTTGCTGCCGAACTCTGTAAATTTGTGACCACCCATAACTTTTTAGTTACTCTTGTGTAACAAAGGGAAAATAATACAATATCCAAATACAAGAGTTACTGTAGAAGTTCACTGAGAATTGAATCTATACTTATCGAGCACAGAGGGGATCTTATTAAAAATCTGCAGTCAGGATGCTTGCCACAACAGAATTTCCATCATAACCATAATGACGCAGAGATGAAATAAAGCCCATGATTGCAAGAAAAGCAAGCTGTGTATGTTGTATATACAATGCCAGCTTCTCTCAAACTTTTCCATACAAATAGTTGCAGGAACCATTATAAGCTCAGCATAAATAAAGAGAAATAAGGGACAAAGCTTCCTCAGAAGGGAAAGAGAAGTTGGATTAAAAAGGGGAGAAAGCTGTCACATCTTAGTTTGCTATTTGCTTTTTGTAATTTTATAGTAAGCTAAGCTGCTCATTTTAAGTAATTTAACAATTAGAATTGCAACACATTTCCAAGAGACTATGTCCTAAAAATCGGGGACCAGATCTTTCAACCCATACAGTACTTTAGTCTGGAGTAACCATTTTAAAGATTACCAAGATTTCCAGAAGATACTGTTCAGTGTAAGAATTAAGTTAAGATCTGCCTTAAAAATCACAGGTATGATACAAGTGATAATATGAAAAGATACTTAAGCAACATTTACTTTTTATGGTTCTATTGCTTAATCTGTAGGCAGATTTCATATACATTCAACATGCTATGCTGGTAACAGTTCTAGAGACGGTCTTTACCTCCAAGCTCAGGCTGGTTGATATTCTTCAACCAATGCATGCTTACTACTACAGACATAAAAGACACAGAAATGTTTTTCATGAAAGTTTTGATCAACTGCTCCTAACTCTGGTAGAACATGTATACTACCACACAAATACAGACTTCTATAAATACGTAGGTTCTAGAAATTCACTACACACAAAAATGGCCAGTGAACTTTTTCCACACATTTATGGGAAGCATCAGTTTCATCATATATCCATACCCTTATATATATACACATACATACATATATATATATATATATATGTGTGTGATTTTTAATTGGACGAGCTCTACTAAACTGCACAGCATTCCAGAACAATGTCACCACATTTGGAAATCCATCATTTAGGGACCAGATAACACAACACTAGGAACCTTAAACTTCAACTTCAAAAACATGAGGTTCTCAAAACACATTTAGATTAGACTCTACATTGTTAACTGCACCAGGTAACACCATCTCTTAGCAGCAGAGAATCAGAATTAAACAAAGAATTTCCAAACCTTTCTTGAATATGGCCCTCTTCTGTCCATCCATGCTGTCAGCTCCTTCTGATCATGTAGAAAAAGCAGCTATTTCAGATTGCTCTGGAGGACATGAATACCTGTGGAAATTAAAAAAAATAAACAAGTAAATGACAGATTTTAAATGAAGAAGGAAGGGAAGAGGCAGTTGTGAGGAAGAAACAGCTAGATTTTCAAATCAGCTAACTTTGTTCCCTACCTACACACGGCTGAGAAGTATGTATTTGCTTGAGAAGACACTTTCCTGTTCTTACTTGTCTATACAAAGACTACATCTTCAGATGTCTTCCAGATAAGATAGGTGCATTAGCAGATCTGACACTAAATTTTTAAATGACACAAATAATGAAAGAATAAAAAGGTATACAAAGGTAGGTCATATGAAATTTAGAATGATTTTGTAGTAGCAAATTATTTCCTTGCACAACTGGCTGTGAGTTACCAAACAGTATGTACACAATTCTCTTCTGTATCCTTTCACTTCATTCTAAAGAAAGAAACGTGTAAGACTAGCTTTAATTCATATAAAAGCACAAACATTTTCCTTTCTCCTAGACACTTAGGCATTTGTAGCTAGCAGAGGTCAGGAGGTATAGAAAGGGATGAAAAAATGTTGTCCCAGACTATCAGTGGTTTAAGCCATATTTAGTCTAGATATAACCTAAAAACAAACAAAAACATTGAATTACAGTTTTAAAGCTTTTTCTTTTCTTTCCATTTTTCTGAAAAATGATTTATTATTATTTTTTAATCTCAAGTGATACTAGATGTTTTAAAACAACTTTGTTTCATGAAGCTTTTATCAGCCTCTGTTTATCACAATTTTCACACCTGTTGCTCTACAAATTGTCAACATGTCTTTTGGAATGTGTTAGGCATATGGCATGTACAAAGTCAAAATATTCATCAGCCAGAACTAGCTGCAAAGTACTTTTAAAAAAGTACATAATGTAATGCTTATACTTGCTAAAGAGCAGATCCTTCTATATTCATATTGGATATCAGAAATTAACAGAAGTATTAGTGAAGTAAACTAGTGAGAATGAGTACCAATGCCAGGACAAGATCCAAAGCAGACAGCTGCAATCTAGTAACTTTGACTTGAACACCTGCTAAAATCTCAAACATACATCTATCTTGTGAAATCAGGGTGCTCTGTCATTAGAAATTACATGAGAAATTCTCTTTTGACATCACATAATGCTTACTTACTCATCAAGAGAAATGTTTCTGTACAGTTCTTTAGACACAGATGAAATAAGAATATAGAAGCAACATGCCAGTAAAATAGCGAAGAAGGCCTTTGTCGGCTATTTTCTGGAGTTGCTGAAAGCTCAGTAAATATAAAAGAAAGATATATCCATCTTATCCTTAGCTATGAAAACTCAGGAATGCCCTGGGGATGCTAGATTTGTAGCCAGCTGTCTTAGTCAGGTGAAAGGTCTTTGTACAAAGCTAAAAAGAAAATATTGCAAGAGTTTCTAGAGTCCAAAGGTTACCTGGCCCCAAGAAAGGATGCAGACAGTTCCAGTGGACTGGTCTTTCCTCATCAGCTCACATCAGGGAAAATTCAACAACTACTTCCAAAGTATTCCTCAACCCATAAAAGAAAGCTGTCTTTGCTTGGGGCAGAAGAAAACAGAACCTGCACTGGAGAACAGTCCTCAGAACACTTTCTTGTGACAGAGGATCAGAAAATTCACTAAATATAGATAATTACAAAAAAAGGGCTTAAATAATCTGCAACTCACACAAAAAAAAAAAAATCTACCTTGACTTATTTGGCTATTTTAGTGAGGATGTCATAGGTCAAAGTACTAGGTGAGCACAAGCCCAATTAGTGAATGATTGCAGGAAGAGCCAGCATACTTCACATTAAAGAAGCTTATCCTAAAACTATTCACTGAGTTTGCAAATTGATTTAGGCCATTCACTGATGTCAGACTGTATCAGTTCTGGGATAGACTCCTTGCTATAAGTACAAATTTGTCTGTGCTTGCATTAGCTGTAAACGTGGCCTTCAAAGAAACAATGGTTTAACCACATATCTCAAAAGAATCCCATCTTGCAGGACTTCTACTGTACAATGGAAACAGATGTTTTGGCAGCTAAAAAGCAAACACATGCCTAGTTTTGTATTACATATCCCTTGTAAGTACAACTACATTAGCAGAGTTTCAAATTGATACTTAAAGCAGTACAAACTTAATGTGAATAGGGTCAGCAGAACTACTGGTGTCTCTCTTGTAATATGCCTTTCGATAGCTACAGTAATAATAGTCAATACATCACGGTTAATTTCAAACTTCGGTCTTCTTGAAATTAAATGGCAAGGAATGCACAGAAAAAAACAAGAATTTACAGGAGAGAAAGTGAATTATTAAACCAAATGAATACAGATTAGGGGAAAAAATAGGGGGTTGGTCTTTTTTTTTTTTTTTTTTTTTGAGAACAAGTATCAGTAGTGGAATACCTTAAAAGTTCTTCTTCAGGGTGATGAAAGGTTGATACATTATTTAGACTTAAGTAATCAAAGGCAATTTGATAACTTCAAGTGCTTTTGGACTTTGTAACACACATTTATCAGGACAGGAAGTGTAACTAACGTAGCTGATGAAATAAAACTGTAGTGTTCTTTTAGTCAGGGAAGCAGCCAGAAACTGAGGTTCAAGATTGCCCTTCGTGTCAGTAGTCAGACTAGTGAATATGCTGTCATATGTAGTTACTGATTTTTGGTCTGGTTTGAGTGCATTTGGATCTGAAAAAAAAAATCACCATTTTCCTCAAACATTAAATGTCGGGGTAAACAGAAAAGTATTCCTCTCACACAGCTAATGTTCTTTGCATTAGAATCATTAATTTAACTAAATATTCTTGGATTGTGAAAGACAAGCATTCATAACAAGTATGTTTTGTCTGAAATGTGGAAAGTAGTAGTAAAACAATCTCTATGGAAAGATGCCTCAGCACAAAAAACAGTGTTTAATGAAGCACGGGATTATACCTGCCACCCTACTGAACCTTGTAGGGAACACTCTGTTAGAAGTTAACTTCATGATCATCTTCTTGATCTCTTCTGAACAAAGGATGTGACTAAATGCAGTATTTCAGCATACAGGCATGCCATTTTGTAGCCTTCCTAAACAGCTTGTTCACTGCTAAGCCTCTGGCACTTTTTCTAGGGGTAAGAAGAAAGACAACATTCTCCTATGTCCATTCATGTCAAAGCTGTGTACTTTCCTGCTACCAGAGGTGACAACATGGTGGAGTTAGATTGAATTCAGCCACCCTGGATTTAGTCACTTTTCCATCTGATGTCTGATGTTCAGAATTGGGCTGAGACTATGCAGTCATGCTTCACGCAGGTGTTTTGTTTGTTTGTTTTAAGACCTACTATTGAGTGGATTTGCCATTACAAGTTACTTTTTTCCTTCAAAAGTGTAAATTTCCAATTAGAAGCACAAGACAGCGGTGAGCTGCACCAGTAGAAAGATTAACTGGGTATACTACCAAATGCATATTTCATTTTTGTAGGGCAGTATGAAGACAATGCTGTTCAGAACTCACACGCTGTGGTTAGTTCGAGATAATACTAAATTCTAATAATGAAAAGTTGCACTGATGTTACTATAGCCTATTGTATTCTCAGAACACTACTTTAAACTGTTATTTTCTGCTGTGATGATTTGATATTTTTGCTAAATGCTAGAGAGAATGTTACACATTAAAAGCAAAGAAAAAATAACTCCTCTTGGAGTTTCTCTTGGAAAATAATGATGTATTTCAAATTTTGCTCCAGACTGTCAGTTTTATTGGTAAAATGACAGACTTTCATTTGCAAAGAACTCTTTGCCATGTTTCTGCCACGAAAATAATGCTATTTGCACCACCACAACCCTCCTTGAAAATTAAGGCATTTCTTAGAACCAGGCAATAAATCTTACTGTGGGAAGAACATGACTCTACTCTGTGGAAGTTGTTCATTCACATCCAATGATTTTGTATGATACATGTATCACTCTGATACAGTGCATATGTATATTACTCTTATAATATTTCTGACGGTTTGCCTCTATACCAAGGCTGTTTAGATTTAACAACATTCGTCTGCTAACCTGTAGGCTTCAGGATGACCTGCAGAAAGGATGAAATCCCAGCCATAATGTTGTCACTTACAGACTTCCTATCAATCCTTCTAAAAGCCTATAATATAAAATCATGTTATTTTATAATTTCATATGTAAAGATAAGCTGCTCCACATCAAGGGATGATCACCTTTATATATACAGTACTGTGGAGTCAATAGCTTTACATAATCCACTCAGCTCTAGGCCTGAAAAATACTGACAAAGTGATAACAAGAGTTGAAGGAAGGGTGATTTATGAAGAAAGATTAAGAGATTCAAGTTTCCACAGCTTGATGAAACAACAAATACAGCCATATAACAACCATGTAGAAGCACAACACCTGAACAAAACGGACTTCAGCCAGCGAGGAGCTGCGCTTTACTGGTTGTGGCACTAACAAGATGGCTTCCGCCACATCCAGTCAGACTCACTACTGGAGGAAAGGCCTAAAGCTGAGAGCTATCAGGTTGTACTTTCAGGCTGAATGCACTCTACAACCTTATAGTCACAGAAGCATAATAAAACACTTAACTCTTTTCAATCTCCGATATTAAAATTATTATGAAATTATTGTTTTACAGCTACATATTGAAGCAGTAAAAGTCAAGGCATAGACTGCACTAAGACTTCTTAGTCTGGTATTTCTCAGCTCCAGACTTCATCCAGTGTGCATTAACATGTAGATTTTCAGCTACCTAAAACAGAATAGACTGCTTCCTTCCAAGGAAGCATGTCATTTTATGGTACCCAAAAACATGGCCATAGATTTTTTGTTTTGTTAGTTTTGGTCATGTATCAAACTATCGCAGTTTGCTCAATTTCATAGCCTCAGGTTACAAGTATTTGAATCCATGCCAGACTGCTTTTAAAAGGAAGTAAAGATTAATTTCATGCTCTGCAAATAAAATGTAGTTGCTTATTTTCTTCACTACAAGCAAAGATAGAAAAAAATCAGCCTCAAAAAGGGTGGGTTTTGGTACAGGAGGAAAGCATATTTCAGCAATTAATTTAAATCTGAGAGCAATTCAGAAGATAGCCAACTGAATAATAAACCTTTGGCTTGAACGTCATTACAGACAATCCAAAGGTAATGACTATGCCCAAAATCTGGTACTCTATTAAATGTGTACAGTACCAAAATTTTATTAAAGTGACATACAAAGCACCTATCTATTTCTGCACTGCCACTTTTCCCCACACTTGGACGGAAAGATCAGTTAAAAGAAAACTGAAACATAATATCATTATCTTTAGAACAGCTTTTAGCAGTCTTCTGTTTGTTTTTTCTTCTAATAAGAATCTTACAAATTACCACGTTTCCAACCATTTCAGCACACTAACAGAAAGCAGCTTTATTCAGACTAATTCACAACACACTGCATTTACACTCTATTTTACCCCATCAAAAAATTGACATGAAGCATTTGCATTTTTGCCCAGCGGTGCCAGTGCCATTTTAATACACTAAGTCTGGTACCTACCACATACTTCAAACTGCTGGCTCTCTCCTCCAGGTCTTTAGCTTGGATGAGGGCAGGACACCACTCTCCACACATGGAGGCAGCAGGCACTGCCCCTCACAGCCGCTGGGCATGAGCCTGCTGCCCCACGTGCCAACCAGCACAGGCCTCAGAGGGCTGCAAGGTCAAGGGACGAGCCAAAAAAAGGAAGCAACTGAAGGAGCACTTAAGGGAAAAACCCCATAAGACAGCCTAAAGGAGAACATGGCCTCGGCTGGAGCTTAAATGGTGTCACAGATTGGGGCCAGGTGGGGCCGTTAGGGCCTGAGGGCCCTCTTGCACCAGGCCGGGGAGCCTGCCCCACCTGCTGGGCATCAGCACCTAACGCCAGGTGCATAAACCTAAAAATACTGTGAAATTAAGGGTCAAAACTCAGCCTCTTCTATACAGCTGTTTTCTCTGCTCTGAGACTCTGTGCCATGTTCCTTTTTTTTTTTTTTTTTTTTTTTTTTTCCCTCTCTGAAATGGTTTTTATTTGCTGTTTTGAATGAAGGACTGAAAGTTGTAGCTATTGCCATTACTACAAACATGTTTGTGGAGCAACTACAGCAAATAAAAGGGCAGATTTAAGAGGGGGTTGAGGAAAACTTGGAGAGATAAAGCATGGTTCCAGTAGGAAGATGAAGCTATAATTTCATATGAACACCCTCGATGTCTTTTTTCCATTTCTGTAGCTGGTAGATGTTCAGTTCCAGGTGGTTAGATAAACACCAGGGCAGTCCAGGCAGATAAATATTCAGTATTGTCCTTTGGAAACACCACAGTCATTAAAGCAACCATTACAGACAAAATAAATAAATAAATAAATAAATAAACTCAGATACAAAATAATCATATTGCCATGAAAAAAAGAAAGAAATTTCATTTAATCTAATTCTGGAATTGTCTGTCATACACATCACTTAGAGATGGAAAGAAACTAAAATCTGTTTTCAGAAATTCAGAAATAGAAAAATGCTTTTTTATATCTAAATACAGCTCTTCATTTGTTGAAAGAAAAGTTACTTTGATATTTGTTGCTAAATAAAATCTTGGATCAAGTAATTTTAATTTAAAAAATTAGTTAAGGCAACAATAAACACAGGAAATATACATGAATAAAGTGTTCTAAAAGTCAGGCAACTCTTTTAAGACTATAAATATAACCTAAGCAAGGCCACTATAATTAGCAAAGGGTGAACAAAAGAAGACATCCAGAAATAGATGGGGAGGGGGGAGGTTGGGAGGGTGAAATGTCTTGGTTAACCTTATTCAAGTGTTCTTTCCACAGCATAGGAAATGGTTCCAGCTAGCTCATGAGTTCTGTTCGTATTAACTGATTTTTAAAAGGACATTTCCATGTTGTCTGTATGCCAAGGAAATTCTTTTACTGGCATGTTTGCTGAATACAGGAAACATCATCCTGACTAAGTGACACTGGATGTGACGAAGAATTGTGTCTTTATTCTGGTGTAATAGTCAGCACCCTCTGTTTGTCTCATCTGGATACCTTTCAGTATTTATTGGGGAATACTTACTGCAGTCTTGCAGTTTGTCCTGAGCAGTGAGCAACGTCAGTGACTGGTGGTGCTGAGTCATAATCCCTTGCCACTCTAGAAGTAAGTTGTTGTAGTGCCTTACGGGAGGTAGTGCCTGGGCTGTCCAGTCAGCCCCAAATCCATTTCATCCATCTTAAAATTGTGGGGAGAGGTGAGTAACAGAGCGCTGGGAACTACATTCCTCTCCACACGGTGCCCAGAATTCCCTGTGCACCTACAATCACTCTCTCTCCTAAACAGAGCTAAGAAGTCAGTCCTGCGTATAGTGATTTTCAGCATAAGTCAAGTTGTGTGTATGGGTCCTGTATTGCTTATCGGAAGAAAACTTTACTGCAGATGATGAGAAATTTTTCCAAAGAAGGAGTGCAAGTTAAGATATTGAATAGTGCATTTCCAGTTTCACTTACAGCAACTGCAAGTTTCCTGTTTTCTTCTGTACAGCTGCCTGGGTCAAGTGTTTAAGTTTCATTTGCTACGTGCTGTTTCTAAATCCTCTTTTTCTTATTTATTGGCTCTTCTTTTCCTTTCTCTTTCTTGGGAATTATATTAGTATCACAGTCACTATGCTGGCAGCAGTAACTGCAGTTATTTGTGGCCATGGGCTGCACTGACCCATGGTGAGATCTTCACCAACACTTGGTGTGCTTCAGTGACACTCCCTAGAACTCCTTGTGCATACTTTTAGGAAACTGTGATTTTTTTTGAGATGAGAGTTCAGAGTAGATAGTTCAGAAAGGCCTGCAGTCTCTGATCCGTCTTGCTACTCCCATAGCTCAATAAAAATCACCCCAAAAAAGGCCACAACAGTAGCTAATCCAAACTGTCCTTCAGGTAGCAGTGAAATAATCCAGGGAAAGTAACAAGAGATAATTGCCCAAAGTCTCCAGTTCTGCTCCCACTTGTCTGTGTAGTTTTAGGGCATAACAACCATGACATTTGAGAGAATTGCAGGAGATGGTAGGGAGGCAGTAGAAAGGCTGCTGGGAGGCATGAAACTAAATTAGGTGGTGGTACAAATTGCCTAGTGTGCAAGTGGAAGCCAAGACTAATGTCGTAGCTGATGCCCATGTCACCCTGGTCTAAAATAGTTTCAGTTTCTTTTGTTACCACTCCACAATCCCTGATGTTCTTTCTGCCTATGCATGGACAGAAAAGGAGGAGACAGAAAGACTCTCAAACAAATACTATTGCAGTATTGTTTTGATTGGTACATATGTACTGATATTACACTTATGAAAAGCAAGATCAGGCAGTTTTCTGCCTGAGACCTAGAATTTCCCAACAGTGTTTGCATATTGGCCACATTGTTAAGATTCTACACAGACTTCCTAATCTTTGAAAAATCCAAAACTGCTATAAGGAATAGCATCAAAAAACTATTTTTCTGATGCAGGACTTGGACTGTTTATAACAAAGGGTAAGTAACAACTGCAACAATAACAACAACAATAACATTAAGTAGATATATGGATGTGGCAATTATTTTACTTTGTTGAGACCTGCCGTTCTTAAGACACATAGGTTCTTATTCTGCAGGTATGGTCAAGGACAAAGCTCCCTTCAGACTAAGAATGAATTTTCAGTGAGAGCATTTGCATCAGGAAGTGTTAGAACTCAAAATGAGTGTTTATATGGCTAGCTCATATGAGGACATTGAAAAGCATTTATTTTTCGTTTGCATCCCTCTCCTTTAAGGCACAGTCTTCTCTTCACCAGCGGGAGTTCCACATGTTTTGCCTTTGATTCCCCTGCATGCTAGCCACTCTAATTAATATAAATTTTGGTGGAGTTTCTCTCTTCCTCTTTTTCTGGAAAAGAGAATCCTTTTCAGCACTTTTTTTCTGCACTGGCTGATGTACTTACAGATCAGATGTGAGAGCATTATCAAACTGGCACTTACCACCTATCAGGAGTATATCTTCATTTCTTCTCTGTCCCTGCCAAAGCTGAACTTTCTTCCAAACCGAATAACAATTGTTGACATAACCATGAAAAACATGGCATTGCTCATTCTAACAAAGCCACCTCAATTTTGAAAAAAAAAAAAAAAAAATGCTTAGGTCTTTGTGTTTTGCTTTATTTTAACAGTAATAGCTTTAGCTAGCTAACACAGTCTTTCTCTATAAGTTGCTATCATAGTACCTTGATGGAATAAATGTGAATTAGAAAAGATCAATTCTTTCTTCAAGACCAACAGTCCCTAGAGCTGCATTGTGCGACCCATACTAAACCTCATCCTGCTCTGCCTGAAGTAACATGTGCTTTGGATTTCAGGGTACTTTGTATAGGGACACAGATTACCTATGGAGCAAGACTGGCAGAATCTGGTACTTTGTTTGCCCTGCTGCTTGTTTTATTAAAAACAAACATTTGACATTTTGATCTCAGACTTGCATATCTGCATATACAGAGGGATGCAATGAACAGGAGCCACTTTTCTCCTTCTTCGTAAGAACTATCCCATGTGGGTTTCTGTGCTAACATAACCCTCCTTCCAATATTTCAAAAGATATAGAACTTCCCAGCATGATGATAAAGTTTTCCTGTGTTCCAATAATAAAAGTTGAACGTACCAGTAATTTCCAGTTCCTCTGTGGTCGGGCAGCCTGTGAAGACTAACTCAGAAGTACCCAACCTGCAATATCAGTGTGGGAGTCGGAAACAGATGTTCACTGGACAATACAATTTGTTGTCACTGTCGATACTATATGGCACTTTTCCCAACAGAAATTGTTTGTAGCTGGAAAAGAATGTAAGGAATGATTCATGCCCCAAATTACTATGATTATTTTTAAATGTTAAATAGCTCTTGTTTTCTTTTGTTTTAAATGACTAAATGAGGGAGGCATAAGGACTCAAAAATATAATTAGTTGGATTTGTAGTATCTGCGTAGTATTTCAACCAATTAATTTAAGTCTTTTTCATCGGCACAGAACTATTATATTATCAACAAGAACCATCTTTTCTCCTTTAGAATGAAGGTGCTGTAACCTTCTAAAGTATTTGATGCTCAGTATTTAATTACATAAAAAGCACATGGCAGCAGGTAAATGGGACAACACATTTTATGTGTATCTGAGAATGTTTATTTATAAAGGTTATAATTTATTACATTAATATATTTTTCTAAATATAATAACATCTGTAAGTAGTTTCTTTCTGCCCTGGAAATTCTAGTAGGCCATTTGGGCATTCAGAACTGATCAAACATTAAATGAGAAAAAACCTCTCAGAGTAAAATATAATGCCTAGTCTTGATTTCCAAATTTCATGAATATTACAAAAGTAGATGCACTAGATCGTACTCACTGTTAAAGGCAATGGATTAGGCTAGGTGCTCTTTAAATTAAATATTAATTTTTCAGGGATACATCAAATATATGTTATAAGAAAAAAAGGATGTAGAAGTGAAAATTCATAAGTGAAAATTTCATAAGTGAAATCAGGCCTCAATACAAATGAATATATTCAGTAGGAGTCTCAATGAGAGCTAAAGATCTGACTGCCAGAACCCTTGGATACATCACCTATATTTTACATCAAAAAGTAATGCTCCAGGTATTTTCAAAAATGAAGACATCTGGGATCTGAATTGGAGTTCACTGAAAGGAGTGGCAGAACTTGCATGTAGTTGCTGACTCTTGTATCACTGGCAGGCTTCCTTTAGAGACACAAAAAAAGGAAAAGTTGTGCGTAATTACAGGACTCAAACGATTTTAGCACTGTAAAATCAAACAACTGCCTTATTTTTACAAAAAACATGTGGTAACACTTCACAGTAATCCTTTTATAATAATAATTTTACATTTACTATGTTTACTGTTGCAGTGTTTTGCAACAGAGAAGTTTAATGCTCTATATCAGGCTTATGTCAATGACATTTTCAGCAGTACGTTTCTTTTTAACTACTGCAGTGATTTAGCCTCAAGTCCCAGCCATAGTTCAAGTTTTTCATGCCTTTAGATTTAGTGAATTGTGAAATGCTTTAATAGTGGAACCCTATCCCTTCACATGATTTTACTTGAATTCTATGAAATTTTTCAAAGTCAGCGTGTGCTAAGACAATGAAATTAGCTGATCGGGTAGTGTATAGCACGTGTAAGTACTGTGCTGAATGTTTGTTTGCGCTTGCATATGTGTATTTTTATATATATTCATGGATTAAACTGAGTTTTTCATCAACTAGGTGTTGGCAAGTGACAAAGTGATTTAGGATTAAGATGGGATTTAGGCTGATCTAGCTACAGTTGTATTTCTCATTTCATCATCATGCCTGGGACACTGTGACAGTTGTGTGGTTTTCTTTTAATTTATGAAATAGACAAAATTAAATGTCCATACCAGACATACCATTAGGTTTTGGGGAGTTGAAAGAGAAATACTGTATTAGGTCTTCTTCTTTTGTCTGCACCCAGCAGAGAAGTCCTGAATGTAGAAAACAGCTGGGAAACTTCCTATACAGTACACAGCTTGAAAAATGACTTCAAGATTGAAAAAAAAAATCAATCTGATTAGGCTTTATTTCAAATGACTGCTATTCTGGTTCTGTAGTATGTCTCTTGGTAAAATATGAATCAATACAGATGTTGTGTTATCTAGGTGCATTACATCATTTTAAATACTAACTCGACTTACATTGTATCTGGCATGACAGTTGAATCCCAGTAAATGTTTTAGACTTCGAAGGCTTCTTATTGCAATACCAGGGAGAGAATGTGCTCATACAAGGTTTTATTACTACTTAGCATTTAAAAACTTACTAGCTTAAAACAGTCCCTTTTGCGAAGGGGACTCACCATTTTTGATGTTACTGATTGCTACATGTTCATTTCGATCTGCTGAATGAATTTTGCTGTCTGCTGTCAATTTACATCTAGCTATCGTTTTGGAAAAGAGCAGCTTCATGAGGAAACAGATTTTGACGTTTGTGTTGTAGGGAAGATTTGAGTAGAGAGGAGAGCAAATGCGATGGGTTCAATTAGCAGGAGCATGGCCCACCCTCCGGCAGGCAGCGCTGGGAAGGCAGGCGTGCCTGGGCCGCCGCTGCCTGCACCAGAGTTAGTTAGAGCGCTCTGAATCTCATCTTTTGATCTCGGGCGATATTTTTCTCTGTTATGTCACAGAGGTCACCTGGCTCATGTGTGACAAACTGCCTGCATAAGTCACAGTGCCAGTGGCAGAGATTTGTAACCATGTCCCTGGTCCATTGCCTTTGAATTATTTCACAGGCCCTCTGCTTTACATTTACACTCTGTCGGAAGATGAACAGGGGAAGGGAGTAAAATCAAGGGCAGGGTCTCATCCTGAAGGACAAGGGGAAACAGGTGGAAGGTTAATGGCCCTGGAGCGTATCCACAAGCCTCTCAGGCTTGATATATGGGCCTCAGGCCTAAAACGGGCATTGGCTTTCAAAGATATATTATTTCATTTGAGGAGAGACATTCTGGAGTTCCTGCATTTGTCTGCTGATAGATGATCCTCTGTCCACAATTGGTTATGGCGTGTGAGTTTTCCTTGGGCCTGCTCCCGTACATAAAAATTTTGCTGAGCTCTCCAACCTTTCACATGCCTTTAAGAATGGGACGTGTGCAGGCCTTTTGGCAGGCTGCTGGATTTTTGTTGCTGCTATTTTCGTAGTTCCTTTTGAACCACGAGGCAAGTGGGGGATGAAAGACACTTCTGTTCATTCATACATAGCTGGACAGGGGTGGCCTCGCGGGGAGAGCGTGGGGGAGAAGAAGATGTCAGGAATCAATTATGCATACGTGTGTCTACAGCCCAGACGGAAGCCGGCCTGTCTAATCTGCTCTTTTACACTGACACATGCCCATGTAAAGATAAAAGCAGGAAAATCATGTATGTGATTTTTACAACCTCTCTTACTATATCTTGTTTTCACAAGGGTTTTCACAGTGCTTGAGCTCATAGGAAAGAACAAGAGTAGCGATCCCATGCGCTTTTATCAATGTCCTCAACACAGTGGTTACATCAGGCACCTCCAAAAAATCAAATGCTACTGGCTGCTTCATAGCAAGCTGCTGAGGACCCAGGGCCAGATAATGCCTTCTCACACACTGAAAATCTGTAATGGGCTGAGAGGAGGAAGGTTAGGTGCATAGGTCTGATGCTGCTGGCTGCAGTAGGGCTGTGCTCAGTGCAGGGCGTAACTGGCAGGGATGCGGCACCAGCACGATGCCATGCACGGTTCGAGCAGGCAGCCAAGCATGAGTGGAGCAGCCTGGTGGCAAAGGCCCGGTTCAGAGAGGGAGCAAGTTCTGCATGCACCACCCAGCTGGCATTCCCACAGCATCCTCAGTCCCAGCACAACCGCAAGGTGTCACAGAAAATCTGGTTAAAAAAAAAAAAAAAAAAAAAAAAAAAAAAACAGAGTTTAAAAAAGAATTAGAAACACTTAATATACTTTATGGTTTAATGTACCCTACTTAACAGTTTGTTAACCAAGTTGTTCCTTTGATTTTATAAATATACTTGTAATAACTGTTATAGGATTGCATTTCTAAGACCCATTACTTGATGACAGCATGATTTAAGGAAAGTGGGGTGTATATTTTTACTACATATTCATTTAGATTTGTTTTAATAACAAGTAACTGTTCAGTTTCAGTGGATATATTTTGCTTGAAAGAATTCAAGATGAATTATATTTAAATATCTCCTGGTTTTACCTTTTTTATTTTTCCTATAGGCATACCACTAAAAAAAAACAAAGAAAGCACAGTATAACAAGATTCAATATAGTGTGCTTTGCTTTTCTCATTGTAGAATTTGCACTTACATAAATAAATTGTGTTAGTAGATTAAATTTAAGCCTACCTCATGTCTCAGTCTGAAATTGTAATTGAAGTGTTGTTTCACTAGCATGTTATTTGAGTAATTAGGTTTTGCTGTCATTGAACCCAACTGCTAAACCCACAGTACCTCAGTGCGAGCAGGATCAGGAGCATGCTGCATTTCAGTCAGTCCCTGTAGAAAATGTCCTGTTGTAATGCAATTATTCTCTCTTCCCTTAGTGTCCTGTGGAGTTTAAGTTAGACAAGTGAGCTAAAGACTTGAGAGACATATTTAGTGTCTACTGCAGCAGTAGGAAGGAAATCTGAGGACTTGTTAAAAGGAAAGATTTAGAAGCAGAAATTCTACTGAGAGAACTGAACAGAGTGTTAGCAGTCAGGAGGATCTGCTTTTCCACTTGTTGCTTTGATAACGGATAAAAGGCTGTCATGAACTGCAGGCTACCAGCTGGGAGCAGATAGAGTAATCCCGGCAGAGGGCTGGCCCCGAACTACACAGGCATTCCTTTAAATCTTAGAGACCGTAGGAAAGTTGTTTTTTTCTCCCTACCAACATTGTCATTATTCATGATGATGTTTTCCATCCCAGTTTAACACTTTGGTCAAGTAAATCTACTTTACAATATTCTCATGATTGAAATATAAGCAAATATCACATAGTCAAAGATATTTCAGCTATTTCCCTCAACTGCCTAGAGATAAATTCCAGAGAACTAGATCAGGCATAAAATAGCACTGCCGTAAGAAACTCTGCTGTTTGACTATAAAGGTGTATTGCACCCAACAGGCAGACAATCATGGGGATGATCTGTAGCGTGTCTTCCCTGTAATCAGTTGCTTTCTGTAATAACCACACTTGATAAATGCAATCTAGAGGATGTTACTTGAATAGGAACAGAATGTCACTTGCTAGGAAGTGAGGCAGCATGCCCTCTGCGCGGTATGAACATGCAAACACAGCGACGGGCAGAACCCAGCAAAGCCACGCACGCCTCACTTTACTGGTGTGCACTGGGCCACCAAGGTCATGTTACTGACACGCTGCACACGCAGGATTGGGCCAGTAGCATTTGCTAGTATGTATACAGATGCTTGACTAGAGCCGTGTTGTTTCAACTTGCATTATTCTAGCAAAGGGGGAAAAATAAACAGAAAGAGTGCTTAAAGCTCTGATTGTCATTCTATACTGTTCACTTCAATGATACATTGAGGGACCTAGCTTACTTTGTATTCTTATGTGTAATTACCCGTATCAAAAAAAAAAAAAAAAAAAAAGGAAAAAAAAAAAACCACAACACTCATTAGTGTTCTGTTCCACTGACTTAATTATACCCCTTAATTAAATTTTGACTAACTGGGGGTCACTGCAGTGTCAGTGGGATTTGTCACTGTTTGTCAGCAGGTGTCTGGTCACATCTATTTCTGGTTTCCCTGTTGCTGTATTCTGTTTAAGAGTGTGGTCTTTTCTACTTGCAAAGAACAATTATGCATTACCTTATTGTGTTCAGTGCCTCGCAAATTAAATGAAACACTAGTGAATCTGTTCTGTAATACTAGCACCCAGTCTTTACAGTCAGGAGATGGGGAATCAAGCAAATATAAACCTTTTCTAAATAGAGTTTATTACTTCACTTGTGCTCCTTTTCAAAGGCTTATTCTTCCAGCACACAGAGGCCATGGTATTATTAATTTATCAGATAATCTTGTGTTCAACAGGCGTAAAAATATATCGCAAATAGCAATCCAGGGATACTTCTCCTTTCCCCTACCTCCTAAACATGAAATGAATTTGAAACATGACCAGCAAGAACGAGCTAAATCAATATTACATGCATAACAAATACAACGTGGCATGTGCTGCTACTGCCGTGCTGCGCAGAGTGAGAAGACCGAGGCTCCCGGTTCAGTGTTCCCTGAATAATTCAGTGGGAGGTCTGCATGTGCAATAAGGGCATAACAGTGCCAATTCCTTCTATTTCAAATTTGCATGTTTTGGGTTCATTATTTTAGAAAGTTACTTAGGGGAAATATAATTCCCATGTTTACACATATAATAGGCACCTAATGTTCATCTGAATAATTGATTAGTCAAGTCAGGCTTTCATAATTAGTTGTTGGCTTTTCAGTACAAGCCACAAAACACTTGTCAATCTACAGACATTTTTAATTTATTAATATATATGTTATCAACAGAGCTGCAGTCGTTACCTGGAAAGCATTTATTATTTATTCTGTGGGGGCAAAAGAAGCATTTCCATTCTAGGCATGTATTTTCAATCTATTGTACTTACCCAGAAGATCATCTTTTTTCTTAAAGTTTTCATGAATGTTCTCTGCTTGTAGGCACTTGCTTACAGTGGAAATCAGAAAGTGGGGTTTTAAAAAAATCCATTCCTGTGTTACATAGACGCTAGAGTGAGAAGTTTCATTGATTATAAAATAATGTGTATCACTTATTTGTACACAGATGAAATAACAGCCACCAAAATACATGACGCTAACAAGTATCCCTAGTGCAGCCATATATTCCTTCACCAGCCACATGCATCTGTTGATAACACGTGTGCAGGGATATTGCAGTTATGAGTTGGGGAGCTATGAGGTAAATGGCAAAACTCTAAGATAAACTGTATTTATCATCAACTTCATGACCTTATTTGAACTCTACCACCAATATATATTTTTATTCTTTATATTCCTGACCAGTTTCATGTAGTTGCCATTAAAGGGAAAAAGCACCCTCCTTACTCCAGAAATGTTATATTTTGTGCCCATGATAAAAAATTCATAAAACAAAATCTTTGATTGTGAAGTCCAGAATAAAACTCATTCATTTGTTACTAGTAGTTAAAAACCTAGCTGTCTGATAAAATAACAGGACTAGAAATTGTGTTATTTTACTGGGAAACAAACCACCTTTCCACTGGGATGCAGCATTTACTTCTAGCACTTTTGAGTGTAAGACTGAGTGTTATAAATATATTATTATTTATGGAAAAAGTATTTCAGTTCTGCGTATGCTATAAGTTTACTTTCCTTTGCTCCTATTCAGAAGAATCACCTTCACTTTAGTGAAAATACGTAAACTTCTACTTCTTATCAGTAAGATCACAACAAATGCTTCAAGAAACACGGAAAGTGCTTTCCTCAATCAAATGCCTCCTGAGGCTTGTTCTATTGGATGTGTATTAAGTTCCTTGCTTTACAAGTGGAAAGATGCAAATATAGTACCTGAATTCTAAAAAAACTTTTATATCCAAAGCATGTCTAGAATATCCCTTAGTTTATTTGGGGGAAAAAAATGATGCAAAAATCCCACCACAGCAGTAGAAAAAATGGTATGCATATTTTGGTGGTGTGATTTATTTAATTGTGGTTCACCACTGAATTATGTGGTCTTACAAAATTCACACAACAAAGTTCTTGAGCAATACTACAGCATCTTGTATAATATATGCATTAATGTAGTATACATATACCCTTTCTCAGTGTCTACTTAAAGATGGAAGAAATAGCAGAATCCCTTCAAAGAAATTCAGTTACATGCCTCCCATGGAAGAATGCAAATATATTTCTAAGGGTGGCATTATAAAGTTCCTCCTCTGCAATACATATATCTTGTTCTAATATACATTTTTATTATCTATTTTTACATCTGTTACAAAGTAATCGAAAATGAAACACTATACTGTAAAGAACGCAATAAACGTATAGGATTCCGAGCTAAGTTTGCAACTACTGTTTTAATTTTCAGTACAACATTTTGTGTACTGTTAGAATTTCAATCACAGCATTATATTAATAGAAGGATTTTCTACCGGGATATTTTTAAGCACAGTGGTTGCTACCTGGAAAGTATTTATAATTTAGGCTAGTGGGCTAATTAGGGAATCGAGCCATGTGAACAGTTTAATGTCCGCATTCTCACTATTAGTGTAGAAAGTTCTCACCAGTTCCCCTGTCTATTAACCTAAGAGTTCAGAAACATTTCCCATTGGTATTGTATGGCTATCTCGGTTCTTCCATTTAGACATTGAAAGAGCATTGTTTCAAGAAATGTTTTACAATTGGAAATAGATGTATCTGCTAAAGAGATTCATATTTCCATGATTAGACAGGTGATCTGATCACAAGGCGGAAAAGAGTTCATATAAATAAACAATGAATTAGAAACCTGAATAGGATTGCTAAATCTGTTTTTCTAGGTTACAGTTAAATGAGAAGCATTATGTGGGCTTTCAGATAAACTCACAAAGCTCTTATCTATACAAACCTGATAGATCTGCCATTATTCTTAGTGAATAACAGAAGTTATATCATTCAGTTTCATTAAAAATACATTAATCCTTTTTTAGTAACCTTCTTCTAATTCATTGATTCAATTATACATTGTACAATAAAAATGTTCAGTATAATAAAAATACAGTATTAAAATGTGCTTTATACATAAATATTTCATTGCAATGAGATTATTCAGGGCTTTAAAATTATTAACAATATGAATGTCATGTTCTGAGACAACAAAGTGTAGTTTTGTTCAGCATCTCTGAAGCTGTATATCAGAAAGATTAGTCTATATAACAGGACGGCCTGGCATAGTTGCTTAGAGTATTACGTGCAGTCATTTCATGCAGAGACGTCCTGTAAAGTTAGTGGCACTTACCAGCATGGGTCAATTAAGGGACAGGATGGTGTTGTAGGATGTACACAGGCCTTGTGAAGACAGGTAGAATTCCACCCTCACCTGAGAGCTGCCTCAGGGCATTAGGGCTCCAGTGTAGCTCTGGATCTGGCAGTTCAGCAGTTCAGGTAAACCAGCTATGTAGTCCCAAAGCTGAGGAAAAAATAAATAAATAAAAGGAGAAGTTGAAGAAAATAGGGCGGCTTGTAGCTTGTGTAGTCTCTCTATAGCTTGTGTAGTCTTTTAGCTGAGAAAATAAGGAAACAGAGAGACTCTGTGTGCTTATTGGCACGGCGCACCAGGCACAAACCTACGGACAACAGCTAGAGTAACCCACCAAAGACTTGAATCAATTTAGACACAGCTAATGCTTCTTAGGGTTTTGTGTTCAATTTATTATTTTTTTTCGTGGCAGGAGAGCAAGGTGTCAGTGGCCGTATTTCACATGGTTTTAAACCAACTGATTTTAGCACGGCACAGTTGAGCAGTTTCTGTGCCAGACAGTGGAAGCTGATGGTAGCTGTGAAAAGCTGGCATGATTTCTGCAAGCATTCCAAGACTAGAGAAGAAAGCCCTTCGTATTTTCATTAGTCATCCCTTTTCAGATTTACTTTTAATTCTTTCAGCAAAGCAGATTATTAAAAGCAATGACCTGAGGTCTTCATTCAGATATCAGACTTGCAATCCTGTATAATGCGTGCTGCAGGGCAGAGGTCACACTGACGAGTCTGTTAATGCAGTCACTGTGGGATAAGATCAATCTCCATACTTCACCATATTGATCTAATAGCTCATTGGCACTTCCCTCTTTGAATTGATTAGCTCATGTGTGAAAAGAGATTGATGGGTTTCTGACCCTGAGGAGCCCGTCAGGGCACACCCATGGCAGGGGAAGTGGATGTTTTCACTGCTTCATTTGGGTGGCTCATTATGTGGATGACTCACGGGGAATAAGGGTCATAACATTGTTTTATGAATTATTTACAACAAAATATCAGGTTTTCATTTCATTTGATGCTCTACCTGTACTGAATCCTTTATAAACAGAGCGTGAAGAAAGAGACATGAACAACGAGTAAGTGCCAAATATTTGCGTAAAGGGAACTAGCGCATATAAGTGACCTTAAAATACAATTTTACTAATATGAGGTAATCGTAATAGATATGAGGGTAGGAATAGACTTCATGGGTCATCTAGTCCATTCCCCTTATACTATGACAGAATATTGATGATATCTAGAAATGAATTACATTTTAATTGCATATACTGGAGAAGTACTCACAGTGAATCTAGTTCGGACACCTCAGGGAACTTCATATGCACACTGCACTGGAGAAAGGGGCAATGTGCATGCAACATGTGAGCTAAAAATAAACTACGAACATTTTAGAAGTAACCTAAAAAAAAGAAAAAAAAAGGATTCAACTCCATTTATCAAATAGTCATATATTTACAAAATGCATATATTTGACACAGTAGATTGGACTTTGGTGGTGTGTTTGCTCATGCAAGAGGGAATATAAAAGGAGCTGTCGCCAAAAGCTGAATTTAGAAGTTGGCTCGTGTTAGGTTCTACTTAAAAAAATACATTATCAGTCTTCATAGATATAAAGCAATACAAACTAAGGACCTGCTCCTCAAGTCTTCTATGGAAGCACAGGCATTTTTGTACTTCTATCTTCATATGAATTGTTGAATTAGTCTTAAAGATGTTTATAATAAAATAATTTCTTATATACCATCCAATCTCAGGATAGTATATGATACCATACCTAGGATGGTGTTGCATAGGGTGTCAGGTTTTAGTTATGCCACAATATAAAAAAATACTGAGGAAAATTTCTCATTGTGTTGTTATGCTGATGCTTATATTTAAGAAAGAAAATAGTGAACTTGACCCGTAATATCTTGTTGTATTGTTTAAATGGAAATTCTGGATTTATTTTGTAGACTGGCTGTTTGAAGTCATACAAAATCATATTTACAGAGAAACATCCATGCATGCTTCACACAGTCAGGCAATCCTTTTCTACTATTAGATTTATGGTAACAAACAGGTACTGCATAAAAACATAGGAATAGGCAGTACCTTCCCTAAAGACCCTGTAGTCTAAAAGAAACATATCCTCAGGCAGATCAGTTTAAAAATAAATAAATAAAAGAGTCAAAGAGGGAATTCAGTCCATTAACTGTCAGTGACATGATGATGACTATTTGTGTAATCTTTCATTAATTTAGATTTCTAAATCATTCAAGATATTTTATACACCACGAAAATTGCCCTGATACAGACTTATGGAGCTATGTTAAAAAATAAGTTCTAATATACCCAGAAATGAGATGTTATAGACAGTGTTACGATCCAATTTCCTTTAATAAATCTGGGATAAATATGTGATTGATGAATGATTCCTGTTATATTAGGGTATCAAAGTAATATTTTAGTCATGGTAAATCTTCAGAAATTAAACTCAAACTTAATTACAAAACAAAATAACAGGTACACAGACATAGATTAATAGCACATTGCTAGACGTTTGAACACAAATGGTGTAAAAAATGATTTTTTTTTTAAAGAAAATTATGCCATTTTATTACAAGCCCTTGCCCATTGACCAGAGTCTTCCAGTCTGACTGAAACCTCGCTTTCATAGTTGTGGTATATGGTGCACTCATGGGTGAATGGGAAGTAATCAGAGCAACCTGATTTTGTTGTTCGTCCTCCCAGCTGACATCCAGAAATGAGCTAAGAAAAAAATAAGAAATTAGAAGCTCAGACTTTCTCCCTTTTTCTTAAACTCACCATTAATCTTTTGCATGCAGATATTTAGGAACCCAGTTTAGAGACTCAACATTTGGATACCTGATAAGTGTCTAGCTGTGAAAACAGCTTGCTTAGCTGTGCTTGCCTCCTTCACCAGTCCACAACCATTTTTACCTGTAACGTTTCTCTTCATTCCACATTCTGTACTGCAAAAACTCCTCTTACCAACATAAGAAGAAGCCCAAATAAAAACAGCTTCTTCGAGGATATCACACAGAACTGTAGGGGGTTGGAAGGGACCTTGTAAGATCATCCATCGGGTCCAACCCCAACCCCCATATCTTTAAACAAACATTTATATTAATCCTAACTGCAGTGCTAATGTCTGTATGGGACCTGGGCAGAGATGTGACAACCTTATTTTAATGACACTTCAGAGATTTCCAAATTAGAATACAGGAAACAGGAAGTGGGAATAAATGAAACAATGCCAAATAAAGGGATAAATGGAAAAAACATTTTAATACACTATTCCTTGAACATTCATTCAATCAACACTTCCTGTGATTTTAATAGCATGGTTCTTTCTGCTCTTTTACACTTGAATTTTTCAGGAAAAGGAGCTAATTTTCACGTAGATGCTGTTCAGAGTTGAAAGAATTTAGCTAGATGGTAGTAGCTGCATGCCGAGAGCCTCCTGCAATGCTTTTAAGATGTAAAGAGAAGAGAGAAGCACTAAGTCTTTTGGATCACTCCTATATACACTAACTCACTGGTTCTTACTTCTCCACAACATGCATGTATAACTTCAGCTTCCTTTGGCAGTGTTTTTAAGTGACTTTTTCTCTCAAATCGGAAAGGTACTAGTTTAGTACATGACAACCCCCATTCCTAACGCTGAACATTCTGTCACTTGCTCCCTTATCATTGCATCTTCTTTCTCATTTCATCTCTGCCCCAGTGACTTACTGTTACTGCTGCAGCTCCTGGGATGTAAGACAACCTTTCTGTATTTTTTCTTCATCAGTATACCATCTCCTTTCACATCTTGTCTGAAGACACTGTTTCTTGTGATTTCTTACTGCTTTCGCTGTTATTTTCTCGGCAGTTTGATTACAAAACGGGAAAACACTGTGAAATACATTTGTGTGGCAAATGCAGTGCTTTACCAGCTTCTGTTGCCAAAGGTGTAATATAGGTGACTTTCTGTCCTGTAATACACTATAGCTCCCTGTCTTGAGACTTCAGATCCATATGTTTCAGGTGATTCAAATACGGGCAGAAGGATGGACTATGAAAAGTAAAATAGAACAACGTATTTCAGTTCCTGAAAAAGATTGAAATGCTGTGTAATCAAATGATAATGAACACTTTAAAATATAAAACCAGTTCTTCTATACCCAAGATAGTGTTATATATATATAAATAGATTATAAGCAAGCAAACAAATAGTATCAGTGTAACCTTAATGGCGAAGGGATCTCCATAGGAGCTCACATGGTGACATATTTTAATCTAGAAAATATTACCAATATAATAAAAGCAAAATAAAATGAAAACAAAATGTTACTATACACATTAAAAAGATGTTAATTTCAGAATAAAAATTAGTTGTGCCTTCAGATGTAGTGTTCTATAGAAATGGTACGTAAGATCCAATGTATTAGATTTTGACATGGTTTATTCAGTGTTCAGCCCTGGGTATCACTAACACATAAATGGAAAATTTTCCTTCTCCCATTTACACTGCTATAAATTTAAAGTAATTGCTTTTTAGGTATGAAGTCAGAAGATGATTTGCATACTCCCATTAGTGTAACTGGGCACATAGTCCAGTGCTGTGCACACAAACCAACATCTGTAGGTGTCACCTAAAAGAATAAGATTATACTTCTCTTGGCTTGCCCTCTCCCTATAGCCCATACCCCCTTGAAGAGCTGTACTGGAAATAAAGAAATGCAAACGCTATTAAACAAGGGGGGAACCACATAGTGTAATTTAAATGAGAGCCAATTTAAGTAACTCTTGTGTTAATGCATGCAAAAAACAGCGTTATGGGGCATACAGCACTTGAAAGAACATGACCCTGTGTGTTGGGAGACTGCTCTGCCTGCCTGTTACCATATTAAAGGTTCTTTCTGAAATTAGCATGTCTCTCGTGTCACAAGCTAAAAATATTTTTCCATATTATACTTAGCTGATTGAGTTTAAATAGAATATTTATTCTGCAGAAAATAAATTTATTTATTACTATGACTTTAATAATTTACACTATTAATGCACCTCTGTGTGTTGTATTGATCTCTGTCGAGATTTGATGTTGCTGTTTTCTAATAAATTTTACAAATGAGAGTTAATGTAGGAGGTAAAGTTTACATATAAACTATTGGAATAAATGTCAGGTAGAAAAATGGGGTAGCTGTAAGAAAAACGACATGATAATTTATCCAATAAATCACCAAACAGGAAAGGAATATTACATATTAGAAATCCTTTCAGATAATACTATAGTATTTGTGACTTGGAGAAGATCATAGAGACTTTAATTGAAGTCTGCTGTACAATATAGTGAAACTGCTCACTGAATATATTGAAAATAAATTCACCATCCATTCTTTAAAATTTACTAGACTCAGTCTTGTCTTCTCATTCCCCAGAGAACATCATTGCGCATCCTAAAATGCAGATCAGACCCATAACGATAATGATGAATTGAATGGGCCTAATCCTGATTCTGTTTACACAGAAGTCAAAGGACTGGTGTCCATGCAAGTTCAGACTTAAGAATCTGGCCCAGCACATTTTGGAATTTAGTTTGTTGATACCAGAAAACACAGAAGTATTTCTGGAATAATTCAAGGGAAAAGTTTTACTGTCAAAATTGCTACACAAACTACATAGCATTAAATGATTTATTTTTATTTTTTTAAGTTCTAGACCCAACTATGCACAAACTTATATTGTAATAACACTGGTACAGATACTCACAGGAGTAGGATTTTGAAGATCAGTTCTATGGATCCAGTCATGAAGAAGACATCTCCTTCTTCACCCTGTGAAACAGGTGCTGAGAAGAATATTTTTCCTCTTTACTTAGCTTTGCATTCACTTTGACAGGGAAGAAACATTGCATTGTAAGCAAAATTTTCACTTGGACTAAAAAGAAATCCTTTCCTTATTTTCAGTTTAAAAAAAAATGATCCAAAAAAGAACCTGAGCAAAACACATTTATAATTCATCAGAAATAATGCTGACTGCAAAACACTAAGTATCATGCAGTTTGCACAGAGATACACATAGTTTTCAGGAAAAGGAAAAAAAAATTATATTGCATTTGCTGTGCTCTATATTATATATACACACAAAGTTTATAGTAACAGCCCTTTCATCTGCTGTTTGAAGAACTGAGATTTGCTGTTTACTTTCCCCTTCATAGAGTGGGATAGACTCCAAACAGATTCTGAAGACCTATACAAGAAGAGAGGTCTAATTCTTTAGTAGGATCACCTTTTGCTGCTTGCCCATACTCTCTTCAGCAGTGTGAGCCCCTAGACCCATGTGTGTTGAGTTATATTCCTGCAAGAGTGCTGTGGACTGGTGCTTGAGGCTGTTTCTTTTATGGAAGTATTTTGTCTAGTCAGAAGGTGAACACTGAAACTGGGAAGTGACTGGTCATGGCTGGTGATCCCCTTTCACAGTGATCTTAGACAGCCGGCCAGGAGCACGCGAGGAGAGAAGATGTTGCAGAGCCATCACTCTGCCCGTGGGCAGTTCGCTAAGCAGGAAACTGCCCATGCCGCCCGGAGCGTGGGCACTACCTAGTCACTTCAAGTTGTGGAAGGGTAGGAGCATGGGGATGTTCAAAGATATAATGCTGCTTTATGCTACAAATTCCTTATTTATGCCCTTTAACAAAGTAAAAAGTTGCTTGATATTCCAAATATTAATAGTGCTATGAATAGGGAATTAATGAAACATTTTAGTCCTCTCTGGGTTCTCTGATGTTGCAAAAAGGCCGAGCTTATTAGTCTTTCCTTCAGGGCGGTACTTAGCACTTACTTTCCTCTGTCTGGATACTGGTTCCTGGAAGGCACATAGAAATTTAATGTCTTGGATACATGAACTCTCTGTTGAAATTAGCTGACACTGGTTTGATGGATTCAGAAGTTACTGAAGGCAGAAGTGTACACACACACGCACACACAGGCGCAGGCACATACTGAGTATAATTGCATCTTTATAAGATCCTCTTTATATGCCATAAAGGAGCCGGGAGAGGCACACACTGGAATATTTCTATATTCCTTTCATTTTTAAATCATGAAAAAAATGTAGATTGCTACCAAACTCTAGCATGTTTTATACTCGCTTCAAACTAGAGCTAGACAGTCATCTAACCAGAGCAACAGGACAGCCATCTAATGCAACCAGGGCTTGGAAAGATCACTCCCTGCCTTCACGTAGAATAGGCAATTTTGTATAACACGGGTTTCTAGTAAAGAGGTGGAACGATCGTAGTTAATGTTGAATCATTTTTTCTTGAACTTTGCAGCATTTATTACTGAGGTTACAGACAGTAATCATGTTTAATTAGGGCATTCACTGATTCTGAAATTTTGTGCATTTTCTTTTAAAACCGCATTGGCTACTATGTGCTGCTTTTGACAGCAACCTTGCACAGGTTTCCCACTGTTAGCAGCAACCCATCTGCAGAGTCCAAATCCTTTTTTACCCATGTAATTATTTGGAAACCACGTACGCATTCAGTAGTAAAAATTAGCCTCTGGAATGAACTTGTCAAATAAAACTTTGATTTGGGGCGATTTGCTTCACTATAGCATAAGAAAATGAAGTATCAACTCGAGCTGTATGTCTGCAATGACTTGTCAGTGATCTCCAAAATACATTTGAAAGGAAGTTCAACCATCCCTTGAACTTGTATGCTGTAGGCTGAACAATTCAGACAGATGTTTAATCGCTTCATATTCACTAGGAAATGGCTATTCAATGGCCGTAGAATTTGAAAGTGGCATTGGCATTCCCTTTTAGAAGCATAAGTAAAAACAATTCAGCTGAATCCAACACATTTTTATCACACAAATTTCAATCATCGTATTTTTTGTTTTAATCATTAGATACCCTTTTAAATTTTTAGTAGCAGAAAAGCCCAGAGCTATAGCGCTAGCTGATGCAAATGAAGAGATGAAAAAGGATTCTCCAACTTCTCAGAGACAGGGGTATAGACTAGGTAAAAGGTGAGAGCATTGTTTAGCAGAACCTGCAGCAATAACTATAGGGAAAATATTTAACTTAAAGCAGCAACAACAACAACAACAACAAAAAAAAGCATGACCCTGAAACTTTTAACAGGTAATTCATCAAGTGCCAGGCTGAAAATACCTCTTCAAAACAAAAATTGCAATAAATCTGTGGTTGTTGGTTCCTGTATGCTAAATATTGTGAAACACTTTCCTGAAAGAAAGATACAGTGTGGTTTCGATAAGATTAAGAAGCATTTCAGCAAAGCATACACATTATTCTTCATTTTACCATTTGGCATTTTCAATGTTGTTCTTCAGAGAAAACAAAAGTCTATAATGATTAACATCCCCTGCTGTGGGAAGCATACACTCTACAACAATACTACTCTTGTGTTGCACTGGCCTTCCTCATCTATAACATCAGCACAAATAGTTTTTCAGATGAGTAACCAGCATTTCTGAGATAAGTCCTGCTTTTAACTGCAATTGATAATGTGGGCTTGGGTGCTGCTGTTTCCACAGAGGCCCCGTGAGCCTGCCAGCCTTGCAGTCATTCCCCTAGCGAAAGCTCGGGGCCCAGCTGAGTGGGAGGCCAGTGTTAGCAGGCAAACGCGACCCCCCGGCCACCAGCCCACCTTTCTGTCCCACCACGAGATCGCGTGTCACCGCAGTGCTCAGGATTACAACTTCGCACTTCAAGCTGAGAACCTATTTCCTCCACCCCCGGAAATATCCTATGTGGCTTGTATTGCATTGTATTGTGGAAGATAAATTATGCAAACCAATAGTTGTATCTAAATGTGGTCTAATACGTGCCTGTTTTCTAATCCTTGCCAGCAGAGAACTCAGGACAGTGATTTAAAGTCACCTTGTAACTCCAGCTTGCAGGGAATCTGTGTTCAGACCTGTGTCTGGACATATAACAGCGTGCAGTTGAGCAATGCTATGCGAGTCTTTCATAGTGGACATGGAAAAGTGTTATAGTGCCACGAGGCCCCATGGTCCTATTAAACCTCAGGGAAAAAGGGTCAGTGGACTTCAGGAAACATCTCTTTCTCTTTTCAGAAACCTATTAGTTATGTTTCCAGTACTCGAGATTCTGGGAGACCCTTTTTGCAGAATGGACCACGCTGTTACGTTAGTTGATCCTGGCTAGCAAGGGAGCTGGCAGGCAGCACAGAGGTGGTTGCGACAACGACCATTTGTCTTTGAGCTTATGACTCATATGCTACGAGTAGGCCAAGCAGCACGAGATACAAGGTTATGAATGACTCCAAATTCTGATATGCTTCTTTGTCCTTGCTGCAAGCACAAGTGAATAGGCTTTTCATATAGGAAATAGGATTTACCTACTGCCATGTACAACGCTGTGAGAAAGCTACCCCTTGCTTCACCCATGTATTCCTACTACTTAAAAGACTGGTCAATGCACATGTCCATTTTCATCTCTGCTGGTGACAACTGCCATCCTCTGCTTGTCTGACCAAGTACCTGCTCTTTCTCTACCCCAGCAGCATCATCTACTCTCACACAATCCCATTAAGCCTGCATAATATTCCATCTCATCACCTTCAGTGTTTTACCTGACATCCAACTTCCCTTATGTCTTCTCTCGCCACACAACCTCCTTGTCCCCTCCTTTAAAACCTCCTCTTAAGCACTCTCTTTGCTTCCCTTGTTATTCAACCACTGTTTTACAAGTGTAATGCTTTACTCCTTTCATACTCCTAACATTATTACTCTTTCATGCCACCCTGTGTGCTGGAATTGATCCCTTATTTCAAGTCACACACTCTCCCTTTAGCTTCCTCCACATCTTTCCTTAGACACCATTTCATCAGCAACAATTTCCAGTTATATTGTCTCCACTGATAAGAGTCTTCTTTTAATTGCCACAGACCAGACAGGACCTAAATTTAACCATCTGGGCACAGTATTCACTCTCACTTTTGCTTGAGGCTAGATAGTTGTCAAATGGGTATCTCATCTGACAGCCTGCTTAGGTAAGACATTGGTTACATTATCCTTGTGTCAATGGTCTGTTATGGCAGGGAGCAGCTGCAAATCTGGGGAGTATTCTTGTAGTGGACAGTTGTTGGCTATATGATGTTCAATTTTTATTTATAATCATTCCCAGTAGTAGGGACAAAGGGTACTCTCAAAGATCTCCACAAGCTGAAAAGCCTCAAAGTTTAGCCACCAGTACAATCTCTGGGGCTTGTTTCCAATTCAATGTTTACCATGATTGAAAATTATGTTGATTATTGAGGAAAATCCCAGACTGAAGCTAAGCTATCATGACGACACAATCTTACCTTTTCTCCTGCTCACCTTGTTAGCGGAGGACTAGCGTGCTCTGGTGTCACACGAGGCTAGAGTCCACAAGGTGCATTTTCCGCATAGTACCTTCCTTTTAAGAATTCACTCACCATTTCAGCATCTTTGCCCCCAGGACCAGTTTAAGGCACATACTTGCTATGGCCAAAGGCTGATTTTTTGTTTTGCCAGATAATGCACAGTTACTCATGTGCCATGTAAACACAAGGGTGTTTGTGTTATGGCCGAAGTCACACACCTCGTAAAGTATGCCAGCTGATTCTAACGTAAGATGTGCAATGTTACCGTGTTTGTTCAGTGATCTACATTGTTTTCTATTTTCCATTTACTAGGTGTTAGCAGAGTTAAGGTATATGATTTTCCTCATCTACATGCCTTTCAGAAGCAGGCTGTAATTGATCCTCCATTTCAGTAATTCATGACCCTCCTTAAGGTCATCTCTGTTTCTTCCCAGTGAAAACTGGGAAGTATTCTGCTGCCATGCCAGCTTTCCTGAAATGGCAAAAGCAGCTGGATCTAATAGTTTTCTGAATCCAATGTTTTGGATGTGTATTTTGCTTTTTATGATACCCATTTTAGAGGCTTTCACTGGCTAAGTTACAGTGAATACAGGGGAGCAGATTTTGTGAACCACTAGCAGATGTTCGCTGTTGCTAGTTTTACGAGTCTTGTAGAACAGCAGGAACAGGCTATGTGCAAAACATATTTTTTTGTGTGATTTTGCCATCTCATACTGTTCTCACAGCACTGGCTCAGTAATGATATGATAAAGCTTGGGAGGTAGGCTTTGATTGCAGACTAGCTGCTGTTGGGGCCTTCAGAAAGCCAGACCTGTAAAGCGCAGTTTGTTTTCAAAAGTTGCTGCCTGTGGCTGAGACAGATGGGTTAGCCAGAAATATGTCATTTATAATATAATCAAATGCTTGACCTCTTATTCAGGTATTAGTTGTTACAACATGGATGTTGAACGTTTAAACTGTCTCACAGCTTGTTTTGTTCAGATATAAGCTGTGGTAGCTTTGTGTGAAATGTTAATTTTGGATGAAATTATCACGTTGGCATGATTTATTTGATTTTTGTAACACTTTGTTGCACAGGGGAAAAAAAAAAAGGAAAAGCAAGAGTACTAGAACCTGTAAATTTCAAATAATGCCTTCAAATAATGCCTTATTTTAAACATGGACCACATTTTGGGGGGGAGTGTTTCATTGCGGTAATTTATAGCCCTCTCTTGAGCTAACAAGTCACTTGGCTGAAATGTTTTTGTAGACAAATACACATTGTGGGCAGAGGAAGAGAGATCTTTTAATACAGAATCAGCCTTGCTCTGTGATCTGAACAGAAATGAATTATCATGGGTACAGACAGCATAGGGATGGAGCAAGGCTGAGTTTGTGATAGCACTAGCTTTGCACTGACTTAGTAATATATCCATCTACAGAGTCCACACCTCTTTCTATCCTCCATCTCTATTGCCCGTGGATATGTGGCTTACAGGTGTTATCTGAGCTTACATGTATTAACTACAACTGTAGGCGATATTTTAAAAGATTATGCTTAGTACCTCAAAGCCAAAGCATGTGAAACTCTTGAACTATCAGAACCGAGAGTGTTTCATCCAAAACCAGTTCAGCCTTTTTGTGTCTGTAATAAACAAAGACAAATGGAAAACAAATTAGGAATGGAACAGACAATCTTCATACAAGCATTAAATAATTCTGCAGTGGTGGATTTTGCAACCTTAAGATGTCATTTTGGCATAGATACATGATTTCTAGATATAATTTCTGTATCTAGACATTTAGATATAGAAATGATAGATATATTTTTTTAATTTTATTTTTTTTTAATTTCTGGAAGAACCAACAAAAACAACAAGCAAACAAACAAACAAAAATCCAAACCACAAAATAATGCCATCCTCTAGGCAGACCAGCAGTGGAAGAAATGAGATGTTTCCCAGCACAGATACCTGTTACAGCTGTGGAGCAGGGCCTAGTGAAGGCTATGGGGGAGAAAGGGCTGTACACAGGTACTCCTGCACTGGCTTTACAATGGCCCACTCCCTTTCTATCCTGATTTAATTTCTTTGCACAGTCCAGCAAGAAGGAATAATTTGATACCGATACCTAAGGGTTATCTGGGACAAGAAGAGTTGGGAGAAGATTGTGATGCAGAGAAGAGAAGGCAAATAAGGGAGTTAAAGAAAGAATTGGATGTCTAAGATGTTGAAGTCTGAGCCATATGGCAAGTGACTGGAAACAGGGAGAAAATACCAGGCAGCTTTCATAGATGACACTTGGAAAATCCATCAGTAACAAAAGTTACTTCTTTTTCTACAACACAACAAGAAAACAAGCTGGAAAGGATAAAGCTCAAAAAAATCATTGGATGAATGATGATAACACTTGAAAATACCTATTGCAATATTTATTTAAGCTCATGCAAAATTGCTCCTAAAAATGCAGCTTCCCATCCATCATCAAATAAAGTTCTAAACCAATCAAAATTAGAACTCCTCAAATAATATTTTAATAGTTCTGTCTGGGAAATTTTATGCAGCTGCCCTCTAAAAATATTCTCCTTGCTAATTTATTTTTTATTTCTCCTATTTTATATAATTTTGAATCCGTTCAGCATTTGCTATATACGAAGGCTTTTAGAGTTCTTTGAACTGTATACATACTATTACCACATCCACACCACGCAATTAATTGTAGCGAGGCTAATGTACACACCCCTTAACTCTCCCAGGACTGTCTGAAGTCAAAGACTTCATTTTTTTAGGAAAGAAATCAGTAAGTTCAGTAAGAACAGATGCCGAGGATATTGATGTTTACCATGACTTAAATTCAAAGTCCTTCCACTAATTTGTGTATTTTTTCCCCATGTCACTGCAAATTTTCATAATTTTTCCATGGATAAAGTGAATAAAACTGAATGCAGTCCAGTTGCAATTACCATCAGTTTAGTGAGAGACCTTGTTATCCTGTAATATGCACATCTCAAATACCAACGCATCAAAACCTTAATGTAGGCTGCTTGTGCTGAGTGCCCAGAACGTTCCTGCTATTGCCAAATGCAGTCAGTGATAAGTCTCTTACTGCCTTATGTACATGCCTTTCTTGCCCTGCTGGTGACACCCGAAGATACCCACCTTGTGTCTGTTTTCTTCTTTCTCCATAGTAACACAATCATTCTTAGAGAGAATGTTTACCACCTCTTCACTTTTTCCTTTGCAAGGAGCCTACTTCTGACTTGGGCTTGTTGCAGCAATAGTGCTCTTGAACCTGCAGATTCTTCTCTATTTTTCAAAAGCTGAGATTCAAGGATGGGGAGTACGGGAAAGTTCACGTTAGCATTGTTTCTGCTATTTTTGCTTTTGGCTAAAAATAATGTCCTGTTGCTATGAGTGTTTCATAATTACCTTATAATACTAGTATTACTTTGCGTAACGTTGCCATAGTTCTGATTTCCTAGAATCAACTTCCTGTAATCAACTGCAAATCTTCTATATATTTTACAGATAATGTTTTCAGCAATGCCCTATTTGTTCAGCTGAGAATAGCAGTTTTGTGGACAAATAACTTTTGACAGCATTTCTGTTCATGTGATGCCTGAAGGAAGCAGCAAGTTAGCCAGTGTCCATTAGTGACTCCACAGTGTGATGTAAAACATAACTCTCAGCGTAACGCCACCAACGTTCATGTTTGCTTTACAGGTTGATGACCAAATGAAGTTGCTACAGAACTGCTGGAGTGAACTCTTAATTCTAGATCACATTTACCGGCAAGTGGTACATGGGAAAGAAGGCTCCATCCTTCTGGTTACCGGGCAACAAGTGAGTATATGGGCTCAGAGAAGTATTGATGGCTTTTTAATAATCATTTTCAAAATAGCAGGAGTTTAACTAGGTCAGAAGCACTTCTGTGTTCTCAGAGATTCTCCACAAATAATGTAGATAAAATGACTTGTGCACTCTGTTCCTAGTCTGTTGATTACAGTTAAACTTATAAAAGCAGATATAATCATAAGAACTTTGCTTTTCAAATATACTTGTATACTTCAGTGATTGAAAAACAGCAGATGAGAAATGTCTCTCAAGAAGTTGTATTTCTTTGGAGCGAAAATGGCTTGTTTCTGACAGCAACAACAACAGACATCCAAAACCCTACGCTGTAGGTCTAAGTAATTTATTTTATTTTCCCATCATAATTATGGTTTACTCAAAAGAATCACTAGCTGGGTGAGAATCCTAGATAACTTGCAGCTACTGCCTCAAAAATATCTTGCTTTTAGACAAATATGCACGTGTGAAGTACTGGGGAGTTGAGACATTAATCCCAGGAAAATTATTCAGTCCATAACATATAAATGCAGGTATTGTCTCAGGCTATGTACCCTGCAGTTTCTGCACAGCTTTTCAGTGGCTAGTTTTCCTCAGGCATCAGATGTTTAGATTATCCAAAATGCAAGAGCAGTAATGTGGCAAATATTAGGAAAACTCAGAGAAAATCCAAAGAAAGTAGAAGTTTTGACTCACCCATACTTTCCAAAGCACAAAGGACATAAAGAACCTTATTTGCAGAATTCTTATTCTGGCCTTAACAGGAAAAAAAAAAAATCAGTATCAAAGAAAAACAAAGTGCATCTGTACATTATGTTCCTGATTCAAAGTGAAAACAAATGATGGTCCACTGGTATTTAAGCAGCTACAAATTGAACTGTCTTGATTTATACACATGGGAAAGAGTTCCTTTTCCTAACTATACAGATGCATCATTTGTGTCAGCATGCTCCAGAATCTGTTTACAGCTTCAGTCACAATTCTAAAAGTCTAGCCAGTTTTTAATGCTAAGAAGAGTTTGTAAGAATCAGAAAATGAGGAGAAACAATCATTTGCATTTGTGATTAAAAGGTGTACAATAGAAGGGAAAAATTATCCACTTGTCCAAGAAAAGTAGGAAAATTCAAATTCTATCTACAGAACTGACTCCTGCACTTTTGTGTGAAGTCCCTAATCTATGTAAGATGAAGTTTTACTCTCTCATTATATGAGAAAAAAATTACTTGCATCACTCCTGATGTATATCAGTGCTACTGAGAAAACTACTGATTCCATTTCCATTTCATCATCTGCAAAACAACGACGATTGTACTGGCAACAATTTTATTTACCACGCCAGGTGCTTGTTTTTAAAGGCATGAGTAGATAGACAGCTTGCTCTCCCTGAAAAAACTGTCAAATTAATGTCTCATTTGTTATGTAATTAGCTAGGTTTTTAAGATATCAAGTGTCTAGGTGCCACTGAAATTGTTAGAGATATATAAATACCTTCAAGTTCTAGCCACTGCCCCCATTTTTCCACAGTAACAGTTCTTAGTTGGATTAGCCACTTTTACCTTTACTTGCAGAAAAAAACAGCTGTACATGTCCTCATGGCAAAGCAGAGCATTTCATCACTGTTGGACAACAGGATGCTAATTAAATGCACTGCTTACAGATCATCAGCTGGTTTTGGATCTTGCATATTTCCAACTAAATTAAAACCTGGCTAAACTGAACTGGTTGTATCCATTTTTGCCCTAGCTTTGTCAAGTAGGTTTAATACATCCCTCTTTCAACCCAGTTTGGCTTTACTATGTCAACATTTGTCATTTGAAGTTGGTGCAAGCACCCACAGAGTACCCATCACCTGCTGCTTCACACTTAGGCTGCTTGGAGAGCAGGGAGAGTATTACCAGAACACTACAGCCAGTTCCCTTCCATATTGACTGCAAGTTTTTTCAGCTTATGCCTGCTGCTGGTTCCTCTCTTCCTCCCAGAGCTCTGCTGCAAAGCACCACAAGGTCGGGGAGACCTTGTTAGCAAAGAAGGTGCTGAGTACCTCAAACTGGGCTGCGTTTGCTGGTACTAAGTCACCAGCCACGTCCAGCAGCAGTCCCACATTTTTCTGGCTCATCCTATAACTAGTTACTTGACATCCTTGCAAGTCTCAACTCTAGCTGAACACTCGCTATTTTAACATCATCCCTGAGTACCTGGACAGTTTATTGTTCTGAGCCATTTCCTGCTTTTACTTTTTTGCACTGCAGCTCAATCATGAGTTGCTTGTTTAGCCTATCTGATCCACTACAGCCGCTCCTTTTTCTATCAGGATGGACCACCCTAGCAGCATCAATTTGGTCTGTTGTCTTTCTGAGACTAAAGTCTGGCTCGAATATATTTATGAAAGGGGAATTATGACTGTTTGTTTCAGCTATGTAGCTATAAAATAATTCTGGAAAGCCACAGTTCTAGACTAAGGCATTATCAATATTTGCCACTGTACTAAATGCTGCATACTTGCTGGTGGCTGCCCTGATCTTTTCAGTTCCCGCAGTAGGGAAAGGGAAATAATCATGCCACCATCTCATAAAAATTAATTGATTAAGGTGTGGAAAGCACTCCAACACTTCTGATGAAAAATGCTGTATATGTTTTTATTTACTGCTACCAGCAAAGCACTGAGCAAAATTACAGTCAATCACCTTGCTTTCAAAGATATTAACTTTAAACTGAGGACTAGAGTTAGATAGCCTACTTTATTACCTGAGAGATCATGATTATTGTCACAAGTTACCAAATTTAAGACCTCAGAAGCCTTATTCCTTGCTTTCCTTAATACATCCTTCCATAAAAGCTACTCATAAACACAGTCCTTTTTACAATCACAATCAAGGGGGAAGCTGTAAGGGGGAGCTTACTGCCACTTAATTAGAACATACCTGCTCTCTCCACTCAGAGTGCACAGCCTCTGCTCCTCTGATATAAAAGTCAAACTTCATGTAGCTCTCCAGGGCCATACCATTTTCTGTTCTATCGTAGGTATCTAAAATGGGCTAGTAGTTAGAAGCACACTCATAATTTTCGAACACATTGGCTCAAACCTGTTACTCTAGGGCATTCTTATCACATTACCATACATCTGCATTTCCCTCAAGCCATTGGCTTATGAGTTTTTCCCTGTGTCAATCCACTGTTCCCACTTTGATGGGAAAAAAGTGCAGTCAGCAACAAAGAAGTGAATACTGTCCCTTGCACACAAAGACTGTGTTTTACTTTATTTTGTTATTTATTTGGTTGGAGTTTCATAAATGAAGCTCTTTTGTGTGTATGTGTTTCAGGAAAGTTCTTTTTTCATATCATTACAATTCCTCAGCAATTCCTCAGAAACAAGTTCCTCCCTACGCTGCACACTTCATTTTCTGCACTAAGTACTGCCCCTCAGCAGTAGTAATTACCATTTCAAAAGGAAATAAAGTAGCACAAATGCATTTTACAACTCTCCAAATTTCATAACAGAAAACAGCTAAGGAGTGATTTGCAACATGGAAGTTAATTGTAAATCATTGCCAATATGCTCTCCACACACCAAGTTCCATAGGCTTGCCACATGGCATGTAATTTAAATTATAGAAATTTAATTCCTCCAGCTTGAGCACTTTCCTTTTGTATCTTCTGCACCAACAATACACGGCCAGCTTCCAAGATCCAGCACACACAGAGTACATACTAAAGCTCTGTACAGATTATCACTCACTGTTCATGCATTTTCAGGCAATAGTCAACAAACAACACCTGAATTGTAGGTTCAGTTGCCCAGACAAGCTGCTTATTTTGTTCATACCTACAGCACTCATTGCCAAATTTTCTGTCTGTTGAGTTTGGTCAAAATCTTTCTGATTAAAAAGGCAGTCTAAAAATGTGCCACCATCTGAGCTTTTTTGAGATTGTTCAAACTACTGATTGACGGGCAGTTATCACACAAATATATATTTCCACCTAGATTTGTATTCTAAGAGTAGCAGCAGAGAAGAACACGAGGGATAACCAAGATCTCAACAGTGTTGTGTTTTAAAGCAAATCATAACTTAATTTCAATTAAGAAATTTGTTACTTGAACCTTTTGTAGCTCTTTCAACTGTACCTTATTGAAAGGTGTTGATGCATCATGTAGGGGCTTTGCCTGAGGAATTTTCTGTGGTAATGTCATCTTTGTTAGACTTACCCACTTGCAGAGAAGGTTTCTAGTATCCTGATGTAGTTGTATTTGCTGAGGCCTTCAGAGAATCTGCTTGTCTCGGGGACCAACTTGCAAGTTCAGTGACTTACCGCTTTGCTGCTGAAAAGGTTTTCAGGAAGCAGCTTTACTTTCAAACTGCAGTCTGCAGATGACTGTATGACAAAGAAGGATCACCCCTGCAGAAGTATCAATGTTGTACAAAGTTACAAGAGTGTTAGAGGAAGGAGTGTCTCAGAAGGACAGGAGAAAGGAGCTGGTGAAAAAGTAGATAAGGAAACACACTATTTTGTTCATCCTATGAAATGAATAAAAATACATATACTAGTCACGGGTATAAGAACTAATGGATAGGTAATACAAAGCAATTACTTCATATATTCTTGGGAACTCCTCATTTTTATTAGATATATATATATACGCACACATGCATGTGTATGTGTGTACATACGTATAATTTTTTCCATTAGGTTTGTGATTGCAATCATAGTTGTATTTGGCAAAAAAATAAAAATGATATTGGTATTTGGGAGCCAAATCTACAAGTTCTCGCATACACAGAATTTGACTGAAGGTGGATACGCACGTGGTCAAGCAATCATCATTCTGCTGTTCAGTGTAGTACTTGTTCTCTCATATCCAGGCTTGTATGGTTCCTCACTCTAGTGGTTTCTGCCTAATGGAAAAGAAAACAAGGTTATGGTGGATGTTAGAAGTGTCTCAACAATGAAGATGTTATGCTAGCTGTTTTGGGGGGCTGAACTAGATGCTCTCAATTAAACTAGGTAAAGCGGATCAGAATCCAATCTTTAAAAAGTGTCCAATTCAGGTGTATCCAAAGATACACTAAACTTTGAACCTTTCTTTTGACTAACTATGGCCACACCTCTGAATAACGTGGTCCCAATTCACATTTGCTTTGCTATATCATCATGAACCCATCATCACACTGTTTTTAAGTCTAAAATTCCAATTCCAGTAACACCATCATGAAGAGAGCACCCAACATGATTCCCTGCATGCCAAAACCATTCAATTTCCCACATGCTAACTTTGTCATATTCATAAGAAAAAACATTTCTTTTGTATTCTGTACATACTGCTCTCATAAAGAGAACAAAATCTATTTGGCTGGGGTCTGCAAGGCTACCAGTCCTTCATACGAGTCCCATACTACTGAACGTATTTCTCCATATAAATTAATATGAAATTCCACATTTGATTTCAAGATTGTCCAGCAGGAGAAAAATTGTTCAGAGTCTCAGTTCAATGAAAAAAGCAATACATCAGTCCATCCCAAACAACTGTAGCCTATTGGAGTACTTACACTGATGGGATCCAAAGTAAACGTATCCAGTCTTACTGATGGGGAAGAATTTAATGTGGTAGAGCAGAGGCTTATATAGGAATACATGTATGAAAAGGGAAAATGAACTTAACTGAGCTAAAAAGCCCCTGAAGAAACAGACTGAATTAGCACAGTCCTAAGTGCTAATATTTGTAAAATATTAGGCCTAAATATTTGCAAAAAAATTCAGTGACGGTCTGTCTTCTGATGAGGCTTATGGATATTCATATTCAGCAATGATTGCATATCGTATCTTCTCTAAGAAACAAAGTGCATTGCAATGCATAAGGAAAGAAATGTATTCTATTGTACTCTAGCTTAGTTACATTCTGTATGTTATTTTAACATCAGCATACTAATAATTTGAAGAACCTGGCTGTCATCATTAATAGTGTAGAAAATTAACACTACTGGTTAAAACAGCATTCTAAATGAAACTTAATTATTTTATCTTCATGCATTTTATAACATAAATATATCTACTATAAATTAATCTGTATATGATCAACTACAGGGCACATAATCCAGTCTTGACATACAAGTGTTTTTGAAACTAAGTTAGATGAAATAAATGCAGTACTTTAGAGTGCTACTATTTGCATATTATAGCTAATTAGCAAGCACAATATCATCATCCTAGGGGAAAGGTCCACTGGCAGCTTAATTCATTATCTTCTATTATTGTGTATCATGTTAAAATGACAAGCACCTTACACTGTATAAGTCATCACAATTTTAATTAATATATCCAAAACCGATATAAGCATCTGCTGATTTTGTCTGTGCTGAGTCCTCCTCAATTTTTGTACGTAGGCATTTCTCCAAAGTGTTTTCTCCACATTCATTTGCTTTGAAATATAATATGAACATTGTTTTAAATGTTTTAAATGAAATTATTAATCATATGAAAAGATCAAAATGAATTTAATAACCACCATCCTTGCGAGTAAAATATATATTCTCTCCTACCTCGTGAAACAGTAGAAGAGTAATTATGGTTGTGATAATAAATTAACTTGCTCGCTATTTATTGTGTGCAACGTTTTCTTCTGGGACAAATGCTCACCTAGACATGTAGCCACTAGAGCCAACTCTCAGGCTTCCATCTGGGTCAGGACTTCAAGCACAGGACAGACTGTTGAGGGTGAGTCCCCAGGCTATCGCAGTTTTTCATCCGAGGATGGGAGCAGTGGCAGAGCCCCCCACAGCCCACAGCAGCCTGTGCTGGACCGAGTTGCATGGAGCAAAGCAGAAAAAGGACGGTTGCTTTGCTGCACCCAGATGTCCTCTGCCTCTTGTCTCTGTGCCCCAAACACGCAGTGATCTAACTTACAAAAGGTTCTGGCTCACAGTAGTGTCATTCCAGTAGATCAAGTACCTGATAACAGCTATTAGCAAGTAACAGCATGCTAATACACTGTCTGTACACTGTTGCAAGCTTGCTGAAACACTGACAAGGGATTCAGTTCAACACAACTTTTCCATAGGACATATGACTCCACTGTTGTATCCTAGAAATCAAATACAATTTAATTTTAGAAGGAAGGAAGGAACCTGATTCCACCATTATACCTTAGGCTTGGTTTTGTGGGCGGAGAGACAAGGACTATGCCACAGGCCACCACCTGACTCCACCAGAGCCATCTGAGCCCATTGAAACCAGGGATTTGGCTTCAAGACCCATTCATTACTATGACAAATCATTTGCAAAACCAAGAAGTACAAGTGCTCCCTGCATTTCTGGCCTTCAGCCTTGCCATTTATTTAGCCCAGGGTGTAGTTTCATGTTGTAAAAAAGCCTTGTCTTTTGTTCTGCCTCAAACAATACCTTACTATGTTAAATTGGACTTTCATGTGAGAACAAAATCTACAGAATTAGTCACTTCCATCTCTTACTGCTCTGCTTATCAGCTGAGATTTTTTTTTTTTTTTTATAGCTGACTCTCCAAATGCTACTGAACTCCAGGTACTTTACTACAATATATTGTTTTAAAACAGAATTCTCATAAATGCTTTGCACTGGCCTAACTAGCTTTCACCATCATTAAAGGGATTTAGACTTTTAAGTCACTTTCAACTGTATCAAGAAATGTATTTAGAAAAAAATAGTCATCGTTGCCACGTCTCTCTGCAGTCACATTTAAGTTATGACCTTCTTACTAATACTATCAGCTTTTCTATTTTTTTTCCTTTGCTGCTAGTGCCTCTGTATTCCCCCGCCCTCTTTCAGAGCCTGCAGCCTCATCCACTCATCCCTTACCTTTGCAACAAAGGGAGCAGGGAAGGCCAGCAAACTAGGGGGTAACTGTAAGAGGTAGCCATCAGAAATGCTGAGAAGTACGTGAATGCTGCCTGTCCAAAAGAGCTAAGTTTTTCTACTTGCAATTTTTCTACTTGCAATTCACAGCTGAAAGTTCTCTCCTAGAGTTAAATACTAAGCAAATCCTTCCTCTCCAAGGTCCCTGCCTTTCTGCCCAATACTCATGATCAGAACACATCCACAGGATGCGTGAGATTTACCTGAGGACACCTGCTATTTCTAACTTTCAAAGAGATGACTAGGCTATAAGTAATTTATTAACTGCCAGGCTATAGTCTGATTTATTTCACTCACTCTTTGGACTGGAGATTTGAACTCAGACTTCCCTCATCTCAGTTGACTGCTCCAGTCAGTGGCCCGCTGAAAAATTCCCACTCTGGTATTTTTGATGCCTTAGGTAGATGAAAGCAATTTAGTCCATAAATCTAAAAAGAGTTGTAGCGTGAGCTGGAAACGGTGTCATGACCTGAATAGGCCTGGCCATGCCTAGAGTCAGTTCAGCACCCCAAGAACTAGTGGAAAATGGAGCCATGAGGACTTGAAGCAAAATGTTAGGTGGCAGCAGAGTGAAAGTTTCTAGTATCTAGTTTTAGATTTAGGCACTTCAGTTAGCAAATGGTACTACAGCACAGCCTGCAGTACTGCATATATAGTGATACCCACGCTAAGCTTAAACAAGCAAGTTTAAGCACCAGAATGGCAAGAACAAGTGGCAGAATAAATTATGCAGTGCTGTTCTGTCAGCATCGCTTTCGTACCAAGCTAACCCAATTAAGCCCCTACCATTACTTCTTCATCATTACTACGGTCATCATGCAAGATAGCACTGAATAGTGGTTTGCAAGGAATTTACACCTCCAACTGTTTGTGCAGCCATAACTTCATGCCCATTATTTTACTTCTGAAATAGGTAATGGGAAAAGTGTACTAAAGCATCTATTTTCAAAAATATCAGTCAACATGCCACCATCCTTAATACCAAAACCAACCTTACCGTACAATGCTATTAATTGGGAAGCTTTTTTTTCTATTTTCATGTATGGATTTGAGTTTACCGAATGAAATTTGTGATGCAATGTGAAATGCTACGATTTTAGTTTGTAAGTCAGCATTTTGCTCAAGACCTAGGCTCTTTTAATCTTTAACTTTTAAAAGCATTTTTAATCATGAGTTAGATGGTGAAAGAATTAGTACACCTTTTAGTATCAGTTTCTGCATACAGGACCAAGCAAGCAGGACAGCATACTCTTTAATGTGACCACTTTTTCAGAATAGACATTAACGGGGGCTTTTTCATGCACAGTTGATTTTGTATAAACTGATTGACACCTTTGGGGGTCGTCTTTCCACTGACTCATAATTTTGCTCACTCTTGAAAAAAGCCTTCTGCACACCCAGTATTCTCTAGTTAAAGCTGAAAATTCAACTCATCATATTTACACAATAAAAAAAAAATCCATTCTGCATTGTTTTTAATTGCAAATCCTACTCAAGGGACCAATTCTCCTGCTTAGGAGGCAGCCCTGTGCCTTCTACTAGAGAACCAACTGCAGTCAATTATGGTAATGAAATGTCAATAAATATAAAAATTTAATACAGCCTGCTCTTGGTGAGTGGCAGATGAGGACTTGCCTCCCAGACAAATTTGCTGGTGCTGCAAATATTAAATGCACCTGAAAGAGTAGCAGGTTGCCTGAGAGCTTTCCAGTAGAGGGATGGTGGGAGATCCAGACATCTACTGGGTTTTTCCATTACGGCATAATCGCTGCACTAAGGCCACTGATATTCTTGACATCCAGACATCTTAACTTCTTATTATGAAGAGGAAGGCATATTTCCCCTGCAAACTGGAACCTCAGTGAGGGATTTTGAGCTTTCCCCACACACATATAACAAAGCATTAAAATTACAAAAGGGAAATTAAGCTGAGAATGAGTTGATATTTGTATGTGACCAGTTTCTCAATAGGAAGTAGGTGAATCATGTCACCATATAAAACTGCTCTGCGAATAAAGAGCATTTAAGGGCATGTTGCTACCTTTTTTTTTCTTATTTATATAAGTACATATCCTTATATATATAAAGAAATGGGGGGGGCGGAACCAACAGATGAACTAGAAAGCAGTTTATGAAAGACAGTTTGGCTGGGATTTCCAAAGGCTAGATCCTAGTTTTGTTACAGATTTCTTTGGCCCTGAATAAGCAATTTAATTTCACTACTTCAGTTTTCCCAGGTGTGACAGACAGCAATAAAACCTATCTCGCAGGACACTTAACCATAATCCACTGATTTCATTGAAACATAAGCATAACTTTAAATGCTTTGCAGAGTTAGAGCAGTGTTATTCTTACCATCCATGCAAAAAGTGGAACTTCATTTTTCTTGTACAGTTGCCTTCAATCAATGTCTTGAGAGTGCTAACTGTACACATAAATAAAATGTCTTATTAAAAGTCAGTAACCTATTGATTATATTAAGGTCATCCCTAGGAGAAGCTATTTTTAGTCCCTTTCAATCATCTATCTTATCTTTCCTGGCTGAAATTTTGACAGGTTTAAAGTCCTCCTTTTTTTTTTTCTTGCTTTCCAACTATTTATACTTGAATTAAATCGATTCAATAGTTTTAACATTGAAAAACATGTTTGAAAATACATGTTCCTTAACAGTTATTTAAAAAAATAATAATTTTAAGGGATCAGTGCCTGGAAAAACAAAAATGTCAGTATTGCTCTGTTGCCTCTGGTGGTACCTGTTTCTTTATTAATTATCTTATTATGGGAGACCTTAAAGGCTGGATAAGTGCACCAATACCTTTAAACACATCATTAACCCAAAGTGTGCACTTACCATTAGCCGGGCTTCAGCATGTGATTACGCGAAGTATGGCTGCCAATTCTCCTGTTGCTATGGAGGCCCCTAAAAGAGAGAAGCTCTGCTAATACTACAGCAGCCAGGCAAGTTACCTACATGTTTTGAAAATGCATCAGTAACTTGTTTAGGTCTCAGCCAGTTGATCAGGGACAGCTTACCTCAGGGGCAAGCAACATGCCCAGGGCCATTTTCACTGGACAGTGGCATTTGCAAAGCAGAGGGATGAGAGCAGGGCTGAGCTGAAGGCACTTCAGCAGAAGCAGTTGCTCGGACAGCCCAACATGCCAGATAACATCCACTCCACACTGCTGGGGCTGTGTGGTCTCACAGCCTCTAGCCTCACCTCAGGCCTAGTGTCAGAGTGACTGTCCCCATCCCCTGCATGCCCCATCCCCTGCTCTGCTTCACCACCAGATCATGGCCTTCCCATGATCTGGCCGCAGAGCCTGGGCACCTCTCAGGGCTCACCATCCCATGACAAGGCCTGCAGAAGCTGGTGGTGGCCATCTTTAGTGTGGCAGAGGCTGGTGTGTCCTTTTGCAAGGACACATCTTCTTAATGTCACTGGCATTTCTAGATAGGTATTTTAGTGTGCAGGCAGTAGGGAGGTTGCCTGAATTCAACAACAGTAATCATTGGGTACGTCAGGTAGGAAGGGCTTAAAATATACCTTGCTTGTGAACGTTGCCATTTGTAATATGGCATATTCCAGCATTCTCTTGGACCTCTATATACAAGGGTCACTTAGGACAGTTTGTGGTCCAGTCAGCCTCTCCTGAGAAGGGATGAGCAGACTCCCAGAGCAGTCACACTTCTTACTGTGCTCCAGAGGAAGGTGCTTTGTGTGCTGCAGTAACTGCTCGAAACAATCTCAGTGCAGCTGGCCTGTGCCACACACCTGCCTGCTCCTCCTCCCTTCACAGAGGAGGAACTGCCAGAACAAGTCCCTTGGAACCAGCTCCAGCAAGTGCCAGGACTGTGCGTGGCTAAGGAGAAAAGAAACCACCTTCACAATGCCTGTGCTTCCTGTGGGAATATACCGACATTTCTGGGCTTGAATAGATGTTTCTGGCCAAGTTATGGACACCAGACTGTATCCCATGAATACCTTTATGTCCCTCTGGACTAATATGCCCAGCGTAGGCGCAAAGCTCCCTTCAATCAGTCTCTCTTCACAGGATTGTACAACTGCAATGAGAACAAGAGACACCGAGTGTATAAAACAAACTGATAAGGGGCACAGCTACCAGTGTCATAAGCAGTAGTCATATATAAAGCCTCTAAAAAAAGCTAATACAGACAAACCGGCATTCACAGTGATGTGACATACCATTAAGATATATGGTTTAATAATACTTCCAATATATACTGTTGTGCTAAAATAGGTTTGTATATAAAATCATCCTGACTCGATAACATCATTAAATTGAGAGTGATTCTTTTATCCAGGAGCATCCTGGTTACATGTGATTGCTTGAAACATTCTAAAGTGGTTCTGTGGGTACAGACAGAAATATAATTCTCTTTTACAGGTGGATTATTCTGTAATAGCGTCGCAAGCTGGAGCCACCCTCAACAACCTTATGAGCCATGCACAAGAACTAGTAGCAAAGCTTCGTTCCCTACAGTTTGATCTACGAGAATTTGTATGTCTCAAATTTCTGGTGCTGTTTAGTTTAGGTAGGTAAATTTTACTCTTCGTATTCCTTAATTAACACTGTTGTTTTTCCCCCTTAAAATACTAAAAATAGTTTTGTTTTATTATTTTTTTTTCCCAAAAAATGAATGAGACTTTAAATATATTTTATGAGGTTCAGAGTAAACTGAAGATTCTTTTCTTTTAATTATCACTTCACAAAGAAAAATTATGTAGGAGAATTAAAAGTGGATTTCTATGCAACTGATTCCTAAAACATAAGGAATTTACTAGAGTATTACAAGCTTACTGTATGTACTTTATGAATATTCCAGAACAAGAATATAATTCTATTATAAATTCTAAAGGACAGAGGAAAATACAGATTGGTATATTTTTTATGATATTGAATGTGGTTATGTAAAGCAGATGGTGTGGAGATATGGTTGAAATAACCCTCTTTTTTAAGGGCATTTGTGGTAAGTATAAACAGTCTTGTTTGCATATGGCTGTCACATCCTAACACATAAATCAGGAATGCAACTCATAGTTTGTAAAAAGTGAAAGGATCTCTTAAAGTGTAGATTAATGATAATAGCTTTATGGCAAATCTAGCAAGGAAATAACCTTTAAAGGGAAGATTGTTTTGTATTAGCAGAGAGGACACAGAAAGGTAAAGATACTTATGCAAGACAAATTAGTTAAACCGGTGCCCTGCAATGAATCAGCCACGAAATATCACCAATACCAGGAATACAAAATTATAATAATAATAACAATTAAAAAAAAAAAAAGAGGACTTAGGGAGATGGATTTCTATTGACTTCATAGGAAAATACTTTTCTTCCTGTCTTCCGTTTCAAGTTTGCATTTTGTTGACTTAATAGAACTGGTCTAAATAAACATTGACCAAGTGATTTTCTTATTTACTTTAAGGAAGTAGAAAGGAGAGATCTTAAAAAATAAGGTCAGATCCAGACATATATAGATCCCTCCACAGGCAAGATTCTAGTTTTACTCAGAAGTTATTTTGTCTATGAAGAGAGTGAAGAATTGAGCCAAGTATAACAAAGAAAGAAATATCAAAAGTGGTGACATTTAGTAATATTTTTCTTTAATTAAAATTTGCTTAAAAATCTTATGTAAAGGAAATAGAATTTTACAGATAAATTATTATAACACAATTGCATTTAAATGAAAAGGAGCAAGATGTTTTGGATACACTGTAAAGTCTCAATTACTCTCTGAAATATGCCCTTCCATGTGGTGTTTAAAGAGTTCGTACCTGTTTTGGAAGATTTTAGATGAAGTTCTCTTTAAACATGATGATAAAAAAATCCATACTTCAGAGATATAGGATGCAGAACATATAGAAAAAAAAAAAAGAATTACTTAGTTAACGATTGTTATGAATTATGTACATTCTGATTCCTAGGAAAAGAGATGATGGATTTGCTTGGAAGCTATTAATATTTTATATTCAAGACTTTGTCTCTTTCCATGTCAGATTCAGAGATGGAAAAGCAAGCTTTCTATTAACGAAAATTATGGTTTATTATTTAATCTGATGAACAACAAGAATTCAGATTTCCTAATTCCTAGTAAGTAGGTTTTACAGTCATTAGACAGTGGTACAGAAATTTCTGAAGAGCCTGTAGCTTTCCTCTAATAAAATATTTAGAGAATTCATCTCAGTTCAGTGGTACTTTAAATTAGCTGAATAAGAGAAGTACATTTGGAAAATGCTCACATTTAGGTGGTCTTTTTGTGTGATCACTTTTGTCAGCTCCTCAAGTACTTTGCACTGATTTAGGAATCATTCTTACACCTTCAGCTTTCCTAATTCTGCAAGGCAGCATACTCAACTGCAAAAGCAGATGCTTATAAATACCTAGCATACCTTGCAGTTGTATAAAGTCAAGTTATCCAGTTTTTCTCTCATTTACGCTACTATATTAGCTACAGAGCTAATTCTGCTGCTAATGGGAGCCTTATAGTCATATCACTTACATATAGAAATGATGTAGCAAAGAAAGTGTCTGTACCTTTGAAGCTGCTAATTCACTATTTAGCATACTGCATAACTTGATCTGCTAAAAGTCCAAGCTAGATGTTTTCTGCAAAGAGTAAAATATAAAGATATTGTCACCTGACCCAAAGAACTAAGGCAAATATTTAATGAGAATGATGACAGAACTCAAATGAAAAAACTAGATACCTTTTCCAGCTAAGTAGTACTTAAGTTTGTGCCCAAAATAATGAATGGTCTGACTGAAGTTGATTGAGTCAGGATTTTTTAAGACATTGAAGTGCCTAACAATGCTGGTAGGCATTCAGCAGGACTGTCAAAACTAGTTAAGCATCAAATTCTGCTGAAATAATTGGGAGCAATTATTGTACCTAAGTATCAAGGCGCATTTGACACATACCTTTGTCTCTTAGGCATCTCAACAGAAAACTGGTCTTAGCATTGAAAACATATTATTAATCAAAAAATATTTCAAAAATCTGAGCAGACTCTTGTTGAAAATCTGTCTCTGCAATATTTAATGTAATAAGAATCACTTCAAGACATACCAGCTTTTTTCATTTCTAAGGATGCCCTCCCACAGTGTTAAACGATCCAGTAAAGGCTTATACTATTGTTTGTGTGGCAACACAGAGTCAATAATCCACAGAATTAATTTACTGAGAAGAAGCTGTTTTTTTTTCGTTGTTGTTTGTGGTTGGTTGTGTTTGTTTGTTTTTTAACCAAACAGTTATGAAGCTGCCTCCTAAAGCTGTTTGTTATTCCTGGCTGTACCGTATTGTCTGTATTTTCACAGGATAGCAATCTCCTTGAGGGCAAATAACATTGTCTCTGTCTTTTTTTCTAACATTTCAGCAGTGATTAGCTTAGTAAAATATCAGTAAAATAATGTTCTAACCCTATAGCACACAATAAGTTTTGAAAACATAATTAAATCATATCAGTCTTGCATGCTAGTTTTTATATTGTTCATTGTTTACTTGTCAGAGTTTCCAAAGGGTTTAAACAAGAAAATGCTTTTGATTGCTAGTAGCATGAAAGAAGATGCTATTGAAGCTTAGACAGGTGCATGTTTATTGTAACCTTTGTAGCCAGCAGCACACAACTCTTTCTGCAGCCACTCCAGTGAGTGGTACATGCAGGCACTGGAGCTCTGTTCCTTTCTCCAGCTATCTGTCCCAACTGAACAACCTTGCCAAAGTTGACTCAGTTATCATTCAAGAAGCCAGACTATTTAGGTAACTATTTTTTCAGATAGTGTAGCATCTCCTTGGTGTAGTCCTATCAAGAATTAATATATGTAGAATTAGGTAACTTACATTTCTTCCATCAGTTATAAAATAAAACACTTTATAGCCAGGCAGTTCTTACTTCTCTGTGCATTAAAAAAAATTCCTTTCAAGCCAATGCATCCTCATACTTCAGTGACTGTCTGTCTGGCCATCAGTGGTTCCTCATGCTATTAGCCCAGTCACTGCCATTCCGTGGAGAGGAACAAGTCCATCACACTTGTTCTCAGCAGATAACCAGTTCATCTGAATCAATCCTTCAGCTTTTGTGTGCCCATAGTTTAAAAGTCAACAGGGAACAAAGCAGTCCTTACAACCAGCACAATCATCACAACCACAGTGGGGATGACTGCCTTGTGCATGGCAGGGCCTCAACTGTCTTTTAGAGTAACAAGAGCCTTGACTCATAACAACACGAAATGTAGAAACACTTTCCTTCACAGCTTCACTGCACCATCAACAGTCAGTTGATTACTCTGTCAGGACACCAGAAGTTTAGACTAAATTTAAATTCAATCACATTACTCTGATCCACTTACATGATTGACAGATCTATTACACCAGTCCAGCAGGGTTCCCTTAAAGAATCACAAAGAATCTCTTTCCATGAGTCAGTCCTCCGTGGTGCTTCCCCAGCTGCGTACCTCTTCACATACCTCTGTTGCTTTCCTCTCTCTCTCTGTGCACCAGAACAGCATTATGCAAATCAATCAGTCTGACTGACACCTGAGGTCACATTAAAGCAAATAGACACAGGTCTTGGGATCAAAATTGCCCTCAGAAGTTTTGGTTGTGTAGTCTGGTATAAACCACCTTCTAGTCACTTCTTCCCCAAGTTGACTTCTGATGGACACGTTTGAATTTTGTACCAGAGTCCTCCTTTGCTGTAAATGATACACTGGGTGCTGATTGAATGTTTTATCTGAAGACAAGATGGACTTCAGAAGCCAAGGCATTTTATTGCAAAGGAGCAATCTGTCTACCAGCATGATTTACTTGAAATAAGTATTCCGTTTAGATGGTCTAGAAATAGCAATGTATTTTCTTAATCATTCTCTTAATCATTCTCCATTTCAATTATTAGAAATAAGAAAGTTTCAAGAAAGCTATTAGCTTTCTTGGAACTAAATCAGAACTTCAGTTCTTAGAGCAGTTATCTTTGCAAACCTTTCTTTCATTGAGGTTTACCTATTTGCAAACATGACTGCTTTGTGGGGGCATACATTGCAGAATGGGAGAGGAGGAAGAAACCTTTGGGAAACATGAGTATTAAACCTTTTAACACTAGTTCTGCAGGCTTTACATGTATGAATGCCCATCCAAAATGCAAAAAGAGCACATCTGAGAAAGTTGATGTTCAGATAAGTAAGTCTTCATTGAATTTCCTACTAAATAACAAACATATCTGGCTTTCTGAAAGATAGCCAAACTGACAATGCAATTTCTTTACCATAATCCCAAAGAAATACAACTAATTTTTCTATAAAACATAAACAGTAGTAGTCCACAGTACACATTATCAAAAAGTAGGTCTAAAACTAAATAAAATTTCCTTTGTCATTAATAATTGCTAGTTTGAATCAAGATACTGCTACAGATAGAAAAAGCAATTGTGCCAGTTTATCAGCTTCTTTGAATTTTCATGAATTTGACACTACTTTGGAAGCTCCTTTCTTACTTTGTCAGAGTTAGAAGAGTTAGAAATTAAAAATTTTAAAATTTAATGTTGAATTCTCTAATTCTGGGAAAGAAATAGATAGCCACGTTCCATTGTAGTCAAATCTTGGCCTCACTAAAATCGAACACAATTTCTCTGATTTTACTGGAGTCAAAATTTGTCTCACTGTTTCTTTGATCTTCTTCCTATCACAGAATAAAGTTCAGATATTTTTTCAGTAATTCCACTTGCTAAATTACTATATTTAAATTATTTTTATTTTTTTTTAACGAAACATATAACTGTCGCCAGTCAAGTCACACTACAGACTGGTCACTGAAATCAGCCATTGCTCTTCACCCAACTTCCTATTTATCCTGCTACTTTTTATTATTCAAATTCAGCAAGGATGATTTGTCAAACCTCCCATCAAAGCAGTTTGTAAAGTGAAATGCCAATAGGAAGAAAGTTAGACATCATTTGACTCATGTCCAGGCATCATTGGACTCATGTCCAGGCACGTGTCTGCCTGGAGCTAAATGCTAGAGTAGGCAGCAGCTGACTGGTACTGCTCTCTTATCATTGTCAGGACACAGATAAATGTACTTCATTTAAGAAATGAAGACTTTATCAATGGGTAAATAATTGCAGAGCCACTATTGATCTCACATCTCACTTAACATAAGACAAGAGGGACCTGTAGAAATGGTAAACATTTAATTGCTATGGATGGCAAACAATGGGCTCTTGATTAAAGGGGAAAAAAAAAATGAACTGTTTTCAAATAAACCACAGTGTTACTTACAGGTTCAGCAGAGACCCACCCTGACTAGGCAATAATCCATACCCATTTTACCCATTTCTGTTGGGTAAGAGAAATATTAGCAAATCTTTTTGCTTTTAGTCTTCCTGAAGCTCCAGAGCTGAGATTAGAGGAGTAGGCCCCCGTATTGGACTCCACTATAGGCACTTCTGGAAGATAAACATTCCTATTAAGCTTTTCATAGCAATGAAACAGGCTGAAATGAAGCATTTTTGAGACAGACTCTACCCTTTCTATTCACATGACTATGAGCAGCTTCCCATGAACATGCAAAAGAAACAGCAGAAAGTCTGCCTGTGCTTTGTTTCATCTGATTCCATTAACACACATCAATGCAGTTATGAAAAACTCTGAAGCTGGAAAAAAAAATAAAAAATAAATTAAATTAAATTTGCTATTGTATTTTTAATATATTTTATGTATATATGTCTATCAGATTTACAGACTAGCCAGTCTGTACCTCAGTGAGCTTGCAATCTAAATCTACAGAAGAGATAAGTTAAAAAAAAAAAAAAAAAAAAAAAAAAAAAACAGTAGCAAAAATGGTGAAACACTGGGCTGTACATATTTTCACTTCTACAGCTTTTGCTGAGGTTTTAATTTGGGGTATGATCTCTGCAGATCAAAAAATAAGTGTATAATAAGCATCAATTGGGCATTAAATAACAAGGGATATTGATTAAATGTTGGCAGTATTTATGATGCTTAAGGGCACACAAACAAAAAGAGCAACAGAAAGAAATGAAGTAGTCAGTGCGGCAAGAGGCTCTTATCAGGCCAAAACGGCCTGAAGTAGGAAACAGGAAACAAGGGTCTAGAATTAAGACAGGATTGTAGACCCTTAGATTTGATACAGATATTAAGGCATAACCTAACAAGTTTTGGCATATTTGGATCTTTTTTGCAGCCTGCCTAGTGATTACACAATACTTTCAACAACTATGGATCTGCCCTTTACACTTCCTGGTTAAAGAGTCTGCACCAGGTCATCAAAGCACAGTCCAGTAAACATGTGAACTCACTAAGAAAAGGAATTAGACAAAAATCAACCTGCCCACCCGCCCTGAAATAATTCCAATAGTTTTAGTATCCAGAAAACTCACAGAAAACAATAATTTGCCTTCACGTAGCACCCTTAGTGCAGGATGTGAGGCAGGTGCTATGAATGTAAAGCGAGGAGTAACGCATAGGCAAGGCCTCCCTTGACAAGCCAATATAAGTCCACAAGGAAGCACTTACCTAGGGACAGACTGGTCATCACGGAGGTGTTTTCTTACTTGCTGTGACAGACGGCACTCAAGTCTTGAAGACTGTCTTAAGTCTTCAGAGAGCACTGAAGTCCTATTCAAAATAGGTGCTCTAGCAGTTTTTACTTTTGATAATTTCTAAATATACAAATATTTTTATCCTCAAATTTATACATATATTATTGATATCACATACGTATACTTGGGCTGCTTTACGTGTGGTTTTATTAAATCCATTGGCAGTTTTGCTATGTTCATCCACACTGTTACCCAAGTGCACTTTTAAGACCGCACCTGATGACCAGTAAGAGAACAGCTGAGGGGTTCTGTACAATTAACATTCAGCCAGGGCTTTCAGGCTTCTCCACATTACATCTGAATTTAAACAAATACGTACTGCATACTTGTCAAGTCCGGGCTCATATCTCAACTCTAACTACAGTAAGCATCTGAGGATAATGCTGGCAAAGAAACATTTCCTAAATTTTATGTAATCATTTGGAATTCAGAAAGGATCGATTAGTATTCAGAAGATGTGACTGTTCAATATTTATGCCATTGAGAGTTGGCAGAAGCAAATAATGGTACATAAAGCTGATGCTTGTCTTAATTAAATGCAGTATAATGTGTGTTGAGGTTTTTTTCCCTTTAGCAAAGAGAGCAGTTTAGCAGTGACCAGATATAACTCATTCTGAAGTTCAGAGTTTAGAACTAATCAATATGTATTTATAACAAGGGAGGGACTGAATATAATTTGTTAGCTGAAAGCTGAATAATAGATAAAGATAAGATTTATTTAAGAACATTTATTCCATGTACTAGTGTCTGACAAAATATTTGCCCCCCTTTGATTCTTGACTATTTTTTGCTGTACTAACAGATTTCAAATAGAAGACTTTTTGGAATGAATTCCCAGCCACAGATAGGCTGGGAATGACACCAGAGAACAAAAATGAGACCTCTAACTAGGAGGATCCTTTCACTATGACAAACTTGTTGTTCAGACTATTAATAGTAACGTTTCCTAATTTTCTGATTCAGAATCCTTAACGGCAGGTAGAATTTTAATACATCTATACTCTTTTAAAATTAGCAATCTAAATAGATGATGATCAGTAGGTGTTGACTGGCAGAGGATGGCTGAAGGATGTGAGGCACAATCCCTACAGCCCAGGGTCACCTGTCTTAAATGTCACAACAAAAAGTTTTGCGAGGGGATATGAAGAAAGTAGTTAAAGAGAGCTGCAGAGAGCTCCTATTAAGCATGAGTCAGAGTGGAGAAAACAGAAAGCACATGGTCTGGAAAACTGGTGAGCAGATGATGGAGATGGCATTGTGGGCAAGTCAGAGGCAGGAGGTGACCTTGTGATGATAGGTGGTGAAGGAACAGCTATAGGACCTTGAAAGTGAACATAATTCATGTCTGATATAGCAGAGAAAAGGAAGGATGCAAAAAAAAACCAGCATATTAATGATCTTGTAAGGGTGTCTTGGCCGTGGTGTACGCCAAGCTCAAAGGAAGCAATGCTGTGGTAACTGAGATGTGATTATGATGAGGCCACATGGTATTTGTTAAAAGTTTAATTCAGCAGATAATGGCTGCTGTGTACATCCCATGGAAGGCAATGTGAGAACACATCTGCAGGATCACTGTATTAATTTGGGATTAATTATATTAGAAGTAGTCCAATCTCAAGGCGAAGATCACTGTTTTTTGGAAGAGCCCATCTCTAGTATAATATGGAGGCTCCATTTCTTGAAATCAAGATGACCACTTCTTTAAAGTATTATGATACAAGTCAGTCAAAAGTTCCAAACTTGATGTACAAATTGCTAGATGGAGATCTATGGCTGGCATTGGGCAGAAGGATGAAGGAGGTAATGATGATGATCGTATGGGTTCTTTCTTATCCCTACATCAGTAAATTTCATAGGCAAGATGATTAAATTCATCACAAGTCTCCCAATTTCACAGTTTTGTTGCATTTGTGCATCAATATGTTGCATTTGAACTTGATTATTTATATAGCCCCTCAGTGCTGCATGTCCTGCATTGCCTATGGAAACTAGGGATAACTTTCTCATTTGAGACGATGTGGGTCAAGAGAAGAGTTAAATAGCCAGTCTGATCGTGAAACATTTAACTCTTTTCTGGCTCTCAGGCAAAGCAGTCAAGGTTCTCCACTCTGCTGCTAGAAGAGCTGTTCCACTTTTCTACTTCAATCCTCTGGGAAAGAAAATGTATGAATATGGACAAGAATATAATTTTAGGATTGTCTCATAAGGGACTTTTCCTATCAGGGAGCCAGCATTGCTCAATACAGAAATAAAACCCTCTTGTCTCTGTTTCTGACTCCATTGCAGACTACGGAGCTTTGAAGTCTTTTATACGTCTGTTCCTCTATCTGGTAAATGAAAAGAATTGTTATCTTTGTAAAAAGAGGTGAAATCCAGAGTATTAAAGATACTGCGTAAGGTACAAACAAATTGAAACATCATTGTTTAAATATCTATAGATACCATTTAAATATCTACAGATACCAAAACAAAGACCATAGTTAAAAGAATCTGATTTAAAATAACCTATAATGCATTTTGAGTAAATTTGATCTCTTTCTTTGTTAATAATTCAACATGACAGGAGATCCTTGCTGTATTTTCATGTTGGTGTCTAAAACTGCAAAAACTGTGAAAATTCATCTTTTAAGAAATTTTTAGAAGCAAATTGTAGCACTGTGTGCAACATGCAGGACAAAGTGGATTTGCTTTTACCCTGTTCTTTTATATCTATGGGTTTTTTTGAACTCTTTATAGAGAAACAAAAGCAAAGACATCTTACCTTCACTTTATCTATCAAAACCTGTAGCAAAGCCAAACAATTAAAAAGCAGTCCTTGAAAGTTCTTAGAGATGCTAAATGATGATGTATGGAGCAAAGACTTTGATAAACATTCCTTTGCTCCTGAGAACACTTTTTCACTGAGCTGACAGGTTTTAGTCCAGCCTCCCATGCAGGTTCCATACATTGTGCAGACAGTCTGAAAGAAATCGGGAGAGTGTCTATATTACAGATACTTTTCTTGATGAAACTTCCAATCATTTATTTTTGTGAATAAAATACAGATTACATATATATATTATATACTATTATATACAGAGATTATAAAAAAAAACATATAACTAAATATACATATATATATTGGGGTTATATGATATAGTTAAGAATTAAACCACTATTTTTAATGAATAAATAAACATTCATCTCCACCCTGGATGTCAGAGCCATAAATGATTAAATTCTTGTAGAATTCCAGAGGTAGCCTTCTGTTTCAAGACTGATGAAGTTTTTTAGATAAACTTCACTAAATTATAGAGAAAAATTAATAAACGCTGTTGATTTGTCCTGATTTTGTTTCACAAAATGCAATGAATGTTGTGAACTCATCTCTCCAGTAACTGTTGAATACAATGGTATTATTGGAGGCATGAATTTGATCCAATCTGATCATCACTGATTTATGTTGTCTGCTTGTCTGACAGCTACAAGCTATGAAAAAAAAAAAAAAAAGACATTAAGCATCTTCATCAAGTACATTTTCTTTTCTTTTTTTCTAAATGCATATTTTGGAAGGTTTTGAAATAACAATAGGATTAGATGCTTGAGAGAAAATTAGGTCATATATTTGTTAGATGCAAATCTCATAAGTAATTAGAAATATGGGTATCAAGCAGTATTTGTATTCTGTACTGCTGCCTTTGTATGCAGGCAGTGGGGATTTCAGAATAACCTGGTGCACTCTGCACTTTTTCACTCTCTAATATGTATATAGAATATTAGTAAGGATGGATTTTAAATAGTTTGGGGGGGGGAATCACCTTCAAATTACTCACAGTTACATTTGTCTGTGCTTTGGAAATACTTTTAGAATTTCTGTCCCATTTTTAATATACATAGTAGACGGTCAAGGTGCAAGTTTGAATGTATTTCAAAAGTAACAAAAGATTATAGAGGTGGTTTTTTGTGGTTTTTTTTTGTTTGTTTGTTTTTGTTTTGTTTTGATTTTTTTTGCTGCTATCAGGTAGCAGTGTTTAACATCAGTGGCTGCTTTTGTTAGGCAAGTTTCCTAGCATAATTTGGGAATACGTGGTTACATATAAAGATATAAATAAATCAGTGAATATACTTAATCTTGAAGCCAGTCAGGCCACCCTGTATTTTTAATTTGGACATACACTTATATGCTTCACTGAGAGAGGAACATGCTAAAGGAAGGCAATGGCTAAATTCACTTCACCGCTGCTGTAACAGATTACTTATTACATAATTTTAATACCAGAATGTACAGACTACAACCTAGGACCTGCTCCTCACTTATTTTTAGTTGAAAACACACTGCAGAGGCTCCTACTTGAAAGTCTGTGTGTGACTGTCAGCCATGCACTGGAGACATACTGCAGACACAGGCCACGTTCCCCTCTCTCTCTTATCCCCCTGATGCTTGTGCCAGCTTGGACACTGAAAGAGAAAAAATAATGACTGTCTCTAAGGCAGCAAAAATAGAGGGGTGAAATACTGCAAAGAAATGCTGACAAGGAGTAGCAGGAGAAATAAATAGGAAAAGGCCAGGGGAAAGAAGGAATTGCAAGAGTGATGGGAGAGGAGTGGCGGAGAAGAGGATACCTGTGCAGAGCAGGAACCAAGAGTAGGAGGTGAAAACGAGGGACAGCAGCAACTGGACCAGAGAAACAGAACGGGGGGTTGGAGATAGGAAAGGGGTCAAGAAAACAGGGGGAAAAGGACAGGAAGGAAAGAGAAACCATGGAACTGTGATCAAAGCCAAGTGAGAGATGGAGAGGGAGGAAATAGAGGCAAACAGGAAAGAAACAATGAAAGAAAATTCAGAAACAAACTTGACGGCTCAGCCTTGAACACAGCTGGGATCATGAATTGGGAGACAGAACGGGACTGTGCAGAAACACTCGTTCCCAAGCTCACGGCTTGGAGCACGTCCCACTGACTTCTGCTGGCAGGAAAGGGGTGGGGAGCAAAAATTGCAGCTCCTCAGGCCCTGGCAAAGCTGCTACTAAGGCTGGATGAACTCTGTAGAGCAGAGGTTCCCTGTACTGCTCTGGGTCTTTGCAGAGCTACTGAGCATGGGGCAAACTGAAATAGATACTTAAACCCCAAAACAGCCCACATGGCTTGTAAAGGTTTAGCCCACACATGACCATCCTCCTAAAGATATTTTAAGAGTTCACTTTATAAGATTAGTCAAGGATTAATAAGGAAAATCCTACATTTAGAGTTCTCCCCAGTTGATGCATATTATAAACATTTTGCCCAACACCTCTGCTTGCCAGGTGAAGGAAAGTGTCATCTCAAGAGGGAGATAGATTTCAGCATCAGAACAGGAAATTACACTACAACAGCATCTTTCGTCTCTCCCAGCACCAAAAACTGTAAGAGAGATCCGTGAACTGCTCATGATGAGACATAATACTATCTGGTCTTTCACTGGGGAAAGCCCACAGCCGAGGCAGAATAAATGACACAGACTGTTCTTCAAGCCCAGACTGAGGACAGGCTGAGTGCGTGGTGCTTGAGAAAGTTGTTTCCTCTTGTTTAAGTCCATCTTTTCTGGGAGACATTTGGCTTTAGAGAACGGACACCAGCAAGGTTGAAAAGGATGGGTATCAGACTTTCATCCTCTAAAGTAGTGCTGGAAAACAACATTGCTCACCGAAAATATTCTTTCAGAGAGGAACATTGCCAAGAGGCTACTGGGGAAGCAGTGTCCTTTAAACTTCCCACTGTGCTCCAGCTGGCCAGCTAACTCCTACCTGTGGTTCTTCTTCCCTTTCTGTTTTGAGAGAGGGAAATAAGACCCTCACAATTAATTAAAACCATAGATAAATACCAGAGATGAGCCAGAGAATAAAGAGGGAACAGAGCAATTAAGAACATTCCTGCTAAAACCTCACTAGGCATACTGTAAAATTTTGAGATTACTGTTCCCCCCTCAAAAACATGGCAGAGAGAAGCGGACACTTAAAAGAGCTTTCAATTACTTACGTGCCGTTGGCACCTTTTCAGGATGCTGTGGAGCTGGAAATGGCTGTGGTAAATTTATTTTCTCTGCATTTGCCTTTCTTGACAAAACAGCTCCAATATTTTGATCTCAAGAATAATCAGCTCTTTTGCGTTTCCTTTTCAACTAACTGCAGACTTTTGCAGTTAAAAATTAATGACAACTTCTCTTCCTTTTTTTTTTTTTTTTAAACATAAACCTTCTGTGCTCTTTCCTGAAGGGGGAAGAAAGAAAAAAAAATACTTTTTCGTACAACTTTTACCTATTAATCTAAATTGCATTTCAACCACTCTTTCGCCCTTCTTTTGCAGTAGCACACAAAACGAAATCTACCGCAGCAAAACAACCTGGCCTGTGGAAACCATTATTCTGCAGATGAAACATTGTGTTGTGTCCTTTACCACTATTACGGGCAGTCAGTCTGTTAGAACATATTGGGCGATTATAGGCTAGTCTTTTCAGAGAAAGCCATGGGTTTCAAGTTAGCAGTAACCATCTATCAATTCTTGAGATTATGCCATGATTTACTGTCACAGCATCATGTATTCTCTGATTTTCTGCCTCCTATGAAACATTGTGCTTTCCTTTTCTATTGATGTATCAACTATAATAGTTACAAGCAGCTACAGAAAAATCAATAGCAAACTTTCATTACTGAGCACATAAAGAGTACCATGCTGTGAGAGCACCTAGCTGTTAAATAGTCACCAGCAGTAAGGTGCACTATAAATGTCTGTTATTTTGGTCTAAATGAAGAATGTCTGAATTTGAAACATCAAATATCTAGTATTTTTGACACCGCTGAATTCTATGTCAAGTTTTTCCAGTACGTGATTTTTTATCCAGGTGTCAAGCTTGATTTGTCTTTTCTGTGCTGGGATCTCTATTTTTTTTTTTTTTTTAAACCTGAAGCCAACCTAGGAAATGAATATCAAAGTATTGCTGGGCTGCGCTTCACTGCAAGATCATTAGGTTTGGTTAGACAGAAATGGTAAGAATTGTGTTAATCTTCATTGAACTAGACTACATCAAGTAAACTGACTTAGATTAAGGTGAACAGACCAATAATCCCTGCATTAATCACACAGATAAAGTAAAGGTGAAAAAGGTACTTCAGTAAGACAGCAGACTCAGAGGTGCTCCTCGGACTGTGCACTAGGAAAAGCTTTTCAATAGAGTTTGGAAAAAAATGGTGTAATTTTTGGCTTAAATATGTTTGTTTGCCTGTGGGAAGACATTAACTTCCAATTAGCAAATGTAAACCAAGAATGCCAAGAACAAAAGTAAACGTGTGAGCGCATTGCTCCCAACACGTTCAGGCTGTTTGGCATCCTCCAGCACGGAGATCCTGCAGGGCAGGCGGGCAGGCTCTGCTGCAGGAGTCCGTGATTACCTTGGCACTTGGTGACTGTGGTAATTTACAGCTATGAATGCACTGTTTGTTGCTGAATACCTTAGAATCTGAAAGCCTTTGCATTGCTGTGAAACTAGAAGTCGAGGATGCACATGTGTACTTACATGAATTGTGTCCCGCCCAATGTATAGCCGTTGTCTGTCACGGACACAAGGTTAAAGGAAAGCCGGGTTTCTTTGCCTGGACATAACATCCATGAAGATTAACCTTTAAAGTAAGAAATCCAGATTAGTACTACAAAAAATGCAGAAGCCCCTCATATAACTTTTAGTATAAAATGAAAAATAAAACAGGTTTCATTCCAAATGGCAATTCAGTCCTGTCCGCCACAAAAATACCTACAGATGTGGAAACACCCTGCTTCGAAGAGCACATCTAGGCAAGCACACAGGCTGTGTGGTCAGGCCTGGTAATAAACCGATGACTGCCACCTGCAAATATAGAATGGAACTGAGCTCATCCATGCTTTTCATCTAAGCCTGAAAGTTTTTTGTCAATACTAGCTTGATACGGAATTGAAACAGCATCTCTGACAAAACAGCTTCAACATACCCTCAATGGTCTTGTGAGCTGTTTGCAGTTGTGTTTACAAGGTAAATAGCTGTAAATGTCAACAGTGAAGTCTAGCTCTTCTGAATAGTAAAATTCAAACGTTTGGCTAATTGGAGTCATTTCTACTGCATCTCTGCTGTAGTGCTTTCAGCACTGAGCAATTAACTGAATAACCCTTTGCTTTATATTGTTTCAACAAAAGTATATTAAAAACAGTTCTTTCAGCAATTTCCACTTCCCACATCTTACATGGGCATAAGTGATCATCTTTTTCATGTTCTTCTAAACTAGAATCTGCTTCCACTAATGCAACATAGTTCAGTGAAAAAAAACATGTTCAGTTCCAGGCTAGTGCAAATATTGGCAATAAAGCTAGTGAAATCATGTCTTAAAAAAATATCTAAACAGAGAAAAAACATATTTTTTAAAATCAACACATCCATAAATGATGATTGGCTGACTGTATCATACTGAGCCTTGTCTCAAAATAAGGCAGAGGACTTAAAATTCTGAATTATTTGATGATTACACTGACAGTCATGGTACAGTATCGCACCCCTTTGAGCAGCACATCACTAAAACACCTTTGCTTAGCTGTATTTTCTTCTTTTAAAGACAGTACATTGTAATAATCTTTGCTCCTGTGGGACATTGGATGTAAACAGAAAGAAAAGTGCAAAGAAAATTCACCAAGTAATAAAAAAGTGGTATGAAGTTCTGCTCTTATCCATAAACCACTATAACAATATAATTGGCTGGTCTAATATTTTTAACCAAGTTCAAAAAAGTTTGAAATATAATAATTAAATGCAAATACAATCCTGATCCCAAAGACCAGAAGAATGCCTTTAAGCTAGTATTTATAACAAGAACTATTCGACTGAGCTGTCTTGTAAATTTTATCATACCTGAGGCAGTTTTCCTCAGTCGATTAGCTGGAAAGCTGAATATATCCTGAGGCAAACCAGACATCTAGTACAGGCTAAATTCAACTACTGGAGCTTAAATTTGGCTTAATATATCCCCACTTGGATCTGCCTGTTTAATTCTCTTTCATATGATAACGTTGGTTTATTCATAGTCTGGACTTGCCACCTGAACAAACTGTACCTCATATCTTATTCTAATGGAATAAGAAAACTTTGCAAAAACCACAAAAGTTCCTGACTGAAAATCAAATGCAAATTTGGGATTAAAAACTGTTTTGTAAAGTGACTACAAGATTAGTACAGAGAGATTTTTCCCCTAAGGAGCACTGCTTTTTATGATCATGCATTTTTTATACTCTACAGAGACAGATGGGCTTTATAAAAAGATACAGCCTGCTACTCAAAAGGGTTTCAGTGGCAGCTGCACTTCTGTGTTTTAACCTCAGTAGAAATTTATATAGGATATTTTTCCAGAAAATATTTATATTTCTTGGTTTAGGACTATGTCACTCCTTGGTGCAGTTCCAGTGACAGCAGTAGAAATACCTCTGAGATTAACCTGGTCCATTATTCCTCTTTTAAACAGTACTTGAGTAGAAGGAGAGGGAAAGGATAGCTAGCATCCAAACCCCCCATGAGAGCAAAGATAAATATAAATCCAATAATTCAGAAAAGTTGCAAAGGTCTGAGCAAAAGCAAAGCAAATATTTTCTAGAAGGAAGTGAATTTCTAAATTTTTCATTCCCTTTTTTCTGAACATTTAGCTGCTTCTCATCCAAATAATAGACTGTTCGCTGCTCCTCTCCATTATACAGCACTGCCTATTATTGCAAGCTGCACACAACACCCTTTCTGCCTCAGTTCATAACTTCAAGGATTTTGCATGATGTCCGTATCACCATTCCCAGGAACTTCATAAATATTTATGGTATTTTAAACTATTCACACCCTACAAATTGTAGACACTGGCAGCCAATTCCTTTAAAACACCAACAATCCTGTATTGTTCATGTGTTATTGAAGATTAAAATGATGTTTCAGAAATTAACTAGGCAAACCACGTGGTTCGTTAAATTTCCTGTTTATTCTTTTTTTGTTAACTCTTTTATCATAAGTTTAATTTTCTATTTTTATCAAATGCGATACTTCTTTTCTGGTAACAGTGTGATAAAAACTAATGCTAGGGCTGTGGATCTGCCTGCATTTAAACATGTATATATTGAGGCCAGCTGATACCGCGATAATTCGATAATTACCATACTACTTTTCTTATCTGTGCTTATTCCAACAGAATATTTAGAAGACAAACATTTCTAGCCCAGGCATATGCTACGGACCTGGGACTTGGTGAGGAGTTAGGAAAAATGAGTTTTAACTCACGTTCTTTATCAGTTTATCTGTGAGATCTTCCATAAATCACTTCTGCTACAGCTTATTGACAGGTACCTGCATAGAAATACAATCACAGCTGCACAGGACAGTTGTTTCAGAACTTGTCCCTGGAAAAGAGAGATTTGGGTCGAGTCCTTTTTTCTGGGACTGATCTGGTTACCTTACATGGTCACCAGATCAAATGCACAAAGAATCTTGGAAGGCAGGAACCTGAAACCCACGTCAGCCCAGGCAGGTTCCCTCACCGCCCGCTGGCAATGTACAGCTCTCGTTAACCAGGTCCCAACTGGCTCTCCACAGCCCAAGCTGTTCCTGTACCCAGCCCTGCTTTTCCCTCACAAGTCTCAGTGAGAAGCACCGGACTTTGCATTTACAGGTGCAGCCAGGGCTGTGGACTTTGGCTCAGGACTTGTGAGCAGCTTTCCTTCCAAAAGAGGCCTGGCAGGATCCTGCTTTATTGTGTTTCAGTGACCACCCTGTCACATTTGCCTCATTTGAAAGGTATAAGGATGTTGGCTCCTGTGGTGCCAGGATAAGAAGCGGGTGGAGATTTTGTTTGTTTGTTTAACTTTCAAGTCAGTAAACTCTCAGGCTGAGCTGTTGAAAGTCGAGCTGTTTTATTTTCCCAAGTGATGACTCAGTAATTACACCAGTAATAAAGATCTGAGAGGTCAAATTAGGCTTTGCCTCTTTGTCTTCACTGGGACTGCAAGAACAGAAAAAAACTGAAGTTTAGTAAAATAATTTCTCAGTTGCACAAGAAGAGGAATTCAGCTTTGTAACCCCTAGCTCCCTTTCCATTGTAGGGCTAACAGTGGCAAAAGCAATTATAGAACTGTTAACATAAGTAAATAACACAGTTCTTAATAGAGGTCGGGAACTGATATTCTCAGTAAGAATCTGTCATTTTAGAATTTTTTTTGGCATAGAAAAATGTGCTTCAATATTTTAAAGACACTAGAAAGAAGCCTGCCACTATAAAACACCACAAAAATATGTTGTAGTTGAGTTCTCAGTTGCTCTGAAGCAAAGGTCCCCCAAGACCGAATGCTGAGGGGATGGGATGGGATTCGGACTGAGAATTACAGCTGCTTCTCTCGGGAGCATCTTATTCTTGCTTTGGAAACGCATACCATTCTGCCCAACACTTGTGCATGAATGAAATACATTGCTAGAGAATAATTTAATCAATATTTTCAAAACAACGCGCCCATTATCTGACGTTACGTTCAACTGAAGGTGAAAATTACTTTATGACCCTAATAAAGTCAGAGATCAGTCGTTACACTGTTATAGCTTAACCAGTGCCAGAGAAAGAATCCTTCAGAAGATGAGAAAAGTTTTCTAAATATTCATTATGGACTTGTGCATCTTACTAAAACAAAAGTGACTGCTGCTGTTATAATGGAAAGGTTTCTCAAGTTTTGGGAAGTGCTGACGATAGTGCCTTACACATGATTAACAAGTGCATCTATCAAAATTTGTTTCCTGTGCCTTTTAAGTACATAATATTCAGTACAACCACACTCTTATAACATTGAGGGGAATTTTGCAGTAACGACCTCATCTTTCCCATAAATCTCCCATCTCTGTAGCATTCTGCCTGGGAAGGAGGCTTAGGTACAGCAGGGCGTACAGCCCTGGCAGATGTGCTACACCAGGCTGCTTTTGTTCCCATTAGTTCCCATGGAAGAGAACTGCTGGCAATTTTCAGAGACTGGCAGTTTACCAACCAGAACTATTCTTGCCTTCCAAGATTCCTTTATCGCATGGCAAAATCTACCTACAAAATCTGAATGAGCCTGAAACCACTCGCTCCACCACTTGAGTTTAGAAGCCATCCTATTTTACCCGTGCCCCTTTGACTGCCATTCCTAAGAGCTGCCAGGCATTGGGGGCTGTTCGCTTTTAATAAAATCCCACATACTCCTTGCAGACGGGCCTTGCACACCCATTCAGGGACATAAAACTTGGCCTTGGGCTAATATCGAGTCTTATTGCCTGGAACACCCATTTTTCCAGCCTTACGGAAGTGAGGAACTTCTACCCACAGAGAAGCCAAAATATAACCTGATTTCATCCTTGCAGTAGCAGGACTTGCAAAGGTGCAAAATCCACAGAGGAAGCTGAACTATCTGTGTGTGCACCTGTCCGTCGCTTTACATGGAAAGGGTGTCTGATAAAAGATGCGGGCAGTAAAATATAACCAGCTTTCTTTGGGAAATATTTACGCTGCAGTTACTATTTTTCTAAGCAGTTACTATTTTTCAGATTTAAATCTCTCATTCTCTTTCATTTTGCTTTTCGAAATTCCCAGACCAAGGGAATCTCTCTACAGATTAATGCACCACCAAATTTTCAGTATTTCATGTTTGGAATATGAGAGGGAGAAAATCTCTCTGAAACCTAAATATTTTCCCCCTCTAAAGACCAGACCCATTTTTGGGAAAAAAATATGCAAAAGTGTTCTCCTCAGGCTGAATGTTATATGCAGTTTCAGCTTAAAGCACAGCTTTATGGCAGATGTATAAAACAATCAAAATTTCGGGATTTGTGGGAATACTTGCAGATCTTTACTGTGAGTGCAGAGCAGATCCTGACACACTATAATACTGTTTTTGTCTTAATCGTCAAAAGTAAGCTATAGAGGACAAAAAATTCTTTGTTTGACAGAAAAGCAATTGCTATTTCTTGTAAAACATATAATATATTCCAGAAGACCTAAGGGTTTACTTTCCAATAAGGATAGAAAAAGATGTGCGCCCCACTGTGAGCTCGCAGTAAGGCTGTTTCATGTAAAAAGTTGGTAATTAGTCCCTGAGTGAATAAAGTAGAAGAGATAAGAGACCTATACTTACTGTAAGCAACACAAAACACTTTTTCTAGCTGCTAGGATTTAAAGGGTGTGTGGGTGGGAGGGGGGACCGATTCCTACTCATTTAACTTACAAGTGTCTAAACCCTGGAAAATTATTTCTTACATTAGCTTAAACGTGTACTTCAAATTGTTACTAACTGACGTACAGATGGATGAGAGACATAGCAATTCCAAAAAGCAGACAGGAATGAAAATTTGTATGAAGGCACAGGAGGCTGTTGTGTTGTACATCAGTAGCAGATTTCACACTCATTGTATGCCACTGACTCCAGCAGAGTTACCCCAGCATTACCTGGTGTTTCACCAACCTTCCACGTTAGCATTCAAAGGATCCTTACGGAAAAGGAAACACTTGGAAAACTAAACCACGCACCCATGGCCAAATTCATTTAATAAATGTCAGGGACAAAAACAAACCCAAAGCACAACAAAACATCTATAGGAAAAAAACATAACTAATGTTATCCAACACTAGCTGATAGGGACAAAGTGCCAGAAGAGAAAACTGTGCAGCTTTCCTTGCTGTACCTGCCAAGCTCAGAGCTACCAGAAATAACGTAATATTCACAGTGCTCTTAGATTTTTCCTTTGTTGCAATTCATCTGTATTAGAGTTCGGCCATCATTTTTGATTCTCTCTCAAAAATAACTACATAATTTATATTGCAATTATGTGCTTGGCAAACCTCTCCTTTAAAAAGTTCAAAAACATCCCAAGAGCTTGAGACATGTCTATGGAGCTTTGCATAGTGCTCTCTGGTCTGCACAGACCCTTAGACTTCTCTCTTTGTATTCAACCTGCCTGTATTCACTTTACTACAGCATTTATTGTTACCATACGTGAGATGAGAGCCCTTTGGATAAATGAGTTTGGGTAGCTCAGGAATCTGGCACGGCAGCTTTGAAATTTCCAGTTCTCCTCACTCTGGATACTGAAAATTTCAGCTGATTCTTGTTGGACAGTCATCATCATTTAAGTACTGCTAGTAAGTTCCTTAAGGCCAGCTAGCAAAATTCAGGCGGAGGTCATGTCCTGGTTCCCAAGCAAGCAGCACAAATCCGGAGAGGCACTTGCTTCATTTCCACAATGAAAGTGGGACAGGAAAGAGGTAGACATTAATGATCACGGCAGGAAACGCTCACCCCAGCCCATACGAGAGCAACCCTGAAGGGCAGCCCGCGGCCAGCACAGCACGCTGCAGAGGCTCCTGCTCAAAGCCTGGAGGCTGTGCATGCTACCCTGCCCTGCCACTGGGATCCTTGGCATCCCTCATGTTCTCATGTCCTGAGGAAAGTGTTTGCCTCCTTCAACTACGTCCCTCATATTCCAGCACACAGTTACTTGCAGGAACCAACACTGGTCTATTTAAAGCACTTCTAGGAAAAGGTGCAGTTAGACCCAATTTACATAGCCTCCCGGGCCGCTGTTGGATTGGGGACCAGTGCATGTTCCTGTTTTACAAAGGAAAACACTCATTTCCCCTCCAGTTAAAGGCTGGGATTTACAATGAACCAAATTCTGCCCAATTCCCCATCTCCCTTGCTCAAACATCCATAAAGCGGCAGGTTTGTCTTTATTCAAAGTGAATTAGCAGAGTACTTGTGCTCAGTGTTGCTGCTCTTTAGCCTTATGAGAAACTGTATTAGAGTACTCTGCTGATGGTATAGATGATCAAACATCAGCAAGAACAAATTCTCCCAGCAAGAGCACTTTGATCACTTCACCCTTTCTGCATTATAGCAACAGTCTAATTTGCAAGCTTTGGAATAATTCCTGTATTCTTCAGACATGTCAAAAGATGCCATCAGAATTAGTTTTATGAAGGGAATCAAGTAGTAAGGAGTTAATATATTGGCATTTATCTCTGAGTGCCATTCCCAGCGCTTGAACTTCCTGTATAGGAAGAAGGTAATCAAACAGAGGCAGAATGAGCAAACCCTGCCTGCCTACTGATCTAAGTGCCCCTGTTGTCCAATATCAAAGAAAATTAGCATGTTGGATTTCAGAAAGCATAGTCAGGTTAAAGGGCACCATTCTTATCTGGTATTCCACCCAAAGGACAATGATTTCATTTCATAAAGATCATTAGTCAGTGAAATATATATTTTAGAGAGTTTCTAGTAGGGAAGATTATTTTGGCAGTCACTGGAGTGTACCAGATGGTTCATTAACATAGGCTAGACAAGTCAAAGGCTTTCAGAATCATTTAGAAAATGTCAAACAGAAACAAGAACCCTGTCACTTTTTATTAGAATTAACTACATCATACCCTGGACACAGATTTCACCTTGGGTCAGAAAAATTAATACAGAATTATATGAATTGTGTAACATACTAGGTTAAAGATAGGGCTTCCTCTTGGGACTCATTTGCTAGCAATATATTATGGTCTTCTACTTTAGGAATCCTCAACCTTTCTTTTTGTAAGATATGAAAAGAGCTGACCTTGCTCAGACTCCATTGGTGTCTAATTGATTTGAGGTATATGCAGAATTTCAACAAGACATTCCGCTAAAGCTCTTTTGTGATCATTTTCCCAGGAAAGTTGGCAAAAGGGTTCACTGAATATTCAGCAGCTTCTAAAGTATGCTTTTGTCAGGAGGAAAAAAAAAATACATCCATTTAGTGAAACACTGCCTTAGTAAACAAGAATTAAAATGCAACTCAATTGTTTTTTGTTTTTGTTTTTTCTACTTATCATTCAGATGTCAAAAACCTAGAGAACTTCCAGCTTGTGGAAGGTGTTCAGGAACAAGTGAATGCTGCTCTGCTGGACTACACAATGTGTAATTACCCACAGCAAACTGACAAATTTGGGCAGCTTCTCCTGCGACTACCAGAAATCCGGGCCATCAGTATGCAGGCTGAAGAATACCTCTACTACAAACACCTGAACGGGGATGTTCCTTGTAATAACCTTCTCATTGAGATGCTGCATGCAAAAAGAGCATAAATTATACCCATTAGAGCTTCTGCTTTCAAGGAAAAAGATATACTCTGAACTGCTCCGAGCAACACTAATTAAAACGTGGTTTTAAGACTTTGAAAAATGGTATAATAATCAAATACTAATAGTAAATAAGTGATGTATCAGGGTATTTGTATTGCAAACTGTGAATCATATGCTACACATCCCCAAAGGAATCTCTACGGGACTTTAGACTGGAGTGAAGCGAACTTAACAAGTGGATACTGTCACCAATGTCAACATGAAAAAGGACAGAATGATTCTTGTATATTTATCTCTGCTGATTGCCAATATGAAGAAATTTAGGAAAAAAAAAAAAAAAACTGATCTGTATTATCAAGCTAAGGTAGTGGGGAATTTGAGTGCACTAAATTCCTTCATCGTATAGCAGGACTTCTAAAACAGTTATAATAGATGCAAAGCTGCATCCATAGCATCTTCTACCATCCTTCCAAGGACCCAACACTTACTTCTTCTGTGATAAACGATGTGGCATCCATTCAACAACCTGTAAGAGAGAGCTGGCACAGGCCACATGCAATGTAGTATGGCCACCACATGCTAAGAGGCCAGTTTTGACTGTCTCTCAGGCGTGCAAATAGCTAATATGAAGAGTGTTATCACGTGAGCTTGGCATTCTTACTATGTTCTGAAGTTTGTTTTGTCACGTGTTCATGTTGTTAAATCAGGCAGTATCCCTCTTCTACTACTGTCATTGGCTAGCAACTAAATATCAAAGATAAACATGCCAAAAAAACTAGCCAAATCAGCTATACACTTTACTAGTGCAGTGGCTAAAATATGGATCTGCTATATATTCGTGGCCATTTTCAAATAAAGGAAACAAAGATATTTTAAGCACCACCAATTACAGCTTTTTTGACAAAAAGTCCTTTCTAAGACAATGAATATTGATGTTAAAAAAAAAAAAAAAAAAAAGAAAGACAAGAAGTAAAATGCATTTAGCAATGCAAGAATAGACAAGTAAATTGTCTGAGCTGATGATACCACAGAGCTCATTAAAAATGGTCTTTAAAAATGGCCAGTAATTAAGATAGCAACTCAAACGTCCAGTATCTAATGAAACTTTTTTTTTTTTTTGAAGTTAGGTAATACACATCTTTTACGCAAAGAAAGAAGAGTGATACTGCTATGTCTATGTAGGCCAAAGTCTGCTGCAGAACAAATATTAGAGAAGAACAAACAATTCTCTCTCTGTCCAAATGAAGATATCAGTATTAACATGTAGTGCCACAGTTATGAGTCTTGCCTTATTTCATTATCCTTAAAGGTAACTGTGCAGGTGTGGATCAACATACATTTAAAATAAAGTATTAATCTCTAACATTAACAAAAACATAGTGTTTACATTCTTTAGGTCCTGTGGGAAAAAACTGTGACAAAATTGCAAAGCAGTGATTTCCTTAATATTGCTTTCAAATTGGTAATTATTTTACCAGTACTTAATTACTGTATGTCGTGAGACACTAAAATCAATGGGGGGGGATTTCCGTTTGACTTTAATTTTTGAGATTATCGGCTGTACAATCACTTGTAGAAACTGTATAAAATCCTAATCCTTTGATTTTTTTTCATGAAGATTGCTGGCTTTTGAATAGTTTATTTATATTGTATATGATAGTTTCCACTGTAGACAATTATGATGCTAATTTATTGTTCTTTGGTTTCATCTTTATATAAGATATAGCCAGAATGAAGAAGCCAAATATATGTGTTTACTGTAGCATGTCTTCAAGTTAGTGGAACATAGTTCAGGGACACACAAGGGTCTTCACAAATTAAAATCATTTACTTGATTAAATGTCTGTAAATCTTCATAATCCTAACTGTAGTTTATTTAAATCTATTGTAAATTATGTGAGTTGTAGCTTTTTCTGTTTCATGTGAACTTGAAAAGGTGCATTCTCTTAATTTTTTCCAAACATTCATACATTGTATACCAAAGACTTTAGTTATTACATCTGCATTAGTACAAAACGTTATTTTAATCGCCTGTATTAATCAGCTATAATATTCTGTCCACGCATAGGGTACAAACACAGCAAAGCCTAATGTCTGCAACCCCTAGATGCCTGCCCTGTACCACAGAACACATGCACTGTCATAATGACCAAAAGCAAACCAAATACACCTCCCATAGTCATCCTACACAGCAGGCATGGCAGCACTATTTAAATAACAACATTCTCCCTCAAACAAACTAAATTAACTCAAAGTAAGATGCAGGTGGCAATTGACAGTGGCTGGGACATACTTATACCCACATGTATAGTGGGTATAATGATGAGTGCAGTCATTCCTTCCCTTTTTAAAACAAAACCAAAACATATTTCAAGTGTTCGCATTCTGTATTTTCTTTTTTTTTTTTTCTTATGGAAATGCTACAGTGAATCTCACTGAATATTAAAGAGAAAAGCTCAAAAAATGTTGCTAACCATATTCACAGCACCATTATCTACATACAGGATGAAATAATTAAAACAGGGATGTAAGAGAAAAGTAGAATTTTTCATACAGTTTAATAGAAACAATTGCTAATGAACTAACATGTGTTTGCCCATATCTGTGGTTCCAAGAATCCCACTAGATTGCCCAAAGTTTGCGAACAAAAAAAAAAAAAAAAAAAAAAAAAAGAAAAACACCCTCATGTTAATTGTTAACTACTTTGTAACCAGACATTTACTTCTGACTGCCTTATCGATTACAGGACATATCAGTAAAAGCAGACTAAAATTCAAAGGTTTTGGCTTTGGCTGGTTTATTATAGTTGTTCTGTGTTTGTAAACAGACAATCTGTAAAGTCTGACTGTTTGTATTACAGATGTTCTGCAGCTGCCTTGGATTTAAATCCATGCAACTTTTAGAATGTGCAGTGATTTACTTGTTGAAGTTGAAGTTCTCTTACTGTATCGGTGAAATACATATTGTCACGTCAGTTCTTGCCAGGAGTTTCTCATCACCAATGGATTTTTTTTCTCCAGTATTCCAATAAATATTGATATGCCCATGCTGACTACTTTTAGGTTGTCTTTATGCTAACAACATTCCACTGAAACAAAGCACTGGTCAAAAATCCGTTTCTCAGAAGAACAGAGTAAAATACAAGAAATAAAATACAAGAAATCTGATGCAGAGAGGATGATACAAATGTGGAGAGCTGCACCTTCAAAAGCTCAGTGATGCTGAAATTGCATAGTCTGAAGTAAAATAAACCCTGCTAAACAGATCAGAAAAGCTGAGTGTCTAGTCAAAAAGGAATTTATCAGCTGAAAAAAATAATAATAATGCTTTTCATCTCATTCTGCACACTTAACTTTCACTTTAAACATTGTTCGTAAAGGGTTAAGCGGCCAAAGAATTGGAGGGGGAAAATGACAGAACAAAAGAAAATCAGGTAACAGGATCCTGCAGAGCTCAGGATAACCTCTTAGCAATGTAAATACACCACAGGGCCAGGGGCTACTCCAGAGCTTCCAACACAACTGCCAGAGGAGGCTGCCAAGGAGGCAGATGTTACAGCTACTAGAGAAAAATAGTCTCCTGAAGTTGCCCTCTGGCTCCTCTGATTGCCATTTCGAGAGCAGGAGGTGAAGTGGTCCAAGAGCTTGTCAGCAGCACCCTACTGTTCTGAGATCAAGTCCACCACTTCCCCTAAACTGTCTGGTAGCTGAAAAGGGGCTGCTCTGCATGGTGCCAAATGTTACTGGTTCAAGGGGAAGAAACAAGTCTATAATTAGTTATTTACAAATACTGTGCTTGAATGAAACAGAGCTGTGTTGGTATTGCAATAAAAACAGCATAAAACAGATAATTTTAACGTTTAGGAATCTTAACTGAATATCATGATATCACATAATATCCAGGGGAAATTTCAGGGTTAAAATTTTCCCTAAGGATAACTACAATACATGTAATTTGGGGTGATATATTTACTATATACATTACAGACTTAAATTATGAGGGGATTTATTTTTAACTGCATTTGACACTGGTTCTGGAACAATCTCCTCTATGTTTTTATTGGAAACATGGAAAGAGTGAGTTCAATGTAACACAGGTCATCAGTACAATACTTAGCGATCCTGACAATTTCCTGGAATACGAATAACACTTCTTATTAACCCCTAATACAAAACCTGTAGTCTAGATACATAATGAAGTTTCTAATGACATTGCTGCCTCCTCTGGTACAGTTGCTGTTACTTTCCAGGGAAGCTGTGTGGAGGTGGATCTGCTGCACCCTGGAGCTAGAAGTGGCAGACAGAGCATTAAACTAACAGCAAGCCAAGAAAGGTAGAGATACATTTTTAGGGGCATCAGATCTCACAGCTATATAACCCTGTGATGCTGGCATGAGCCCAAATATTTCTGTGCAGGTCCAGCAGTCTCAGTTGCATATAAGCCTTTTGAGGAAAGATTCATCTTCTAAGGGCAGTTTGCCAACAATATGAAAAAACTTTCTAAATGATAAAGGCAGAAGAGGGCCTGACCCTCAGCTGGAGCAGACAGACATTCCTACCCCGATGTCAGCAGACCTAAGCTGAAGAGGGCATTGCTGGAAGCTACTTCACATATTAGTTATAGCCTGGTCCAGACCACATCAATGGGACAAGACAAGGCTTCCCTCCATTAAACATTTTCCAAACCTCTTATTTTTTCTCCTTTGCAGGGCAAAACCCTCTCCAATTATTGGAGTCTGGCATGCAAGCTTGGACTTGCACCAGTAGGTGAGTTTTTGCCATTGCTCCAAGAAGGTCGTCACCCCTATTTCCTGAAACCACTGTAACTTCCTTTAGTCCTAGATTAACTACCAGGCTTATGGCAGCTCCTGCTATCTATGTTCGGTGCACACCCAGGAGGATAATTCAGATTCAAAGTAAAGCAAAATGTTGGTGGAATGCAGACTCCTGATGGTGGCTGTGTTAGTTAACGATGGCTCAAGCTGTAGCACCCTGCTCAGGTCACTGGAACCCTACATCAGTACAGACTTCAGGTTTGAAAACACAGGCTGAAACAAAGAGCAGAGTCACCATGTCTTCCTCTCACATCTTGCTTTTGCTGTGCTTCAGGATCAGTAAATTCATTGTAAAATGGGGAAATATTTCTCAGTTTGAGGTGCAGGATGCAGGGACGCTTCCCCCACCACCAGCTGTTTACCACGTGCAGCTGCAGCTACATGAAGCTGGGAGCGTGCCCCGTTGTAGCACCAAGTGCCCTCAACCAAAACCTTCACCGAGCAGGAGCCCCCTTGCGCAGCGTTTCTGTCAGTCACTGCTGCTGCTGAATGTTTGCTGGAGACTGCCACTGCAGCCTGTCAGTTGCAATTATATAGTAAAACAGGGACTCTGCAGCAGAGGGAATAAAGTGTGTTTGCAGTAAGAACCCTGAACAAGTCACTGTATGTACAACAGAAACTGCTGAAGGCCATTCAGTAGCTGCTGGCACGCCTACAGACATGCACATGTGCCACCTATGGGAATTCCTCAAGCACACTCAAAAATCCAGTCCTCTGATTCCTACACGGGACATTTTGTGAGGCACTGCTCCCCAGGGGGACAGCAGGCTTCAGCCATCCATGCAGCTCGAGTCCAGCTTCACAGTGCTGTCTTTCCACTCGTGTACACAGAAGCACAGTGGCACAGAATCATACAAGAGAGAGGTCGGCCTTTCCGAGCAGTATGATGGCATGGATTCATATCCTGCCCTACATCATCACAGCTGCGATGCTCTTCCCAATCTGATCTAGACCTAAATGGATCAAAGAAGGGACGTTCACCAAAGCGCACTGCTTCCTACAGCACAGAGGCACGTTCCAGCTTTATGTTACAAGGTTTAGAGGATTGTGTTTGAATTCCGCAGTAAGAAATACCGAGTACTGTGGGTGCCTATTATGATCAGTCCTTAAGTATAAAAGAGACTGGGGGGGAAGCATACCTCCAAAAGAAAATGTAGTAAAAAGGAAGCACAAATGTGGAACAGACATGATATTTATGTTTCATAAATATTTAATCTAGATTCACTTTTAATCTAAAGGGAAAAAAATAAATAAAATATGCTGGATTTTTATAATTGCTTTGAAGTATTAACAGGGTCTGAATAAATTATCATTTATGTATTTTATATGTATTTTACAGACCTGCCACGGTAAGTGATATTGTTTCTAATTTTCATTTAATAAATGTGGTTTTATTTTACAATTTATATAAATTTCAGATTTAAAAAGGCATGGAATAATTAATTAAATGTATAATTAATTCATTCAACTCCTGCTGTGAAAACTGGAGCTTATTATTGGAGTACATTTTTATTTAAAAAATGTTTTTTTTACTTCACAAATTCAGTTAAAATATTCTACAGCAAAGTCATACTCCTATAGAAGACCTGCCCGTGAGTTCCACAGCACTTGGATTTGCAGCTGCAAACCTCCACCAGGCCTTGCATGTCTTTGGAAACAGAACTTCAGCCACTGAAGCTGAGACAGGCACTGACCCCGACAAGGTAGAGATGGACGCGTTTCAGGATTTTTGTTTCGCTGTGCTAGTCTCCCTCCTCTGCTCATTTACCTTACTCAAAACCCAACTTACCCTCCCAGTCATGACACCCTTATTCTTCACATAAGCTCTTAGTACCTTTCCACTTTTTCTTTACTGCTCAGATTCACTCATTTAATTCTCCTTCTCTTTGTACCACAAACAGAACTCACAAGCCAACTTTACCCAATGCATTCGTATTTTCAGAAGTCACCTATATTTTTTCAGGGGGTGGGAGGGAAGAGTAAAAAGGGGAGTGTCAAGGACTCAGCAGTAAGTGTCTGCATATTTAGAAGCAGCACAGTGACCAAAAATGTCAAAACAGGAAAACAACTGCTGAACCTGGTCACACCAGGCTAAAGAAAGCCCAGCCAAAAGCAAGACAAGGTCACCAGTCAGCCTGCTATGTCTTGGCTTACAATGACCAGCTTTACGGACCTAAAAAATCAACAGTTCTTACCAAACATTGTTTTCAGAAAGAAAATAGGAAACATACAAGAATTTTAGTTCAAGAACGGCACTAAAATATTAGCAGTGGAATCAAAACACTAGGAGCACTATCGGAGCTAGAATTAAATTATTTTAAGACAGTCTTTTTTTTTTTTCTCTTCTCTAACAACACATGTAGCAATATTCAACATAACCAAGAAACTACCTTTGCCAAGAAGAGTAAAGGGAACAACGTTTTTCCTTTTTTTTCTTTGTTTATATATCCAACTTTGGCATAACCTTACCCCTTGAGCATCCTGCAGGGAAAAAATAAAACTAAACAAAAAAGCGCTGTACTTTCCAGGGTGACAGACCTAAGACAGCTTTTCTCGTCAGAAAAGCTGGCTGGTTCCTCACCTGGTGTGCCAGAGCCCTGAGGAAATCTGGCTGAGCAGCATCAACAGCGTCTTGGCAATGTTTTGTTCAAGAAGGAGAAACAACTGCAAGCAGGCAACAGAGGCGCTGGCCGAGATGCTGTGGGCGAAGGCGGCACAGCCTGACCGCTGCCCAAGTGGTGATGCAGCACGCTGGTGTCATGGGTGCCAGCCTGGGAACAGAAGCAGAAGGAAGATTTTGTGAGACCACCATCTGCTCTAGAACTATATTCCCGCATTTGTATATACTTGGAAGTAATTAATAACACAGAATCGTTGTTCATTTATTGAGTTTGGGAGTTGTGAAGAAAATGGGAGTATGTTACCAACATATTTTTCTAATATTTAGATTGTAATTGATTTGTTAAAGGATCACCCTAGTGATGTCATAGCTTCACCCTGACTTACCTCTCACCTAACTTGTCATATTTACATTTTGGCACTGTTTGGAAGTTGATTTCATGTGAACAACAACACAAAGAAATAATATACACAAAACATGTAAAAAGTTCCAGAAGGGAAGTGATCACTTTAGGGTGACAAAATTGAGGCCAAGGACACTAGAAAAACTCTGCTTTCTTCCTGGTAGTTACTTTGTAGTTGCTCTGCTTTGTTCTAATGTCTTGTCATGAAAGCCATAACTAATACAATACAAACTAAGGTAGCCAAGAAGAAAACAATAATTTGTAGTTTAAAGAATTATTTTAGAACATAAATGTATGTACGCACGTATTCCAGAACAGAGATGAGAGAGCAAAATTTATCAACCCGACACTTTATCTTTTTCAAGAAATAAAAAACGTATATTACAAAAAATGTACTATTTCTATAGGTCTGCTGGTCCTGAGGTATGTGAGGCTTGGGTTTGTAGCAGAGCTGATAAGAATGATGCCACCCAGAGATTCAGAGCAGCCAGCCCTGGGCTCCCTCACTCTCTTCAGACACAGACTCCTCCTGCAATTCTGGCAAATTCCCAGGATGCGCTGCCTTGATTTTCCCATCTGTAACACACAGCCTAGGCTGACCCACATCCTACGCAGTTCCGAAAATGTGATTATTTGTCACAATAACATTTTAAACTGGTAACAAACACAAGAACTAGTTGATAAATACTGTCAGGATGTGAAATGTTACTGGAGGTCACTGGCCACCTCAAGAGCACTACATTTCAATCAAATATAAGCAGGGGCTGCAACACGTTCCTTCTGACAGTATGAGCCTCTCCAACAACTCTTTCAGTCTCTCTCCGCTCTGACTTCCCCAAATGCACGATGTGCACGATGTGCATTTGTCGGCATGCTAAGTTAAGTGTTCCTCCTTTAGGTCATTATTTCCACTCTTTAATTGTTCTTTCAGCCTTCTGTAGTATTATTGTTATCCAGATTGTGTTGGTGCTGCTTTCCAAACACAGATGAGTAACAGTTCCTGCCCTTCAGAGAGTATATTCTCGAAATAAACCTTTCAAATTCTCCACCCAAGACAAAATGCACCAATTGCAGCCAGAACAGTCTTCAAAGATTATTTTTTTTTATATTCTGCGAATTCCTATTTCCAAATACGTGTCTTTTATTAACACAAAGCTAAGTGGAGCCTTTTCCAAGAATCTGAGCTTGTATTGAAAAACTGACCGTAAGGATCTGAACTTCCCCAGAAACAGTCTGCAGTTTTAGATCTTGGTCACACCTCATTCCCGTAGGCACTGAGTAACTCAGAAACCACCAAACAACTTCTGTGTCCCAGTCTGGCTGGTTCGTGAGCAGAATTTACGTGGCACGTGTGCAATGGATACAACCGAGACATTGCTGCCGGAAGCCTTCCTCCCCTAACTACGAGGTGGTTACACACCCAGCGCACAGGCAAGTGAGAACGGAAAAATTAGAAGATGAGGCTTAATGAGAAGCTATGCAAAGCCACAATACAAATGCAATCAAAGTAATTTTTGCCAATTAGCACAATAAGAGAAGCCAAAAATGGCTAAGGTTGGTTTATTCTATTTATTGGTCACTTTATTCTATGAGCTCATTTCCATAGCTATTCACATAACATAGTTAATCTGGTTTCCAGTCACTCTAACACACCACAGAATGCAAACTCCATGAAATCATCAGTCCAAGTATATTTTTCTGCAAGAGCTAGGAGTGAGAAAGACTGCATGGAGTCATTAAAAAAGGAAAGAAAAAAGCCCAGGTAGAACTGCGTTTAAGAAAACATTCATTCTTCTCCAAACCTAAAACTCCACACCTACTTTTAGAAATGGGTCTCATTCTGCATTTGCCTGTTGAACTTGTGAGCATTGAGATGTGTTCAGGGAGATACTGGCTCTGAAATACTCAGTTACTCATTGTAGTGTGTCTGCTCTACTTTTGTTACAAACTTCATTAATCATTATAAATAGATAACAGCTGAGTAATATAATGTGAAAAGTAAAAAGAAAAAAAAGTTTGCTTTTCACTTCGCTTATTTAGATGTCACTATTGCTGTAAAAAAAAAAAAAAAAAGAAGCCTGTAAGTCAGATTTTTCCCCCAGAAATCAGTGGGTTACCCTAGCATGGTAATTTCTAAACTAAGACTGTTTGAGAGGTATGTGTGACACACAGACCACGGGGAGAGAGCAGAGGGACAAGAGCCCAGCAAGGAAAATGCTCAGCAAAACAAGACAAACCACAGGATATGCAGAGGGAACAACAGGGGTCCCAGAGAAAGGTGTTCTCACCAGTGAATCAAAGTTCTGACTGAAAGACACAAAATTCTTATTTCATTCACACTGTCAAAAGCTCTTGAGCACAATGATCTTTGATTATTAAAGATAGGAGAATAGTGGCAACAGAGCTAATTTGTTTTGCTACTGCTTAATTTCTTCTATGCTATGCTAAAAAAAAAAAAAAAAAAAAAAAAAAAGCCTACTTGAGTCAGGGGAGAACATTTTCGCAGCACATGATGCGCAGGAAGTTTTACTGCTGAGCTCTGGGAGGCACTTAGCCCACCATGCGGATACTCAGTCTATTGGGTCGCTGAACTGTAATAAAAGACATCATTAAGGGAAACATTTGATGGAGGTACTTGGCTCATTGGGTCAGTGGTTATAGTTATAAGGATCTCCTTGTGAAGCTAATAGAGAAAAAAATGAGCCCTTCTGATTTCTAAGACCAGCCTCTCTTTTTAAAGAGGGACACAGGGCAGGTTCCAGTAATGCACATAACTTCAGACATTTTCAAGGAGACTACATGCTGCCACTGTCAGAGTTACAAAAAGGTAAAAGCAAGCAGGCCCAGAGGCCACCAGCCTCTTCCTGCTTTGCCACCTCCCCTGCCCTGAGGCATCCCCTCGGGGACACCACCGGGCTGTCCCTTCCAGCCGGTTGGCACAGCCCCGGAGCTGCTGCCTGGAGCCACGGGTAGGAAGGAAGTCACCACACAAACATCTCAGCTGGGTCTTTGGGAACAGCAAGCCTGTGAAACCAGGGTGAAAGGCCACTTACTGTCTTACAGTATGAAAGCAGATGTGTTCACAATGTGGTAAGTAAAGCCAGCTGTAGGAAAAGAGACAGAGCCCTGGAACATAACTTCCAACTTTCCTTGGAGAAAGGAGACTGATAAATAAAAGGAGACTCAAAACTGCTCCAGACCTCCTAGCTCAGTTCAGCTACAGGTAAGTAGGAGTCCTCTTTCTTCTCTGACTCTGCTGAAGGTTGCCTGAGGAACTGAGCTGTGGGTGACAGGCAAACTACATGATCCCCACGGAGGGGATCGCGTGTCCTTTGCTTTCATGGCTTCCTCGGAGAGGAAGCTGAGTTTCAGAGGCGACACCTGACAATTCAAATGTACCAGCATGGAGAGCACTGACCTGTGACTGGTGGTGTGCAATTTAGCTGAGCATATACCAGCAAAGCATGGCTCTTACAGCTCCAAACTATTTATTTAAAAACCAGTGGATTTCAAACATGCAGCACAGTGAGCTCACGCTCCAGCTCTGGTTGATGCCGCACATAGATCATTAAGAGTGAAAAGGAAACATGCAATTGCAAGCCATTTCTTCAAATTTTTCTATCACCTTTCCTTAGCAGCAAGTGTTTTTGTGTTCAGGACACAGAGATTGAGACGTGGCATGCATGTCTGCAACAGGGATGTACTGCCTTCTAATAATATCACTGATAATATCTGTATGATAGCTTAAAAAAAAATGCATCAAATGTTGTCCATTGTGCAGGAAGCTGGATTTTTAATACCAGCATGACAAAGTTGTGACCTGGCTAAATATCTAGCTACTAGCACAACACACATTTGAAAAAGTTTGTTGCTTAATAAAAGATTATGAAATAAGAGAGAGCACTGCTCTCATCTCTTTCTTCTTCTACCTGAATAAAATGGTTCAGTAGCTACCTGGCCTCTTGTTTTTTCAGGATCTGCTGCTTTCATTCTTATGCCACCTACTTAATTTTAATCAGAAGGAAAAAGAAAAGAAAAAAAAAAAAAAAAACACAACCACCAGATAATAACAATAAAACAACAGAACACAAAATACAGTTTTCTAAGAATCCATTTACCCATCTGCTCCAAGTCTGGTGTCATGTCATTAAACCATCATTAAAATAATTATCTCTAATAGCAGCCTATAAATGATTCCCTAATCAAAGACTACAGCTACTTCTATGAAACACACTGCTATATTGGAGGAACACAAGCGCTGCTTCCTAAACAATTCACTATTTATTACATGTAAATTCTTATCTCCTCCTGCCATATCACAAATGGCTTTCACAGCCCTTTTTTCCACAGCCATCCCAGAAAAAAGCAGGATCAGTCGGTGGAAGCAAACCTTTCCTCAGCCTAGGGCAGGCACCGAGGTGGCGAGTTCCCACGTCATGCAGGCTGTGGGCTGGGTCCCAGGGGCGTCACTCGATACCAGTCAACATCAAGCTCTGAAACAGAAGTGACACACACACAGCAGCAGACCCTCCCAAACATGTGTGCAGCGATCAGAGACCAGCAAGGCAACATCTGCTAGGTCTAGGAACTGCTTCTTGTCACAAAACATGCCAAACTGTCAAATTGCCTGTGACCTATCACAGCTACCACTTGCCATACTACTTGAGTTGCCATCAAAGCCAAGACAGAAGCCACAGTGACTGAAGAAACCATTAGAAGAAAAGGGTTTGGGTGTCATTCTTGATTTTTTTTCTCCCTCGCTTTACGCTTCTGTGTCAGTAACAGTGTGCCAAACCTAGCAGTAAAAACCTTTCCTGGGACCTCCACCAAATGAAATGCTCCCCCAGTATTACACAACTGGAACACCTATTGCTTCCCAAACTAAATACAAACAGCCCTGCTTTTCTGCTACTAAGAAACCTAAATATAAATTCTGTCTAAGTGAGGGTGTCACGAGGCCCGTGTACCAGCCAGAGTATCATCCCAGTCCTGAGACTGGAGAGCACCACTGGCTCCCCAATTTCAAAACATTCTAAATAGCGAGGGAAGGAAAACAAATAAAGTCTACCTTAAATACACCTTTCTTCATTTTTTTTCCTGAGATTGTACCTATCTTCCTATTATTTTCTTCAAGCTCTTTGGTAAGGCTTTTAATAAACAAGAGTAACATTTTACAAAAAGCCAAGGTTATACCAGCGTTATCAAAAGACAGCAACATGACTTTCCAGCCCCAGCTTTCATGCTGCAAAACACTTCTGTTGGCCTGAAAAAGATGCAAATCTGCATGCACAGGTCTCCTTTTAACATCCCTGCTTGGTAACACCAACTGTAATACCTTTTATAGTGAGATGCTCTTGGAATACCGCCTGACTTCATCATTTCTGGTAGTTGTAAGCAAAAGAGGTAACATCACCGTAAGTTAACCACAGCAATGACTCTCATAGAGATTGTTAGCAAAATACCCAAAAAGAAAAAAGTAAACCACTAAGCACTGTGACTGCAATAACTAGCAAGTCCAAATGCCAGTGCCTTCCCCAATTTATATCTGGGGTTCCTGCGGCTGCAGTCTCAGCTTTCTGCCTGTGCACAGTCAATTGAAAATGATCTGCAAAGTGCAATCTGCCACACAGGAGCATATGACTGGGTCACCTTTCTGCAGCAACTGTGCTGTCAGTGAGGAACTCCTCAAAATGCAGCACTTGGTACAGCCTTGGCTCATGGTACTGGAGGATTTACTTGTCTGGTTGTGCTTTTTGAATGGCAGGAAGGAAGATGGTGCGCCATCGAAGGGAGGAGGTTTTAGCACCGTCCATCTCCTCCCCACTTACCTTAGCAATGTCAATGCCATCTAGTGGTCAGGACAGCGGGATGTAAAAAAATGGGTCCAGTTGCACACAGTCTTGGCAAATTTCTCTTGGTGTGCAACCTGAAAAATGCAACTTTTTATACTGGATACTTAATAACTCTCATCATAGAGAACAGAAGAGCAACTTGCACCTGAGACATCGTTTTTCAGTACCAAGAAATGTTCTTGAAAGACCCTCTTAATAGATTCAGCTAAGAACAGTATTTTAAGGCTGTCTCTGTAGCATTCTGTTTCTAAATGTGGTAAATAATAATAATAATAGAATCAATACTTGGGAAAATCTTGCACCCAGACCTATGAGTGGCAAAGATTAGATTAATTAAATTAAAAAATTAGATTAACAAAAATAAACACCATTAATTAATTAAACACAATATTTAATTAAATATTTAAATTTATCATTGCAAGACCAGAGCATTTGCGAGATGGATTTTCAATAAAACACAAACAATGAGTACTGCCCATTCAAGGGCATACATCCAAGTCAATAACATTCGTAACATCCACTGAATTGCACTGCATTTGCAGGAGGCAACAAATAGAAAGATCAGAAGGATAAATGCACACTTCACACCTAAAGAAGCCTTTTAGTTAGAAAGCAACAAGCGAGATCACTATTCATCACCATCATTGGTATTTAATGTGTTGTAGAATTAAGATGTTGAAGAAATGGCTGACACATGCAACAACAACAAAATAATATTCATTATAATCCAAGGTAAAAGAGCTTTTATATCTGCATAAATCTTGTCCAGCCTCATTTTTCCAGAAAATATGAGAAAATACAAGGTGTAAGGCAAGTTGCAAAAAGTACCACACGAAGAATCATGCCAGCATATTTCAGGAAAGTGCTGAGCTTATGTATTAGAGAATGTATCACATTACTCCTTGAAAGGGGATGAAAACTTGCCATTTGTTCTATTAAAGGCAGTTTCTCCTCCCCTCACCAAATTTTCTGTACATCTGTCAAACAGAGATTTTGCAAGCATATAGCTCCCACCTCAGTTGTGGTGCCACCCAGCCCCAGTTTTCAGATCTTCTTAGCTTGTTCTTGCACATGCAAGATATTTTTTTCCTTTTCTTTTTCTTTCTTTCTTTCTTTCTTTTTTTTTTTTTGTTTCACCTTTCACTTTCAGATATAGAAGTACTTGCTGTCTTCTGCTTCATATACACAGATGCTTGTGCACTAACCCAACCAGTTGGTAATGTTTTGAGTAATGCATCATAAGAGCAATGGCACCTTAACGATATATTACCTTAATACATCATCAAAGCTATGGCACTCTTATGATATATTAGTTTAATTCATCATAGCAGTGCCGTATCTTGAACAATGTATTACTCCAAAACATAGCAATAGCCAGAAAGCTCTCAAGATAAGTTTGGTGTTTTTTCAACTTATTTACATCATATGAGTTTGGGTTGTTTTTTTGTGGTTTTGTTTGTTTGTTTGTTGTTTTTGTCTTTTTTTTATATTTTTTTTACTATCTCAGAAATAAGTGTTCAATAGGGACAGAAGACTGTAGTTACCTACTTATGTCAATATTCCCAAGAAGCTGTTTCACAGTCCACCACCTAACACACCCTTACACATGCACACAAAAAAGGGGCTTCAATGAGTAAATTAGCAAAGCCAGTTTCACCTAGTAAAATAACTTTTCCAGTACTTCACCCAAATGTTGTGATATTCACTGTGACCCTCTGTTAGCTTTACAGCCCCTCACTTCACTCACAAAGTTCACACATATGTAACGCATAGTTTTTCTTGGGAAAAAAAAATTCCTTCACACAGCTGCAGGAAAAAATAGTCAGATCACATCTTAGATTATTGTGTTGGTGTATGCACAGCTGGCACAGCAAAGGCTGGTGTGTGCCTGCTTTCCGCCCTGAGCCCCATGCATGGTGTGCTGGGGCAGGAACATCGACCATCCACTCATATGGAAATGCGACACCACAACCAGCTCCATCTTAAAACGGCAAGCAAAGGCTTGGTAAGAGGAGGGCTTCCTTAAAGACAATTTTCCTCAAAAAAGGATTTCTAGATAAGAGATGGAACTTATTTTTAAAAAAAAAAATCCTCTGCTTTTAAACACTCTGCTTGCATTTGCAGTGATGTATCAAATAAAACCACCAAAACAGTGAGATGTGTTCTCATCATATTACTTACATGCATCATGCCACCCATCAGCCTCTCCTCTGCTGGCAATCTACGGAGAACCTTAATGAAATGAAAAAAAATAATATTTTACTTATTTATTTCATGACAGTGACATAAAACACATAGCTCACTAGTATGGTCTATATGTTAAATTACTAATAGAGATTATTTGTATAAAGACAGAAAAAAATGTCTCAAAAAGAGAGCTCTTTCACCCTGTTTCAGTTTCTTCCAAAAAAAAAAAAAAAAAAAAAAAAACCTTTCATCTGCACCACATCTTTCCAAGAAATCATGGGACTTTCGCCAGTGCAGGCAATAACACTGATCACCTCACTGATCAGCTGGCAGTACAGGCAACGTCTGTATGAATAAATCACTCTTTGGCTTCTGTGATAGCAAAGGATTGCATTCCACTGATCACACAGAATACGTAAGGTGTCCTATGGATGTTTTATTGAATTAGTGCCAAAACATACCAAGAACAGTTTGACCAATGAGTCTGTATGTCTACAAAGTAAATCAGATTATGTATGCATATATAATTTGGGAAGGGATATTTTGCAAAAGCTCAAAGACAAAAATAATAATAAAATAAAATAAAAACAGAATACACGCTGAAGAATAACAGAAGAGAAAGTAAGAAGTTAAAGCAAAGTACCTGCAGCAAAATAAAGATAAGGAGAAAAGGAGAAAACAAAATTATCATCTGGAAACAGGGGGGTTGGGGAAAAACAGAAAGAAAAGAAGAAAGTCTTCACATAAAAATAAGTCAAAAGAAACTGAGAAAAAAAAGTGCCTTCCTCAAAAATCTTCCAGAAAAACTAAATCTAAGCAACATCAACAATGCAAAATTTCAGAGCCAGGATTCTCCTCCACTCCTCCAGCAAGAGCAAAAGCAGGGCCATGAACATGGAGGGGGAGCTCTCAGAGGTACCAGCAGCAGTTAATGTTGCATCTGAAGCTCCCTCTGTCACGTAAGGCCCAAAAGCCCTCAGATATCCTGCAACTTGCTTGCCTCTGTTTGAGGAACAAGCAAATCCCTCTTTCTCCCTCTCCCCAGCCAACCTACAAGGCACAGGGACCGTCACAGGAGGCCGTGGCGCAGTGGCCCAGGAGCACTCGTGTCAAGGCCAAAGCCCAAAGCCGGCCATGGAAAAGTGTGAGGAGGGCAAGGCGCCTGCTGCTCCATGGATACTGCCCCTCACCCTCACAAGTGACTGGTCAGGCAAATTACACGGCCAAACAGAAACACGAGTTAGAGAACGCTGCCTGGTTGTTCCTTGGGACCACAGGGCCCAACAAAGAGGTGAAAGTTTAAAAGGTCAATCCAAAATTATTTTTATGGCCACAACATAAATCTTACCTCCTATTATTTATTCATAAATTAGTCATTCATTTCATTTAAAGCACTTCAAACATAATTATGCCGGGGTTTCAGTTGTTGTGGAAAACCACAGTACCTTGTGTGAAGCCCTCAGCCGCCTTCCCCTTCCTCAGGGCTGGGCTGGCACGGCCCCTCTTTTTTGGGCCCCAGAGGCAGTAGCTTAGACACAAGCACTTTATGTTTAAAGTTACCTCTTTCCTAAGGGCACTGCTCCTCTCCAACAGGAGGCACAAAAAGATTAAATTTTAAAGCATTCGGCTGAAGCTCCCCACCGTGACAGGCGTGAGGTAGCGGCGCCTCCATTAGGAGGCCGCGTCCCCAGTTCCGAGCTCATGCCTTGGATGAGTCTTGCTGAAGACAAAACCACTCGACCTATACGAAGAAATCCATTTACGTATAAATGAATGCTGACTTGTTTTGTTTTGATTTGTTTTCTGGTCTTCTTTTACACTTCTCAAGCAGCAACAGACATTGTCAGAGATCTAGAGTCTGACATACATTTTGGATAAATTCAGATTATATGAAAACTTTTTTTAATTATAAGATACTGATTATAAAATATCAGCACCTAATCCTTTGCAAGACTGTCTTTCAGAAGTCTAATTATTGACATGAGAGTTTACAGAGAAAATGGAAATAACCATTTCACTTGAAATATGAATTCAAAAAAAGAACATACATCTCCCTGAAAAAATATATAATATACAGAAACCACAAATTTAATAGGTGAACAGAAAGATTCAGTTTAGTTTTTAGACTAAAAGATGACCTACAAGGTAAACCTAAACATTCACCTGAATGCAGAAATAAGTTCTGCACATCAAGAGTGAAAGCAGAAAACCTCTGAAGAAGGCGTAATTTATGGCTCCTGCAGAACCCTTCAGCCAGTTTTGGGTTCATACCTGACACTTAGAGTGCATCACTCTGGGACATAGTTGTTGCACTAAAGCAGAGCATAAAGCAAATGGAGAATTGCCTGGTTTTTCATCCATAGGACAATAGTGAAGACAGTAATAGAGAGGAACATATAAAAACTGTGTGCTATACCAGAATAAGTGCAATTCTTACTGGTGACCCTCTGGGACATTTCAGTACATTAAGGAATATTCAGGTGTCTTTGGTGTCAACAGCAAACACTGAGCTAGCTAGAGGACTTTAATGGAGCTATAAAGAAGGTTTGCCAGAGGGTTTTAGATTTATGCACTGAATTCTCCTCTCTCATACTGCCCAGCTAGCAAGAGAACACAAAGCTTATTTTTCAGTGCATTCATTCCATGTGAAAGTTGGCTTTCTTGCTTATCTTCAATATAATATTGCCCAACACCACAAAACCTGTGACCAGAATTTATTAATATTCTCAATAAATTGTATTTTGTGACTTTGAATTTGGAAGAAAAGTCTACACTTTCTTGTGAAGCCATTTATATAGTACTTATGGCACAAAATCATCAGATAAGAAGACAGTGTACCAGATCCTGTATCTAAATCATTAAGTAATAAGTAAATCCTAGTTTCAACTCTCCCTCCTGTCCCAGGTATAGCCCTCACAACAGGTCCTCAGTGCCTGCAGCAGCAGAACGCAGTTGGAAGGCAGAGCTGTGCAGCCCGCAGCAGGGAGCTGTGCCCACCCTCGAGGCAGCCCCTGTTCTGTGAGCAGAGTCACTGTACGTATAATCAACACGCTGTTCTTCCACAGCCTGCAATCTCAGGGAACAAAGTAAAGCCATGAAAAGGTTTCGCCACACATAGAAAATTCACATCCTGAGGGACGGCTCCTCAGCCTGACCTGGCCAGCGTTCAGCTGCCTGCAGCCACGAGCACAGCAGCAGCAATGTGCAGCATTGAGGCTTCCCCCAGAGACCAGCACAGGGAAGGGGTTGGGATAGGGGACAACCCTCAAGCCCTAGGGGAACTACTGAGGCATTCTGCAGAGATACTGTCTGCATTGTAACTGATTTATCACTGATTCTGCCTTTGACCCAGCCAAGTTTTGAATATCATCTAACTCTCATTGTAACCAGCTCAGGGAACCTATTAGACAGCCATGTCCTGGACTTGTTACACCAATGCTTAAATGCTGTAGCTTAGCTTGAGCCTCACCTGATATAAACATGTTCATAAAGTGTTAGTAAATTTTAAGGGGAAAACGGGCAAGAAATGCAATAGCTTACCTGTAAAATTGAGGCTTCCTTTTCTGGGGAGTGATTCAAGTATTTCTCTGAGATCCATTACCAAAATCTGGAGGGGCCGAGGGACTAAAACAGTCATTATGTTGTGCAAGTCACCTGCAAAAATTAGGTGCATGAGGAAAAACAGAACAAAAAAGGAGAGCCATGCAGTGTTAGAAAATTTATCATCTGAAATCCAAGGTTCAAATGATTAGCCAAAAAATTCAAGTCCTCTATGTAATTCAACGTGTATTTAAATTCCTCTGGTGTCAGCTCTCCCCACTAAGATTTGTTCAGATCACCACAGGAATTTATTGCAAATTTTGCAAAGCTTTTGACCTGTATCATCTTATTAAACTTTTATGAAAAATCAATGGAGTTCAATCATGTTATGAGCTGTTCTTCACACACGTGTCAGTGGCAAATGGAGAAGTCTATTTCTTCCAAAGTCTGGAGTGAAGATGTTAAATTGGATACAAGTCTCTGACCATATGTCCGTGGTGCTGATGAGCTCAGAATAAAGATGTAAAAAAATAAAATATATGCAATTTTGGTGAAACTATGAGACAGAGAACTTGGAACTGAGGGCTTTTGAAGGGGATGGGAGGTTGGTTACACGTTACGTAAGTGTAAATTAAATAATTTTATCCAACAAATGTTTAAAATAGATACCCTAAGGAGCTACACTTAGATTCAAGGAGAAATAGGCAACTTCGTCACACAATTGTATCACCAGCATCATGAGCAGGAAGAGAAAAGAAGATGAAAGCATACTCTCCCCTTTTCCTCTTTAACTAAGGCCATTTTCAACAGCACAAGCAGGTCTTCAGAGCATACTTGGGTAATGAAGGATTGTTGGTGCCCCTGTGTGGGACTCTGCACGCAAAGCAAAGTGCTCCCCTGGCATGCACTGCAGTTCTGTGTGGGAGCAGGAGTGCACAATAGCTCGAGTAAGTCAGGATAGGACAGGAGAGTACGAGACCTTGCACACCGAGAGGGCGAATGAGCACATGTCCAGACAACCCAACACCAGCTGTGCCTGCCTGGTGAGTCCCAAAAATGTCAACACCTACAGGCCTATGAGAAAAATAGTTAAACAAAACAACTGCCTCTATAAACTATCACACCTTAAATATAGCTTCAGGGCTACAGGGCTGCTGCTACCAGCTTACTGCTCTTTTACCCATTTTATGGGCACACAAATAGGGCTAGAAACTCAACACTGTCTTTTAATAGCAGACACTGAAACAAACAGAAACCAAGTTCTGCAGAAACGCTCCTGGGTAAGCTTCAATACTTAAAGCTCCTGTATATTAAACCAGCATTGCCCAGCATTTTAAGCTTTAACAGAAAAGATAGTGTCTCTTGTTTGTTCTATTTCTTTATTTTTCTTACCTATTGTTTTGTTTTTAATTTCCGTGAGTAAGCAGTATTGGTATCCTGCTGGCTTCCTGCTAGCTACAGGAGAAGGAAGGGGAATTTTTGCAATAATTTAAAAATACACTGAAAGTATGGAAAGGTTAAGAATTTTGAAAAAAAAATAAACTAAACAAAGACAAAGAAAGGCAACAAAATTAGCTTTTATCAAATAATCAAAGCAGGTGAGAATTCTACAAAGAGCCTGGCAAAATTGGGTCTGATTAAAAATACGGCTATGTGGTATTTTGTTTTCTTTTTAATCAAAATCTTCAGTGGCATCCAGCAAGCCATCCCAAGGTGCAGAACAATGAGACTACTATTTATATTTCTCAACTATAGGCATAATGCAAATGGAAAAGAATCTTGTGAAACTAACTGCAATGTTTACCATCTTTGCCAAATCCATAGGCTTACTTTTATGTCAGCCATTTTTTTCCAGAAAAAGGCATCTGATGCTTCTCAGAGTCAGAGGGTGTTTTGCTACAAATATATATTTTTTTAAAAAGTGGCAATCATAAGAGGAAAACAAGTCTTGTGTCTTAAAATTTTCAAAGCTACAAGTATTTCATACCATCTCTTTCACCTCCTAAGTAAAGGAAGGCATCAGGCTCAGGTTGGTATTACATTAAATAAAACACCTGGAAAGGCTATTTACATGCGTTCTGCATTTAATCAGAGCCTGAGACCCTTTGTGCTGCAAGCATACCTTAGCAGAGACCTGCAGGTTTACCCAGTTAGCGTGAACTGGGGTCAATAGGCCAGCTTTGACCAGCAACAAGTCTGAACCTAAGGAGCTTTACGCGAAGCACAGCTTTTTTGCTACATTAATCTGCAGTCTTGTACTTCTTACCTTGGGTGTCTTCACTATAGGAAACTGAAGTCACACTAGCATATAGTGCAAAAAGGAACTGGTACCAGGCCTTAGTCTTTAACATACGTGCTCGGTTTTTTGCTGCATCCTCTGAAGGGAATGCTGTTGTGCTGTCTTCAGCTTTGATTACTGTGGGGAAAAGCCCTAAATGGGATATTCTTTTGGCCTGATAGACAAAACATGTGTGTTGGTGCTTCTCACAATGTGAACAGTCATCAAGGGAATTGTTGCTTAACCATTCTAAAGTTAACCTGGGTATTGCAGTGTGTTTTCATGATGTTATGTGTACTGAAAAGACAATTGAGGAAAAAAGGTTTAAAATGGTATTTTCTGCAATTTACATCAAGTACTACTATAATTTAAGAAGCAAACAATAAATGATGATAAAAATAGAAAATTATAATCGAACAATACTCACTTTACTCAAGATATAAATACTCTCATCAGCTGTTATTTAGCAAAATTTATCAAGACAACAGGGAATGTCTGGAAAGAGACTCTGACCACCTTTTTGACTTCAAATAACATAGGAAATAAACTTGATTACATTTAATGATTAGTTTAACATGAATTAAAACCAAATTTCCAAACCCCAGCTCTACATGATCATTAAATATAATCATCCCTTGAGAGAAAAAGAATTCATTCAGTTGTGTATATTAATGATATTTTATGTAATGTCTTTTCCACAGCTCACTAGTGGCTTGGGGTAGTTTGTTTGTGGGGTGGGATTTTTATTATTTATTTAATTATTTTTTGGCAGGGGGAGGGAAGAAGCTTTGAATAGTAACAAAGTTTAGAACATCAGTGTGAGGTGTGAAACTTGGGTATGTAAGTTTGAGGGATGAGTGCCTGAGCCCACGTCAGAGTTGGGCCTGAAAAAAGGGCTTAAAATGAGTTTCAGGCAGCCAAACTAAACTACACAGATTACTACATAAAGTTGCTCAGTTTCAGCCTGTAAAACGGGAAAAGTGAGATTTTTCTATCATATAGAGGTAGTGCTAAATTAAAACCCATTAATCCTTTGCAAGTATTTAGGTACCAAAGCAATACAAGCTATATTCATAAGCAAAAGAGCTCTATTGAATTACCGAGGTTATTCACAAACTAGGATTAAGCGATCAAAGCAAAATCTTGTTTGTTTTCATTAGTAGTGCTTAGATATTTCTGTTAAGATCTCTGTCAGTACCTGACACAATATATTCTTTGCTAGTGTCAATGGCAAGAGGGCCATAAACTTTAAAGCTAGGCCAGTTGACCCCTGATCATGTTGAAACCTGAGCATGATGAAAATATGACTCTTCCTAATTCTGTTAGATTTGCAGAAAAGCTACAGAATGGTCTCTTTTTCTTTTTTCCTTCCCTTCCAGTTATGCAGGTTCAACATACTCTAAGTTTTTATTATACTCTTACTCTGCTCATATCATGCATCAGTTATTTTAAGGGAAAACCTACTGCTGGATTAATAAAATCCCTTCCAGCTTCAACCCAGTGCTCTTACAAATCAGTGCAGCATGTGTTAAAGACTTGATATCAAATTACAGTAAAGCAACAAAAAGGTAGGGGGGGAGGAATATGTAGTTCATTGTCAGTCATTTTATCAAATAGCAATCTCCAAATTTGCAATCTCCTTCCTCACTAACTACTCACCTTTAGCTTTTAAACCAAGCATGTAGGTAAACAATGGAAGTTCCTTGCTATCTGTAAGAAAGCCTATTAAATTTAGTAAATCTTCAGTTTTTAAAGAAAGGCATGAAGTAGATAATGCAGAACTCCAAAATAGGGCTCTGACAGGATTAACCTAACTATTATCAGAACTATTTCTCGTTGTGCTCTGATTTTAGGGGAAACAGCAAAGCACAGTGAACTCTGCCAGGTATGTTTGATTTTCAGTTCACCTTAGTGGACGTGGTGGAGGGAGAGGGGAGGAAATTAAGAAGTCAACTAGAAGCTATACTGCTGAATAGCAAAAACAAATTGTTCATAGAGGAACTTCATAAACATAACAGGCAAACGCCTCAGCTAAGAATATTTAATTCATCTTATGACAGATGGAAAAATGTAAATTTGTAATATCCAAAAGGTTATTTTTAAATTACTAGACCAGGTTTTAATTGCTGATAACCTCAGGTCAGATATACAATAGGCCAGGCCTCTGTGAAGCAGTAAACTTGGCATCAGTTCTCTACATTCATGCAGAGTCTGATCAGATTTTGTTTTGCAACAGTCACTTAATTAGCAGTATCAGTAACTCTTACTACCTTAACATTATCTTCCTTTAGCTAATGATATCATTTTGCATGTGCTAAGTAAAACAGGAATTAACAAAATTCCAATGGCTTACTTAAATGATAAATAACAAGCCATTTTAAGGAAGAAATCTCCTAGGGAGTGCGGAAAAACCTGCAGCTGAAGGCAAGCGAGTCAGGATGTGTAACTCTGCACAGGCATAAACAGGAAACGGAGCAGCTTGCATTTGGATTGACAATCTGGCTCCAAATGGCTCATCTACAGCGGGCACAATGCTTGACCCCTGTCAAACATGAAAACTGTGGTTTTGTAATAGTTTTCTGTCCTGACACCTCTCGGGGCTCCCTTATATAAGTAAAATCTTACCTTCTCTGTCATTTTGTGTGGTCAAGGAAGCTCTTGCTTAGTGAAATACTTAAAATCAACAATGTCACCTTTATCTCAAAACATCTTCTGATGCATCCACTTCCTATGGTTTTCAAATAAAGTCTCTGAAAAATAAACATGAAAGATTAATTTTATTTTATTTTACTTAGAATAATATTAATTTATTTTATTGTCACATTCCAACATAACATAGGAACTAGCTTGACCTTCTAGAAAAGAAGTCTCAAATGTTTACCAGTGCCAGTAGTGTTTAACTCTACTTCTTCTACATATTCCATGTTTCTGATGCACTGACTCCATAATAATTAAACACTATGCAAATTCTCGTTGCAAAAGCTTTCATTGGTGTTTCTAGAGCACATGTCCTGCAAGTTGACCATAATGCCAGGAGACCACCTCTGTGCAAAGCGGTGCTGTGTACTTTCTAGGTTCAAAGATTAAGGGGACATGAAAAGGAGACGTAGACGTAAACTAAGGACAAAAAGGTGAATCACAGGCCCTTCACGACAAATGTAATAGACCCTCTCCATTACACTCCACAGAAAAGGTGCCTCTAAGAGCCATTTCATCTCTGAAAACAACGTGGGCGTTGCAGACTCAAAGGAAATAAGGAGCAGTAACTTTCTTCCTAAGGATGTGTGCCAAGCCAAGGATTTGGTTGTTGAACAACAGATACAGCTCTAAGGAAAGGGGATTTAACCATGCAGCAAAAAATATAATAGCAAGAAATATATATATATATTTTTTAATGGAGTTTGCTGTAGTTCTCTGTAACATTTTAGGAGAAAAAAAAAAAAAGGCAAGATTTTCAAGTTGAGAGCCTATAGTTAAATATTTTGTTAAAGCTCAAAATTAAATGGAACTTGAAAAAGTTATCCATACCTCTGCCAATTTATTTGGATACCTAAATTTGGACCTGGAAACTTCATGTTCAAACTTTCTGAAAACAGGAATTGGTCTTGTATTCAACAGAATGATTATCAGCTAGAACACACCAGGAAAAAAATGTGCTATCTGTAGTATCATCACCTTCACAACTAATACTAAAACCAGATATTAAAATGTCATGTTTTTATTTTACTGTTGTCAGAAATAAAGATGGATTTGTAAAACAATACATTTTATTACAAGTACCTCTGTTTTGTAAGTTTTTAAAAACCCCAGCATGGACATCTTTCAATTGTTCATTCATCCATTTACAAAGGGGCAGTTAAAATCACAAAGTAACACATCACTTCATATTTCTCAGTACTAAAATAGAAGTCTCTTTATATCCAACCTCTTGTAGTCAACATTGTAATTATCAGCTTAAAGAATAACAGAGCTACTATTTGTAAGCAAGCAAAAAAAATGTTCTAGCATAAACTACTGCACACGTTATAAAATTACAATTTTTAAAATGTTAATGGTTTATTAAAGAAACCTCTTGAATTTATAATAAAAATTTCTCTAAGCATTTTGTAAATGCACTAAATTTGAGAATTATAGTACTAGAAAAATCTTCTGTGTGGTATAAACATTTTACAAAGAATATGACTACCACACTCAGCATAGATCATTTTTGGGGCAGCACTGTTTAGAGCTGCAGAGCTCTGTTCAAAACCTATGAAATGTGACAGGGTTTCTCTCTCAGAAGAAGCATGCATAGCTTTGTTCATCTTGTGAAACTTCTCATGAAGCTAGAAACTGAATGACACAAGCTTGGATAAATACAAATTGTGTTAGGTAATAATAGTGAAAAACCCAAATTGGATTTGTGTGGTTTGACAATGTTTTTCAGGTGCCATTTAATTATTTGTCCCACTGTAACTGGTATCAATTGCTGGGTGTACGGGGCACAAAAGAAAGGTCCTTACCTGAAAAGGCTGCTGGTTCCATTTATATAAGAGATGAAAAACATGATCTTTGTGGGGGAGGAAAGAGGGCTGTTTATATTTAGTTTTAAATAAACAGCTGATTTGTATTTTGCAAGCAATTATTCTGCAGATGGATAAAAGTTTTGATATAATCTTTCACTCATTAAAAAAAAAAAAATCGATTGTTTAAAAACTTAATTTTTTAATGACTTCTGGTCAAAATTTAAGTGCTTTAAACACTTCTGGTCATTCTTTTAGGAACACCATACAATTAACCAGAAACTATACTTGCAAAATACAGCAACACACTGGAAAGATTCTTCCTAGAAGTTTCATTGCAGCTTCATGAAAAATAATACCCTAAGTGAGGCTCGTGTCCCACTAATTAATTTATTTTAGCAAGTAGAAGGCACGGAGGTGGACTTTCAGTAATGTAACTACCAGGAACAAGGGTCAGAGGAAGGAGATGTAAAATGTCCATTTGTCACTTACACATCGTACTCACTAATGAGAAAGCCGTAGATGCCTTAGAGCCTTTAAGGAACGAAAGGCTGCCCCACACACCCATGTCCCCATAGGATGGACGGCACATGCCAAGGCAGCGAGGGCTCGGGTCGGGTCCAGAGGTGAGGGGTTAGTACCTGAAGGGAGCCAGCATGCTATACGCCTACGTAGGGGGGGAGGTGCTGGAAGTAGCCCACACTGGGGGAAAAGCAAGGGGAAATTAGATGGGACAATCAATTACGATATTTGAAAGCATGTGATTAGCATACAATGACCAATTTCCTACCTAAAAAAAAAAAAAAAAGTTCAGTGGCATGGATTTGAGGTATATTTGCAATGTTATTTTAACACATAAGCAACAATAGTTTAGAAATCCCTGATATGAACTGAGGATGGAGCTAAGCACCCCAGTAGTGACACAATATAAACTTCAGCACATGAAATACTGGAAGTTGATGTAAACAGCTTTTAATAGCAGTGAACATTTGTTCGCTTTGTTTAGACCATCTGGATGTTCCATTGTGTTCGGTTCAACACCGACTGCCATCGGCTGACAGTTGATATATGTTAAGTACAAGCAAAGTGCCTCAGCCCACTCCAGGGACCCCGAGGAGAACTTTTCAGTGTTTTGTGGAATACGCTGTCAGAGCGCAGCGCGGTCGCCTGCATCCTTAATGGCTCCGGGCCAAAGTCCTCCAGCTTTTTTATCAAAGGAGAGTTTTGCTTTTACTGTTTGAAAGGTTAGGAAAACTATGCCAAAGTTCTTCCAGGCAGCTTGGAGAGCATCAGCTGACAGGAATGATTTTCAATATGGAGCAAAGAATAAAGAGAACTACTAATCCTGAGAGATTCCAGGTCTCACTCATTTTACATGCAATGTGGCTAACAGCCTTTTGAGTGCAACAAAAGAAAAAAGTTACTAATAAACATGGTGATGTAATTGTTCTCAGAAAAAAAAAAAAAAAAGTTGGGAAATCAACAGCTCTGGAGTACACAGATTTTTCCAGGCCTGTCAAGCATGGAACATAGAAATGGACAAATCTGAAAGCTTATTTGGATGCATTCACACAGAATAAAAAAAAAAAATCTTTTTTGTTATTGGCTTTTTCTTGCAAAGTTTAACTCAAGAGTTTGATTCTTACAAGCTACTGCAGCAATCTACTCATCCACCCAAAAAGTAGCACATAAGCAGCAGCACTCCAAGGTTTCTCACGTTATACCACAGCTCCAACAGGGGCTGAGAGTGCCTGTTAGCCTCCATTCAGCTTCACCTACCAGCCTCTCAGGAAGGCCTTTCCAGGGAGTACCAAGTGGTATTTGATGTTTCAGAGGTACCCATGTCAAACCATCCCATGAGAATCAATCTTGTTTCATACACTTCAAAGCTACCAAGCAAACATTATGTAGATGACAATTTTGGCCACTTTTTTTTTTTTTTTCAGCCTAAACTGAAAGAAATGACAGTCAAGGCATAGAAATATCATCTTCTGAAAAGATGACAGAGAACATCTCCAAATTATCTACAGAAAAATGTCCTGCAGATTATATGCATTTGAATGAATGTCATCTTTTTCAAATGTACCCAAAAGAAGTAATGAGTCCTGGTCAAGTCATGAAGTAGTAAATTCGTTAACAAATTAAAGAATTCTTTACATAACTGAAAAATATCCACATCTTACAGAATCAGGTCATCAAAATCAAGTGATCAACAACACACTCTGCACTGAAGCTCAACGAACACAACCAAATTCAACCATAGATCACTATCACTGTAGAGGTGCCACTTCTCAGGTTGGGCTTAATAACCAGCTAGAGATATGAAGAACTATACTTAGGACCAAATCTCCTTTATATTGCTCACCTAAATCAATAGGACAGCTCAAGTCAGTTAGCTAGGTTCCTGCTGGAAGAGACCAACATACCTACATTTCCAACATGCAAGGTAACTTCTAAACCTTCTGGTCCATCTTTGTAATGCGCTAGCTTTTGCAGTTCTGCAACCATAACAGTTAACACAGGATTGTCTCTTTTCAACATTTCTACAAGTTTGGGGTGGTTTTGGAAAGTGTAACACGTGGCCAATTAACCATTTAGAAATGTATATTAGATGTGCCATTTGAATATACATGTATGCTAGGATTTCCAACAGTTTTGCAAACATTGAACCAATACTGTGATACTGCCAAACTGCAAGTACTACACAGCACAATTCAATTTCCAGAGCCAGGCATTGAGAAGGCAATTTAGTCAACATCAAAGGGCACATGACATCTAGCTCTGGCTCTGCAGAAGAGAACATCTATCCCAAATGCTGCTGATGCTTAGGCATTAACTTTTCCAATTATTACTTGAAGTATTAAGAAAAAATAAAATAAAATAAAATAAAATAAAATAATCCCTCTTTTTGGTTTAAAACCATGAAGTCACAACCTGCCAGTTCAGTCAGATGTACCACGCAGCTTTCAGTTAACCACTGACACCTGTGACATTAAAGGAAATTGAAGCTGGTTATTTACAGGCCAAGCAGTTTGTGATCAAATGTTTTGCACGTTTCCCTGTGCTGTTCCAAACATATATCCCATCCTTAATCACATTACATCCCTAATTTCCCTAGTTGCTTTAAGCTCCCTTTTTGCCCTTACATCATCTAGTCAGAAGAGCTGCATATCACAGCAGGCTTCATAAGCAGGGGCAGTCTCCAGCCTGGAACATGCCCTTGTATTGTACAACACAGGTACAATACA